TATCTATACTAAATTTGTTACATCACTAATATCATTCATTCATTATCTGCAACCTCGCTAGCTCAGCCACAGGTGTATTGGTCTGACACTCTGCATACCTGGATGTAAAATGATGTCATCAGCGAAATATTATGAACCCTTAAAAACGCGGAATACAGCGAGTCATTCTTTGAACAATATAAAATTCAAAAAATAAAATTCCTCCGGCATCCGCCCTATACACACATTCCGTAATTGCAAGAGTCCCTCCTGCTAAGCACGTGAAATATTTGCTGAATTTCCAAAATTAACTTTGCTTCATCGGATCGGTGAAAAGGGGGTAATTTTCCTCGCCTCGCAGTCACCCTTACTTCCCCCGGTTTCCTTCCCATGCAGTTGGCAATTTTTCCGATAGTTGACTGCCACCGCTACCATTCGGAGAGGGGTGAAAAGGTCTTCGGAGTAATCCAGCAGAGACATTATGGCCGTTGGTTACTGTCCACGATTTATACAACTATCCATTCACAGGAATCTGACGTTTTTATGGTTATGGAGGATGCAATGTCCGTGGAAAATTTGAGGCTTGAGATACAGATAGCACGCACATTTACCGAAAATCTGCTTTCGAGCTCAAGACCTCGCGTAATTGATCTAGGTATCTACGGGCAAGCGCGGAGGGATCATAGGGTCATGACCCTCCTTGGCGAATCTAGTTTGACCACTAATATTTGTAACTTTCGGATCTTTTTGATAAATTTAATAAAACAGATTTTTGCAACAGTTACAAAATCACCATACCTGGCAACCCTGATCAATTTGTAAACGCATCGATGATGGCGGGAAAATAAAAGGGTTACGTAACTCTGGTTGCCTATAGGTTCAGCTTGACGCAAAGACAAATAGAATAAAGATTCTGCATTTTTTTCGGCATGGTAGCACTGCTTGTCTGTTAGTGCATTGGAAATTGACGGTCTTGTGTTCTGTCAAGTGCAGAATATTCCGCAGTCGATCCCTACTCTTATTGAAAATTGCGATGCCTCAAGACGTGGTTGCGGGCCTCTATGGTGGAAGATCACCTAACGGGACTAGCACTTTTACCTATACTAAGAGACATATAAATCAGAACACCCAGTTGAAATGGTTTTATTTTAATAAAATTTTGTATAAGTACTTAATGAAGCATAATAAGTAAATGATAAAAATTTCAAAATGATTGCACTGCTTTAAAGCCCTTTGACCTTTAATAATGTGTGGATGCACCCTGATGTGCTACGCATTCTCCAACGCGCCTAGGCATGCTTCTGATCAGGTGGTCAATGTCCTCCTGTGGTATCTCATTCCAGGCAACCACCAACTCCTCTCGAAGTGCTTCTAGAGTCTGAGGAGGACGTTGCAAATTGAGCAATCTCCTACCCATCATATCTCACACGTGCTCAATTGGTGATAAGTCGGGAGATCTTGGTGGCCATGGTAACAATGTGACATCATTATGTTGAAAGAAGTCTATTGTGACTCTTGCAACATGTGGTCGGGCATTATCTTGTTGGAAAGTTGGATCTGCCAGGGTGTCAAGATAGGGTAAAAGATGGGGTTCTGGAACTTCGTGGATATAACGCTGCGCATTCATGTTACCTCTGATGAAGATTAAAGGTGACCTGGAACCATAAGCTATAGCACCCCAAACCATAACTCCAACAGTGTGATGAACATGTCTTTCAACAAAAAACTGTGGATTCCTCCTTTCACCACGTCGCCTTCTAACCCTGGCATGACCATCGTTCATATCTAAACAAAATCGAGACTCGTCACTAAAGACAATACTGTTCCATTCCTGACCCAGTGTGGCCGGTATGAAAACAAGCCAAAACTTCTCATTCGTCGGTAAACACTTCGCATGCCAATAGGTCTTCCGTGTTCTTCAAACCATTCATTTGCAATGGACCTGGTAGTGGAGAAACGGTCCCTTAAGGCCAATAATCTTAGGCGGCGATCTTCACGGTGTGTTGTTCTACGGCGGCGTCCAGTGCCCCTTGCTGTTTGCGTACGGCCTTCTCGAAGCCATGCCTGACAACACCTAACAACAGTGTCTACACTTATTTGCACTCTAACTGCAATTGCCCGAAAAGAAAGTCCAGCTTCCCGAAGTCCCACTATACCAACTATATCAACTCACTAAGTTGACGAAATCGTACAGGTCTCCATACTCTAGGCATCGTAACCGATCGTAAAGGATGTCAAGAACCAAAATCCGCCAACGTTGATTCTTTACTGCGGCTGAAATATTCATTTTTAGAGCGTTAGTGAATTAAAAAAAGCAGTATAAAAACTGGAATGTCCAACTGATACGGCTGAAAATTTTTTCACTTGTTATTTACAGTAAGATAAATACATTCACCCACCAACTTTTATTAAAATAAAACCATTTAAACTGGGTGTTCGGATGTATATGTCACTTAGTACAGGGTGACTTCGAAGTTGAGTCATTTATTTTAACAGTGAGTAGATCTGATCAAAAGAAATGTTTTTTTCCTTTACCATTTTTCTGGTAAAATTAAAGTAACAAAGTTATAGCCCTTTGGAAGTTTGAGTACCGCCCTGTCTCAATAATGATATTATGTTCTCGTGTTTGGCAACAACAGATATAATCCGCCTTATCCGTTCATCGCATCGGAAACAAAAAAGCGAAAGAATTTGGAACGATCTTTTTACAATTATTTTCTTCAGTTGTATACAGTCAGTATCAGTCGGTAGTCGGTAACGCGTAAGTGAATAATCGTGTCTGTTGCGAGGCTCAAATCAAAAATGGCACATGTTTACGAAAATGCTGAACTTGTGGACATGGTTCTTATTTACGGGGAGTCTTTACAAAATGCTGCCGCGGCATCACGGATCTATGCGGATCGGTTTCCCAATCGAGTGCAACCAACCCCTCGTGCCTTTGTTAATGTAGTGCAAAGAGCTCGTGAATCAGGTGACTTAAGACCTCACAGAGGAGATCATGCCGGTGCTCCAAGACCACACGATCAAATAGAACTAGAAGAAGAAATTTTAGAATTAGTAACTGATGATCCAACAGTAAGCACCCGACAAATTTCAACTCAATTGGCGATTAGTCAGTATAAAACTTGGAAAACTCTACGTGAAAATCAGTTCTATCCGTTTCACATACAAAAAGTGCAGGCCTTACAACCGGAAGATCATGAACAAAGGGTTGACTTTTGCAATTGGCTTTTAAATAAACATCAAAATGATGACAATTTTTTAAATCAAATTTTAGTGAGTGATGAAGCCCTCTTTACTAGAAACGGAATTATTAATTCACGTAATTCTCACGTTTGGGCTATTGAAAATCCCCATGAAATAAGGGAAACCAATTTTCAACAGCGATTTGAACCAATCAACCTGTGGGCGGGAATTGTTAATGGAATTTTAGTGGGGCCTTTTGAATTACCAAATCGCTTAACTGGTGAAAATTATTTTGATTTCTTGCAACACAATTTGCCTGGTTTACTGGAAGATGTGCCTTTAAATATTAGACAAAACATGTGGTTTTTACAAGATGGGGCACCACCCCATTATGCAAGAAATGTGCGTGAATTTTTAAATAGACAATTTAATAATCGTTGGATCGGCCGTGGCGGTTTTGTACCTTGGCCGCCAAGGTCTCCGGACTTAAATCCTTTAGACTTTTGTTTGTGGGGTTGGCTAAAAACTCTAGTGTATAAAACACCGGTTAATACACGCGAAGAATTACGTGCTCGAATTGAGTAAATGAGTACAGTGATCAGAAATCAACCAGTGATTTTATTGCGTGCTTGTAAAGAGACATGGCTAAGACGCGCCCAGCTGTGCGTCGAGCAAAACGGAAATCATTTCGAACAGTTTTTGTGACATGCTTTTGGGCGCACAGGTCCGCACTGAAATACTTGTCGGGAGGATACTTTATAAAACAAGGTAACATTTTTTTTTTAATTTTTTTTTATTTTTACACACATATTTTGGTTTATCTTCCTTCTACAATCATTATCTGAAAATTAATGACTCAACTTCAAAGTCACCCTGTATATATGTCTATAAAGATGTGTAGGTACATGTCGATACGGAGGAAGTCATAAATCGATTTGCAAGAATACAAAAACGGATAATTATATTTTGTTATTTAACAACAATAAAAACTTTCTTTTCCCGAGAAGACTATCTTCCTGCATATGAGTCCTGTGACCCCCCTGACACATATGCTGGATCCGCCCTTGAGAGATATCGAAAAAAGTACACGGGTAGGGTCACGCATTTCTCAAAATTTTTAAATGGAACACGCCGTGTATTTTCACATTCATGGAGTCCCATTTGCACAAGCTTTCTTTTGTCACGTTCATGGAGTTTGTACGATTGATTTTTGAGTGGACCAGATATCGAAGTGAATATAAAATATTTTACAATACGTTTCAAAATACAAAAATAGCATTTAGTTTCTAACGACAGATCGTTACAATGGATGTAATTTCATTATGAATCAAGACTATCCAGCCTTATTCAATGAAGTCGGAAAGTCAAGGTGTCACTGTGTTTTTACTAACTCAGAAACCAGTCGTTCAAAAATCTTGTGAAAAGGGGAATCAGAAAATGGGAAGATATCTTTCGTTTACCTTCTTGATTACCCTGCCTGAACTATCCAAAAAACTGGAAAACTAGATAGGAAGAAATTATAGGATCATGGATAACTTCTGCAGAAAATTTCTATACTCTAGCTATAACAGTTTATACGACTTGTCAAAGTTGAGTGTTTTTTTGCGATAAATTATAGCAATTTGTAAATATAACCCTATAGTATGTTATATCAAATTGGTTCACTTGAAAGGAGCTATCCAATTCTTCTATAAAATGTAGGTCTTGCCATTTAAAGAAAATATATGTTTGAGTCGCTATGTAGGGTAAGTCGAGGAAAGATGGCCATAGAGGATAGACGGCCCAGTCTCTTTATTTCGCTTGCTATCTGATAGGTGGCGCACATTGTACATTACTGTAGTCAGCTGCACCGTATGGGTCGGTTGTGGTGGCATTGTGGGCAAAACAAGATAAAAACGTAAGTAAAAGGATAATATAAAATAAGCATTATTCAAAACTTTTGTTATGTTAATTAAACTGTAATTATGACGGAAATACCGTGTATATCGTATTTTTTCTTGCATAAACGTTGTCGCTAGACTTTCTGAATGTAAAGGCGCCTACAGACACATGAACATTCCTTGAGATATGTATGCGCGTACAAGTATGCGCGTACAAATCCGCCGGTGTGTAGACAAAATCTCTCTAAAATATCCGTCGAAGATATCTTCAGTCGCTGCTTGAAAATTTGTATGCGCGTACAGGTTGCACGTGCATATCTCTCTGTGTGTAGGCAGAACGAATATACGTATTAGGAATAATACCAGTGCGGTTCGCGTTAACCATCTCCAGGTGTTAACTGTGTTTAATAATGGCTGATAGCAGAAACTATTCAAAAGAGTTTTTAATAGAATTCATAGAACTTTATAAATCTTACCCCTGTTTATGGAAAACTAAATCCAAGGACTACATGAATAGAAATAAAAAAAACGATGCGTACAAAATACTGATTGAAATGTGGAGGGAAGTAGAAAAAACGGCTACCAAGGAAACAGTGAAAACCAAAATAAATAGTATGCGTGCTGGGTTTCGCAGAGAAATAAAAAAAATTACAGAGTCCAAAAGGTCAGGAGCTGGGTAGGATGACATATATATACCACATTTATGGTATTACAATTTGTTGCTTTTCTTAACAGATCAAGAGATACCCAGATCATCTGTATCAAACGTACCAGACTAGAACGTGGTGAATGAACAGTTTGATTCAGATCAAGGAGAGGTAAGTAAAAAATTATCCATTTAGGTACTGTAATGTTTTATGAATAAGAAGCTTCAAGTTTTCTACAGGGTGTTGTTGTCTGTTGTGACTATTACTGTATCATTTTATCTTGACAGCTCAGAGCACCCTCATGACAGAAGTAATTCGTAAGCAGTAGTCTAACTTGTTTTGCTTCATTGTTACTCCCTCGATTGTAACCGCGCTGCAGTCTTGTCATTCCAGTGCTTTCTAATCCTAAATCTATTGTGCCATCTTGTATATTTTCACTGTAAACGTTATCTTCTGGTACATATGCAGTTCCAAATTTTCGTCTTAAATAATTATGTAACAGGCGGCCATGACTGCTTTTTCAGTTCCTTCTAAACTAATGGAAATCGCTACTTGAAATATTCTAAAACGCGCACTCAGTATGCCAAAAGCATTTTCAACTCTACATCTTGCTCGCGAAAGCCGATAATTAAAAATTTTTCGGTCATGGTTAAGTTCTTTCTGACCAAATGGTTTTAAAAAGTCGCAGCGCAAGGAAAATGCTTCGTCACCTATGAAAACGAATGGCATTATAGCTTTACTGCCTCTAGGTTTTCTTTGAGGCGGTAAAGATAAATTACCATTTTTTAGTTTCTGATAAAATGTAGTGTGGTCAATAACACCTCCATCAGATATTCGACCATTTATTCCAAAATCAACCATAATGAACTCATAATTTGAGTTGACTATAGCCATGAGCACTAAACTGTGTCCTCCTTTGTAGTTGTAGAAGTAAGAACCACTTCCGGCAGGGGGAGTATATCAACATTTTTGCCGTCAACGGCTCCCACGCAGTTTGGGAAGTTACATTTTGTTTCAAAATCAGCAGCAATTATATCACTCATCCTCTGTTGTAGGAAACTGCAAAAAATATTTAAATTAATTTACAGTCTTCTTGTCATTCTGTTTGGTCGAGTTTGAGAACCGTTATGTGCAGCAGGTTGCTACTCTGGTTTCCTATACGGGCACATTACAATATGCAATATTTAGGAAAATTGTTTTTCTTTATTTAGAAGGTTGACACACTGACAACTGAGTTTTAATTCGAAAATCTTATCCTTAAAGTTTCAAAAAACTTCAAGCAATTTATTACATTTTTATTTTAGGAAATTGGGAATGCTTCAGAATCTGAAAGTGATGGATGTCGTAGTTCATTACAAAGCCCATTGGATGCCCGACCAAGTACTAGTTATGGAACTCACGGAGCAGAATACGATACTGAAGAATTTAATAGTTCGGTACGGAGCCCATTAAAAAGTAGGTCCGGCACCCATGGAAACAAATCGTTAATTCCACCTACAAGTCATTCTACAAAGAAACGTAGAGTTAAAGCAGATGCCCAGGCAGACGAAGTTCTTGATCTTGTTTCAGAAAGGCTAAAGTGCAGTATTGAAGATCAATGCACCAGTTTCGGAAATAATGTTGCAGCGAAATTGAGAACTCTTCCAAGAGAAACAAAGTTATACACGGAAAAGCTCATCAATGACCTATTGTTTGAAGCAGAAATGGGTCGTGTTACCAAAGCAACAAAAATTGTTTCGAACTCGATTCAGCAGAGAATAAAAGTTACTTTAAACAGAGACGGTTCCGCTACTCTTTATTATCCTCAGCATTATACCTATCCATCGCAGTTTGCGCCTCCCCAGCAACATGTGTCGCAAGATTCATTTCATAGCTGTTCATTTCAAAAACCACAAGAAATGCAACCAATAAAACAGGTACCTACTGTTCAGCCACTTGACAACGATCTGTGCGAAACAGAATACCGTGTCAGTTTTCTAACTAACTTTCAACCAAACTAATATTTGAGACAGTTTTGGCTTTGAATGTATTTTTCCTTTTTTTCTCAAACTTTTATGTTAACTTTAAATACTTATCATGTTTATGTTTAGTTAATTAATAAAAATTAACATCCTTAAAGTAACATTAAATGAGGTCTCGCGAAATCGAGACCAAATAAAGCCTATTCAAAAGATAGAGAAAGCTATATCATTGAGAGATCGACTCGTGAGCCCCCTAATAATAACGTATTATTTTATTTAGTAGTGCATAAATTTAGATACTCATCCTTTAATACCTCATAAATAGCATTGCAGGTCTCCGGAATCAATTTACTTAGCGATTGAGGTGAGATGATACTAGAAAATTTCAAATATTCATAGTTCCCGCCAGTAGCTAGGTACCGAAGGGTAACAGATTGTCTTTCATGGGGTGATATGGCCAGACCTCATGCACGTGTCTTGTTTCTGGATCAGTGGCATTACTAAATTTAAAAGTAATACATAGCTATCCTCATCTATGCGGAGATAATTTCAATAATCATCCGGTTCTAAACGAAGTTCTTCCAGTAGATTTACGTGTGAGAATCGATCACGCTGCAATAACCTTTTCTTTATCTATTTACTTCGTGGCCTGCGTTTACTCATTAATCGGTTTTGTTTTTTCTTGATTATACACACGCACGCCACTGCTAATAAATTTAAATCAATATCACTCACTGTCGCCATGTTTATTAGCAAGCGGGACAGTAAATGTTCTTTACGTGTGTAGGCAATTCGAATAAAACGTATATGTACGCGCGTACTTGTACGCGCATACATATCTCAGGGAATGTTTGTGTGTCTGTAGGCGCCTTAACCTAACCACTTTTATCCACCGGTCGCGTGGATTTTAGTAAACACGGTGGCCACCTATCCTATACAATAAGGAGATACGGCCCTATCTTTTTAAAGGAAAGATGGCCATGTGGCCATCTCTACTACGTTTTGCTTATTTTTTTTTAAACCCATCGATTGTTTTCATCTTGTTGGGAATATATTCGGAGTTACCCACTTTTGATATATTTTTTTTAGATCCCAAACGTGTACGTGCGAAAAAATTTCAATAATCGAGGAAGTTGGACAGAGGACAACCTTAAAAATGCTGTGGCAGCAGTTAAAGATGGTTTAATGTCCGTTAGCAAAGCTTCTTTATCATTTCAAATTCCTCGCAAGACCTTGGAAAGAAGGCTTAAACAGAATAACGATAAAAAAGGGAAGCTGGGCCCTGATTCTTTGTTGGGTACTTCCAATGAGATGAGGTTGGCTAGACATATCAAAAATATACAGAAAAGCGGATTTGCCTTAACCAGACAAGATGTGCGCAGGCTTGCTTACGAATTCACCAATCAATTGGAATTTAGGCCCTAACACCGAAATGGCTGGACACGTCTGGCTGCAATCATTTCTGAGGCAAAACCCCACAATTACTATTAGGAAATCCTAAGGTCTTTCTCTACCAAGAAGTCAATCTATGAACCGTGAGGTAGTAAAAAGGTATTTTGATTTGTTACAAAAGGTCTTGGAGGAAAATCAGTTATTTGACAAACCGACGAATATATTTAACATGGATGAATCAGGCCTCCAGCTGAACAATCGCCCTGATTAAGTTTTAGCTGAAAAAGGTTCAAAAAGTGTTTCCGCCATCACCACTTCTGAGGAGGGGGAAACCATTACCTTAGTAGCCTACTGCAATGCGAAAGGCACATTCTTGCCCCCAGTAGTCATTATGAAGGGTAAGAAAATCAAAAAAGAATTTGAAGACAACCTACCCCCTGGGAGAAAGCTTTTTATGTCACCGAAGTCAGCATACATGAATTCACAAATGTTTTGTCTTGGTTGAAGGAACACTTCACTCCCAGAAAACTAGAAGGAAAGACACTTCTATTACCAGATGGGAATATGTCTCATTCTACCTCTGTTGAGATGCTGGTGTATGCGGAAAAAAATGACATAATTTTGCTATGTTTTCCTAGTCATTGCACCCATTTCTTACAGCCATTAGGTAGGGCTGTTTTCAAGTCTGTTAAAAATGCATTTTATTCAAACTGCAGACTTTGGTTGAAACGTCATCCTGGCAGGCGTATAACACGATACCAGTTTGGAGAATTTTTATCTGATACCTGGGGAAAATCTGCAACTATTAATAATGCTGTTAGTGGTTTCACGAGTACCGGTATCTTCACATATAATAAAGATGCCATACCGGACTACGCTTTTGCTATAGCAGATGTTCAAATTGAAACACCAGACGTGGCAGTTCAAATTGGGACTCAAAAATTATCCGATGCTCAAGATAGAACCTTAGAAAATATTGGTGATGACCAAGTTGATGAGCCAGCTTTGATAAAAGAAGACAACGATAATAGTTCAACCGCTATTAAAAACCTTGCCGAGAATAACATTCAACTACAAGGGACTTGTCAAAATCTTGAAACAGATTTAACCCCTATCAGTAAAATGCTGGCAGATATATCGCCCGTGCCTAGATTAAGGGTTGAAGCTGCAAAAAGACGGTCCAGATCAGTTGCTTCAGAGTTGACTTGTACGTCAAACATTGAGTCCTTTCGGAAGAAGTACAAAAAGAGAAAAGTAGGAAAAGGCGAGGAACAAAAAGAAACCAAGAAAAGAAAAACTGACCTAAAGTCAGTAGAACCAAGGAAAGAAAGATTAACAGCTGTTTTGCAGAATCTGACGAAGAAACCCTCGCTAATCTTTTGAGTAAAGAAAACAAAAAAATAGAAAAAAACAACCTGAATGACAACGACATCGACGTTGTGGACATCTGCTTAGTCTGCCAGGAATTTGGGAAGAGCGGTGAAACTTGGTATAGGTGCATTTACTGTGGAAAATGGTTTCACAAATTATGCAGCGGGCAAAGTACCCCTGCAAATTGTATTTGTGATTTGTGTTCTTCTAATATTGCAAAGTAGACTGCTCTTAGTTTGTAAAGAACATGTATGCGGCACTTTGGGTGGGCGTCTAATATGACCTAAGTATTTTATTTTCCTGCGAAAAAATAAATAAAATCTACCTGCCATCTCACCTTAAAGGTATGTCCATCTCTCCTACAGACTGTAGGAGAGTATGACATGATAATTATTTAAAAAACTATTTTTCTGCTCGCATTAAATTTTAAAGGTAATCAACCTACACATGAAGGGGTTACTCTATAGCAAATTTCAAGTTTGTACTTTCAATCTATCAGACAATATAACCAATAATAAAAAGTATGGCCATCTTTCCTCGACTTACCCTAGTTATGGTTCGCCCTTTATAGTTAAAAATATTTTCCAAGTAAGGAACATACTGCTGGGTATAATTTTTGTAATTAACCTTTCAAGATTAAGAAAATCTTCACTATAAAAATGCAGAATAAATTGTGGCAACGTTTCTCCTTTTGTTTTAAAAGTATCCCAATCATACTGCAGCACAGGAAGACTGTCGTACCCAGATATAAATTATGCAGGAGGGTCAACAGAGTATCCACGGACTCATTTTAGTGATTATGAATGCATTGTTTGTGTTTCGCCTTTCGCAGCATTTCGAGACAAAGTGTTCCCATCCTCTGCGGCCAGTTCAATCCAGGTGTGTCTCCAGATTTAGAAGTACTGATACTACAAATTATAATAACGCAAGTATATATCTTTCTGTTTTTACTTTTGCGCTTAACCGAAATAAGCATTCTTACATGAACTTTCACTCTTTTTCAGGGTGGCCAATATACAGGGTGTAAACGTTATGGTAGTCATTATTGAAATGGGTAATGGGGGGGTCAAAACAAGTCAAAAAGTTCATATGATCCATGGTCCAAAAGTAAATAGATTTTTGTCTAAATGGCTTTATAGTTTACAACTTTACAACAACTTTAAGTGCTTTATATCGACCACAATCGTACTAATTTTTATAATATAATCTAAAACGTTTTTAAATTGGGTAATTAACAAATACATGGCATTAAGTTTTTCTAAGTTAAGCCAAAATTGTTTAGTCAGTAAGTTTCATTAAATTAATTATTTAAAACACACATGACAACGGCGCGTCGGTTCATCACTCTTATCGAACCGGCAATCGATCGCAAACGGTAACAGTGGTTAGTCGTAATTTGTGTCTGGCATTGCGGCGTTGTCAGATTTTATTTTACTTTAAAGTCGCTTTTCTCTAAAAAAATGCCGTTTTGACCCCCATGTTATATGAAACTTTTTGCTTCTTTTTACCGCTCTATCACCCATTTAAATAATGACTATCATAACGTTTACACCCTGTATAACTGACTGATTTAAACTGCGCGCCATTTTTGATACACACATCTCAGTAGGTGGCGTCGTAGTACTTGTTTAAAGCACATGTGTCCATTTCATCATGGAGCGCTACAGGATCCCACACCCCACAATTACTTGAATAATGAGTCGATTTTGTTGGAAGCTACGACAAGATTTCGGTCGAAATAATGTGCCCAGTTTCAACACCATTCGTCAGTTGATGCGGAAATTTGAACAAACAGGTGAAGTTAAAGACTTGCCAAGATTGGACCGTATTCGAACTGTTCGTACTCCGGAAAATATCGAGAGAGTTTGTGAAAGTGTGGTGGAGCGCCCTGAGGCGTTTACCAGACATCGTTCTCAAGAACTGGGTATTCGTCGCACGTCATTATGCACTATTAAAAAAAGACTTGCATTTGCGGTCATACAAAATTCAGTTAACCCAAGAACCAGTGACCATGAAAGTCGCCGACAATACAGTGATGCAATATTGCAGCTTGATACCCAAAACCACCATTTCTACCGACAACTGATAATAAGCGATGAAGCCCACTTCGATATGATCGGATTTTTTTATAAGCAGAATTGTCGTATCTGGGCATTAGAGAACTCTCGTGTCATCCATCATCGACCACTACATCATCGAGTCACAGTTTGGTGCGGTGTTTGGGATGGAGGTGTCACTGGACCTTACTTCTTAGGAGACGCTGTAGGTAATTCTCTTACTAAAGTGGTGAGCGTTACCGTGATATGATGCAAAACTTTTTGGCTCCTCAAATCCAACAATTTAACCTGCAAAACATGTGGTTCCAGCATGACGGAACAACTTTTGTCACACAGCTAGGGAAACAATTAATCTTTTGCAAACAATATTTACTTGACGTTTAATTTCTCGAGTTGGTGATATCAGCTGGCCACCAAGGTCACCGGCTTTAACGGCTCCTGACCTTTTTATGGGGATTTTTGAAAAATGGGGTTTATGCCAAAAAACCAAATACTGTAGAGCAACTGAAGAACACTACGGAAGCGATTGAAAATATTTCTCCCGAAACCTACGAAAAAGTGATGGAAAATGTAATCAAGAGGTCTCAGGTTTGCGCAGCTTTTAGAGGCGGACATTTGTCTGATATTATTTGGAACACCAATGTCATTGATTCCTTCCGTAGGAAAACCTTAGTGATCCTGTCGGAGTGATGCAGAAATCGATTTTATTAAAGTAATGAAATTTCATCATATAATCACCAAGAAAATAAACATTCCAAACACTTCCTAAAAAGAGCGGGTATTAGACTGCCCTCATATATACTTTCCATATCTTACTCCTGGAATTTAAAGAAATCAGCATGCATATGGCAACGTCGCTGGCCAATCTGCGCCATCTCAGGACTTAATTCAAAAGTTTCGCCAAATAAGTGTGCTTATAGCGATTGTTTCGTATCACCTATCGGGCAGTATTCGAACTTAATTTATGGTAACGAAGGTAAGTAGATTACTACATCACGCCGTTTAGTCGCGCTATCTTTCCGTAAAAAGCTATACCTATATAGCTTATCTAAAAATTACAGAAATCTTTTTGCAATTTTGTAGTGATAGAGATAGACAACAAGACAACATTGTTGATAGATATACCTAGAGGAAACATGATAATTATGCTTTAGGCCTTTAGGTTCAAACAAAATAGCAAATTTCATAACAAAATGTATATTACAAACACATTACAACTTAAGGACCATTTATAACTAACCTGCTCACAGAGCACTAAACACTTACCTAAACAAATATAACTAAGGTGAAGTTATTATTTTAAACACATTTACCACTGCATTAAAAACTAAAATATCACAGCTTACTTTATATGACTGCAATAAGATTTAATAGTGTTCATAATTGTTTCAAGGTAGCTTTTGCTATTCATGTCCTTTTGAAGACCCTGTGTGATTTCCACTTCGTATGATGGTCCATATTCTGGAAAATACTATTTGAAAGACTAACAAAGTTGAAACATTTTGTATCTTTACAAAGCATACCTCTGACTCGTCAGGAATATCATTATCCAAATGAATATTGGCAATTACTGCACTTAAGTAAGTCCAAAGCCTTGATGTATTAGCAAAGTTGTATCCACCTAAAATTAATAGCAATGATAAAGTAATCAAGTCAAAAAAAAATAAAAGTATCTTGATACTTAGTGAATCAGGTGTTACCTCCCCCTAAAAACAATTTCGGAACATTGCATTTAAGGATTTCTCTCACACATTCTGAATATGTTTCTAAAGTTAAGTTGCAGTGACCAATAGGATCGCCATTCAGCCCATCTGCTCCACACTGTACCACAATAGCATTTGCAGGGAAAGATGTCGAAACACTAAAATCATTACGGAATAATAATTAGCAAATTTGCACTATAACAACAATTTTAAAGTGAAACATTCTGAGACATTTTTTTCTTATGTGCCTGCCTTCAACATTATATCCAAAGTTTGACAGACACTGGCAAAATTGACCAGAATTTATTTTCAGATACTAACCAGTTGAATACTTCCTTAAATACTCTGATATAGTTTTCATGTCCTATACCTTCATAAAATGGAACATTAATTGTATAGTATCTTCCCTCACCACTCCCAATTTCATCTAGACCTCCAGTACCAGGGTAAAACCCTGGAGACTTGTGATGAAACGATAATGTCAAGATTTTATTGCTGTATTCAAAGGCATTTTGTACACCATTGCCTAAAATATTTGACAAGCATAAATATTTAATCATTTGCCTTAGAACAAATACATGCCATTGCTAAATATTGAAGAAATGTGCAATACTAACCATGATGTATATCTAAGTCAACATACAATATTTTCTCAAATGATTTTCGAAGCATCTGAATAGCAAGTACTACATCATTCACATAACAAAATCCCTCAGCACAGTCTCTAAAACAATGGACATTATAGGAAACAAATACTATTTCAAACGTAAAAATGAGGCAATTGGACATAAATAACATCAGGTTCGAAAAATACATATTATTAGACTTTTGGCAATTATAAAAAGCTGTGTACCTTTGTGCATGATGCCATCCTCCGAACCAATTTATAGCAATGTTAGATTTCTTGGCTACCAGCAACTTTGCTGCAGAAATAGAACCACCAGCTATGGTTTTAACTAACACAACACTATTGGGCAATAAAGGACAGTCGTCTGTTAAACCAAAATAGGCAGGGTCTTCTTTAGGATCTTCAGTAGGGTTTTCAACAGATTTCAAATAGTCAATGTACGCTCTTGAGTGGAAAGCCTTCAGTTCATTTTCAGTTGCTTCGGCACTTTTTACAACTAAAAATCTATCATCTAATAGAAGATTATACGAATTAATTAGATCTTGAACCATAGAAGCCTGAAAAAGATTTAAGCATTCAAAAAAAAACGTAATTAAACGTCAAAAGGACATATTTATAAGCTTACCCGATTCGGCACTCCAGGTAACCGGTTGGATTCTTGAATTAAACTTTTATTATAGATATAAATAATCCTATTTTCAGCCATTATTTTAGTTTATGAAAAACAATCCGTTACTATCCAGCAATCAACTCTACTTTTCAATTTTCAGAAGCATCTTTTGTTTTGATTTCCTAATTTCCCTCCAAAAGCATGAAACGAGGAGAACAGATAGATATGAATGACACAACATAAAGATCATAGATTAGAACGCCAATGTAGGGCGATACACGTAATGGCTTCCAGGACTTAATTCATAAAAACTAGCAATTACATTGGCAGAACAGATTTAAGCATTCTTCTACCGATCGGCACGGGTACTATGTAAAAAACCTATAAAACTTCAAAAAACCAATAAAATGTCATCTTGCAACTAGCTAGTTTTTAGGGTCTGCAAATAGTTCATTCCACGTTTGCTCGCTATGACCGCTGTGAGTGTCCATCTATGGAAGAATGACTCAACTACATTACGTGCGTTGGTCGTTGCATATACAGGGTGACTTTGAAGTTGAGTCATTACTTTTCAGATAATGATTGTAGAAGGAAGATAAACCAAAATATGTGTGTAAAAATAAAAAAAAAATTTACCTTGTTTTATAAAGTATCCTCCCGACAAGTATTTCAGTGCGGACCTGTATTTGATCGTGAGGTCCCCTGTGAGGTCTTAAGTCACCTGATTCACGAGCCCGTTGTACTACATTAACAAAGGCACGAGGGGTTGGTTGCACTCGATTGGGAAACCGATCCGCATAAACATGTGCCATTTTTTATTTCGTTTGAGCCACGCAACAGACACTATTCACACGCGACTGACACTGACTGTATGTATAACTGAACTGAATAAAAAATTGTAAAAACATCGTTCCAAATTCTTTCGCTTTTTTGTTTCCGATGCGATGAACCGATAAGGTTGATTATATCCGTTGTTGCCAAACACGAGCACATGATATTATGATTGAGACAGGGCGGTACTCAAACTTCCAAAGGGCTATAACTTTGTTACTTTAATTTTACCAGAAAAATGGTAAAGGAAAAAAACATTTCTTTTGATCAGATCTACTCAGTGTTAAAATAAATGACTCAACTTCGAAGTCACCCTGTATATAAGTTGGTTGCATAGCAAGCTTGCATCTGTATGGTTATGTGTATTGGCATGCGTATAAAATCAGTGCATGATATTTGCTATGTGAAAAAGTTATCACTGAATATGCTGCCAATGAAGTATATCTATTAGCTGTGCCCATGGGTTATTTATATGTTGTCCCTTTTTGAGACAGATAATGTTCATAGTTATAAATTAGGATTTTTCCCGTTTTTTGTGTTTACAAAAACTTTGAGTAGCACTAATGACGTAATGACGCATCACACAAATAATGAAAACTTGTGGAAAATGGTAGTTAATTGGAGATTTCTTGAAGATGGGCTAACGCCATAGAACAATAAATAGGTAGGTGATTTGGCATCATCGGATTTTTGTGCTCCTTGTCAAAAGTGTTAACTGGTGCATGTCAAATATACCTAACCTCAAATTTCTCAGGACAGTCCGAAAACATTTTCAAAAATGTTTAGGTTCTTCAGTACTGTCCCCCGAAAAGTACATTTGTGCAAATGGCACAGAAATTCAACGCTTAATAACTTAAGGACCTTCCTTTCTCAAGCCTACTATTGCGATGAAGTCTGGGACCGAAGACTGAACAGTCCTCTGCTACAAAAGGTAAATTTGGATGAATTATACTATGAATTGGACCAAAGATACCAAAAGACACGACAAATAAGTGCTGTTGATGTAGACATATTCACCAATGCAGTCAAAACTTCATCATATATGGATGAAATGTTGGATCTTACTCATAAACTACGACTATCTGCTGACTCTTGCAACACACTGGATTCAACCCCTCATGCAGTTGTGAGGAATTTGATGAAATACGATCCTACAGAACTGCCTAATATAGTAGATGACAGACTAAATTTTGGTATATTTTTGGATTACCACACTGCTAACTTGTTACTCGACAAATATTGGAAGGATAAGAATTATGCTGCTGGAGCTAGGGTTGCCCAACAGTTCATGTTACAAGAAGAAATGGAACATCCTGCAACTAAAGCATTATCTTTATTACATTGTTATAACTATCTTCTAAAGCCAGAAGGTTGGAGTGTTCCAGAACCTCCCACAGAACCAGAAGAAGAAGTCAAAATTAGAGTCAAATACCTTAGAAATCCATATGATGATGATCACTTTGATCTGAGAGAACCAAACAAAATTGTAGGAAAAAGTTTAGCAATGTTCACAAAGCAATCGAAAGATCCTCTAAATAAGTCACTGAATTTACTGGGTTGGGCTTTATATGAAAAACCTGACAAGTTAAAGAGAAGTTTAGAAGAATGCAAAAGCAACAATATTGAGGTATATAAAGAAATAGTTGATCAAATACCAGAATCCCTAAGGGATGAGCTTCAAGGTGTGAAAACTGAATCAGCTAATGTTCAGCAGATATTAGAAGACAATGTAAAAACTGCAGTACAGAAGACATCTGAAAGTGACATTGCTGAACAATGTAAAACATTTGAAAAATGGGAGACCGAAAGACAGGCGGCCTTACAAGAACAAAAACAAAGATTATCTGTGGCACAGAGACTTTCAAATATTGAGGGATTAAAGAAAGAACTTGAAGAAAAGGAGACAAAACTTTGGTTCTTTGAGAATGAAGAAAAGATTGAACTTGGCATTGAAGCAAAGAAAGTTTACTATCCAAAGAGGTGGTTTGGCAACAAGAAGAAGCCTAGGAAAGTTGATGAAGGCTATGTACCACCAGAAATTTAAATTTAGTTTAAGTGTTAGAAGAAAAAATAATTTTATTATGTACAATTTGTATAAATACATTTTTGTTTAATTTTCAGTTCTATTCACTAATGTGTGTGTTTCTTTTTCTATTTGAGCCAAGTCGGAAGTAACTCTTTCCAATTTCAGACTTATTTCTTTAGACTTCTCTGTTTCAATCTGTTCATATAGATTCCTGGATTCTCTTTCGGTTTGGCCTAGCTCTGTGACAGCTCTCAAGATAAGGCTGCATTCATCTCTCAAAGATGCAAGCAACTTATATGCCTTCCTTGCTATTTCATCACTTTTGGCATCCTGAAAGAAACATTTTTGAAATAAATAGCTGATTAACAATAATTTATAATACATACTCTAAATATTAATTCATCTGACAAAGTGAAAGACCTATCCACTTGTCCAGTAAGATTATTTATATCTTTCTGTATCCTCCTAGTATCTTTTAGTACTTTCTGAATTTCATTATGTTGTTTTCTAATGTTCCCAATTATTTCTAAAATTCGTCTAGTGTATGCAGATCTAAAATAATAAAGACGTTTTCATACAATCAACAAAGTTATGTAATTCATTTCAGTAGAGGTATAAATGGCAACACTGCCTGATGACACCTTCCAGTGGCCTGGGAATCTCCTATCCCTGGCTTCACCTCATTGTAGGTTACATCGAGAGCAGTGTTGCCAAATGTGATTTCTACAAGAAATGCTGTTCTGTAGCAGCACCAATTCTATATCTACCTGTTGCTATTGCTACCCATCTGATGATACTTTTGTAGCAAATTCTGCTCCATTACAGTTTTTTCTTTCAGATCATCTATTAATTTTGCATGAGTTGTCTTTATAGCATTGAGCTTATATTTCTCTTCTTGCAATTTTTTTTCTGCCTCTGTCAATGTGCTCTGTAAGGTCTTCAGTTCTTCCAGTAGAGGAGTTTGTACTTCATTCCACTGGTTAGCCAACTTCACAAGATGATCTTTGGCATTTTGAATAAGGTTTTTCAACCCGGCTTTGTTCTCCTCCTTATTTGTTGTAACTAAGGTGTTTGTTTTTAATTTCAGCTTGACTTTTGACATAGTCCTTTTCAGTATTTCTTGCTCTTCATTTTTCATAGCTACTACCTGAAATATATAATCTGTATATAGACTGAGCCCAAATTAAATTATCTACATGGCAACCTATAAAAATACAAGATTCTGCAGACCTATTTGGCAACATTAGGTTTAAAAAGGTAGTATATCTTGTTTTTCTAAGTTACCTGTGCTAAATGCTGCCCATCAGTCTTGAGTGTTTCTCTTAAAGCATTTAACTCAACATTCAAACTTTGAACTTCTTCTATGACCTGGTCAATTTCAGCCTTATTTTTGGATACATTATTACTTGCCTCATTCAATTCCTTGCATAACTGTATATCACTTTCTACTTTTTCAACTAAATTCTGCTGATCATATTCACTCATATTCTTTAAATTTGTACTAGTAGGAAAGCTACTGTCATTAAATAACAGTGAAGGTATGAGTTGCTTTACAGAACATTGTTTTGACACTGGAGAAACAGTATCAGCCCAATATTGTTTCAATTCTGCAAAAAACATCCACATATTTTATGGGCTGATGTGAAGGAAGGCCAAAGATAGAGGTGGAAATAGTTTTATCATCAAAAAATGTTTGATAAGTGAAAACAGCAATGCTGCGATCTTGATGAGAATTCCAGCATTAGTGTTGCAATTTTCTACTCCAAAAGTAGCTATAACTGACTGAAAATATGCTTAAAAGTACAGTTAATTATAGGAACATAACTATTTGGTGACTTACCATCATTTTCTGTACTGGGATCAGGAATATCTAAACAAATAGTCTCTAATGGTCTGCAGTTCCCAAATGAATTAACTATCTCACCATCACCACAAGTTCTGATACCATTCTTCAAGAAAAATGATGGCACCCACAACTGATTTAATGATTCTTTGAGGTTCTCCTCAATATATTTCACGAGCCTAGGTACATAGCCAGTTTGCTCAATAGGTGCGACAGTTTTACTCTCTTCTCTAGGCAATCTTTCAATCAGAAACATCAAAACACGTCGAATCTCCACCTCATTACAATACAGAATTGTTTGATAACCCATATCGCCCCTAAATCCAAGGTCTTTAATATGCTCTGCTATATCAGATGCAACTTTCAGACGAGTGATCATTGAGGGAGGAAGCTTTTTGGGAAATGTAACATCAGGTGTTATAGCCTCTAAGCAATATGAGACTGCTTTAACTACCATATCTGCGTCAAACTGTTTTAATGTGGTAATAGCTCCAAAGTCACTGCAAAATGGGAAAGATAAGCTTCACCTTGTACAAGTATGGTTAATGAGTCTTACCATTCTAATTGTTTCAAAGAATCTATAATAATTTTATCGACTTCCTCCATTTTATCTTGCCTAGTATTCTGTAGAAAAAAACATTAAATGCGATAAAATTCAATTATTATTATATTTACAATTAACGCTGAATCATAACCTCAATCTTGAACTGTCAAAACACAGCTGATTTTGACAGCTAATGTCAAACTTGAAAATGAAAACAAACGTCAAAAACTGTATACAGTTATAAGGTTTCCATTGTATTTCATTTTCAGGAAATTAATCGACGGTTTTCTATCTGCATTAATGCAGAATACAACAATAAACTGATGTTTAGCACCATGAAATTCCTCATATAGAAGGCACCCATTTTGAATGTTTTAAAACATTGAATGTGAGGATATCAAAGGCTTGTCCATGAACTTGGGGCTATTCAACCGTATGAACCTAAAGGTAAGCTTTAAGAGGCTCTTCAGATAGCTAAAATACCATGTTCATCTATTTTTTATGTATTCCCCAACCACCCGGTTTTATAACTGTTTTCTGTTTGACTGGTATAGGAGCACTTCTATGTGTTTACTCTTCCACGTGAAAATTAAGAAAACAAATAACATCACCAGTCTATTTGAAGTTCCCAACCAAAGCTAGAATGTCACCCTGTAGATTTTTTTATGCAATTGTACATGAGACTGTTCTTATGCTTGGTAGCAAACAGATTATTGAGAACATAAATATGTGACTGACATTTTCATATGTTCATCAACCTTATTTGTCAAGATTGATCTATTCTTTATAGGAGAGCAGTGAAAGCAAAGGAATGTACTCAGAATGGACATCTCTGAGTCTTGCCATTCAACAGAGTGGGGAGGACACTCAGAGTGTTTTGGAAAAGTTTGGACTACCTGTCAGCAAAGATATAACCGTAGCACTTGTGCATCAGCTAGCTAGCAACCTAGGCATCACTCAACCTGCTGAGCCTAGTCATCTGTCCTCTGATAAAGATGTAAGTTAGATTAACAGCATTAGTAGGTGACACACTTTACTATATGGAAACTGTATTTTTTATTGAGAAAAGATTAGTAAATGTATTTGTTAAATTTGTAGGTTCAATGGTGTATGGAAGTCATATGTTTTGGCCTCTCTCTTTCCCTCACTGAACATGAAGCCATCAAAGATTGTGTCAATGTTTACTGTGAATGGCTCACTGCTTTACTGCCTAATCCTAAAATATGTGTCCCTCAACCCATATTGGATGACCCCAACTTGTATTCCAGAAAGATGATTTCTCATTTGCACTACCTGTTTGTTCCAAGGAAAGGAGAAGGTAATTTTTTCTAAAAGCTCATATTAAGTATTCTATATTTGTATCTCATTAGAATCTTGGGTTTTCTCAATAAAAAATTACTGCTGAACATCTTGCATAATGATTTATGATAATGACGTTATTTGAAATATTTGTTATAGAAAAAACATAAACACCATACTGTCATTAAATATGTACCATATTGAAGGTGAAAATGAGAACTATTTGTTTTGGGCTGTCAGGTCACACACACAAACACACACACTTTTGCCATGTTTACTTCTTATGAAATTGCCTGTATATCTCTGGTAGTAAACTCTCATGTATACCTTTAGTTCAAGCCAACTCTGAAAACCTTAATTGAATAATGTTTAGATAAAAAATATTTTCATGAATGTTTGATCTATGTGTAATCTATTAACCTCTACATAATAATTTACTTACAAGACTGGCCATTTCTGTATCAGGACCTAGGTATGGTTTGCATCTTGGTTGCTTCCAGATTAACCAATTAGTGGCATGATTGTATTTTTGTGATTTGCATAAATATAAAGCAGCATGTGTCTAGATGATTTTACTTAATATGCCTCCACTGTTTTTAAATAGGTTTAGTTTGATTTAGTGGTGACTGATATTATTTTTGGCAATAATGTGTACAGTAATATAATCCAATCCTGTCATCACTGAATTTTCTTCTTATGATAAGTAGAAACCCTGAAGATCTCAGATGCCATAAGCACGTGAAAGACCTTGACCTTTTGTTAGTATTGCTTCTCATTCGCGCAAAAGGCGGTTGTCAAGTTGGGGGAAGTGTAGAGCTAAATAATTTGCACCCATAGGTTGCGTTTTTATTTTAACTAATATCTCTGCGAAAGGTTGGGAAATCTCGAAACTGGAGATACTACAGACCAAAATATGTATGTAAACATACCTTAGTCCAAAATTTGATAGATTGCGATGTACAGGGTGTCAAAGTTCAGTTTTATTTTCTATTTTTCCTTATTGCTTGAGAAGTATTTCAAATTTCTAGAGGGCGCCTCTTACAGCACTATTTCGGTAAATAACTTATCATAACTTTTTTGTGCTACCCAGTATACAACAACTGACCGAAAAATCTTATTTTCTGGTATTTCTACAACAAAAAAGGTTAACTTGTTAGAAGTGTTTAAAGCTAATAGTTTTCGAGATATTTGTTTTTAAAAGTTCCAAAGCATTACATCATACCAATCTGTACATTAAATGAATATCAGAATATTCATCAAACAAATACTCATGATGTTCAACAACTTATTGTCAACTTGAAATTATTGATGAAGTTTAAAGCAATATTTTGACAAATATTAGAAACGATGGCAACACTACTCAGTTATTATCCAAAGCAACTTGATTATTGTGTTATAAAAATGTTTTATCATCATGGTTCAAACAATGCATTGGAACTTTTGAAAACAAATATCTCGAAAACTATTAGCTTTAGACACTTCTAACAAGTAAACCTTTTTTTTGTGGAAACACGAGAAAATAAGATTTTCCGGTCAGTTGTTGTATACAGGGTAGCACAAAAAAGTTCTGTTAAGTTATTTACCGAAATAGTGCTGTAAGTGGCGCCATCTAGAAGTTTGGCCATAACGGATTCTCATTTCTCATACTAGAAAACCTCCCTATACCGAGTTTTATGCCAAAATCTGAAATACTTCTCAAGCAGAAAGGAAAAATAGAAAATAAAATTGTAACTTTGACGCAAACTATCAACTTTTGGACCTAGGTATATTTAGGTCAATTCACATATTTTGGTCTGTAGTATCTCCAGTTTCGAGATTTACTAACCTTTCGCAGACACCCTGTATGAATTGTTGAATGCTACCATTTATTACTGCTTGGGTTCAACTCATAACAACAAAACATACATTCTATAGGTTTTGACACAATCCATAGACAAGCAGTATTTTGCCATCGTGTACTGAGAACACTCCAACAGATTGCGCACGAGTCTAAGATGTTAGAAAGAGATACCTGGGAAGCTCTCCTTTTATTCCTCTTAGCTATTAACGATACTCTTCTATCTCCCCCAACTGTCAAAGATGATGTGGCAGATCAACTTTGTGAAAGAGTTCTGAGTGTTCTTTTTGAGGTAAGAAAAAGAAAATATCCATCGACCTTTTTAATCCCTGTTGCTACAGCAAGTTTGAAGAAAATGACGGTGGCCTTGATTATGTCCTTAGTCGCAACCTTCATGGCCACTAAAAGGTGAAACTAAGACGTTTCTAGCAAAAATGTTCGACATCATAGTTTTGTTAGCTTTGGGAGGACACCCAAAGGTGATTTTGACCATGTCCTCAAGGTCATATAAATATAAAATTCCTCTTTTGGATAAAGATCAAGGAGTTGCCTCACAAATAACATTCAAGATTGACAGGACCTTGACTTTAAGGTTAAAGTCACATTCGAACGAAATGTCCTTGAAGGTCGTTGTGAAGGAATTTGTCAAGGTCACTTTCATTTTCCCCCTCGAAACCCTTCAACTTTTACTTCAAACTTGTTCTAGGATGCATAGTTTTGCAAATATTTAGATAGGGGGTGTTAAAGGTTAAAATATTTTACATAATTTCAGATATGGCTAATAGCTTGTGCACAATGCTTTCCAGCGCCACCATTATGGAAAACCTTGAGAGAATCTTGTATGAACTGGAGGCATAGGGTGGCGCTAGTGGAGCAATGGAATCGAGTTAACTTGGCTCTCACCTCAAAAGTGTTGGTGTTTATGTATGGTCCCTCCTTTCCAGAGTTGAAAATAGGTAAGAATAGATGTCTTCTGGAATCCCAAATAATATAGATGAGAAAGTGTGGTTGCCTGTTACTTAATCACGACAAAACGAGTGAACGGATCTGGATAAAATTTGGTACAGATAGATTTGTTATACTATTTAGGAATTTTTTTTAAAATTGACTGGTGCTCAAATTTCATGTTTTGTGCCTGGTCCTTTATTGCTAAATTGCCGCTATGTTAAATTGTGATTTCACATCACTTAGACGACTTTTGAACTGAATTGTTATTTGTTTCAGGAGAAGACGATATAATTCCACCTGGCATGTCTAATGACTGCATTGCGCAGAGCTGGTACAGATTCTTAAATACAATAGGAAATCCTGTTAGCCTTACCAAACCAAAGGTGACCATTAAATTTATTTCTAAGCCGCGAAATAACAAAATTCTTTGTAGGTTATAAGCCAGACACAGAAATTCTTACAGTTTGCTATCAGTACCGATGGTATCGCCGATCCTTGTCAACATTCTTGCTTACAAGCTCTCCCTTTGATATTCCTGAAAGCAATTAAAGGGATTGCAGGACAAGTTGACGCATTTTTGGGTTCGTAAATATATATAGCTTTTAGATTATGTGGATTTCTCGCGAAAAAAGTCTGTTGCCTTATTTTACTTGTCATTGGCTCAAGTTGCAATCGGATTCATATAATAACCTATTGTTACTTTTTATAAGATTATTTGTTGCCTGTTCGTTTTTCATAATTTCATTTGGTCGTCCATGTATCCAAATTTTAAATTCCATAACTCTGGACACAAACAATTATTTCGCAATTTCAAGTAATTTTTAACATTGTTGAAGTTCAGAATATATGCTGTTCAAGCTTTGCCCGTTTTTCATTTTAGCTTCATTAAAAAGTTGCTAACCATTTTGTTTAATTTCAGCAAAACTATTTTATACAATCTCAAAAACTCGTTTCTTACAAAGTGTTATTCGTGTATCAGTATATGTTTTGCTTACATCAAAATTACCTTGATTTGATTTGTTATATAAGTACTTTTTATAGATCCCTACTAGCTTTTATGTATATCTTCAACAGTTTTCTTCTTGTTGGTGATTTGTGTAAACTGATTGACATCTTAAATCACTTATGCACCACACCACACTGTGCCTATTATTGTTTCTTCCACATTGGTAGTTGTTAGAATTGGGACGTAAGATATCACACTATAAAATGATGATCTTAATGTATTATACTACAGGCGGTTGACAATTACTCCAATGAAAGAAACTATAAAACAAATGTAAAATTTCAATCAATAATTGCATGCACTTTTTATTTGATGATCTTGAAAACTGTTAAGGTTTTGATCAGATACTGATCGTTCTGATTAATTTTGTCTAAACCTGGTATTATATCGGCACAAGATTTGGTTGAGTTTATTTTTTATCGTTCTTTACTGTCTAAATAAGAAAATGTCTATTTACTGTATTTATGCCGAAATAGCTTCAACTTCGACTCATCTGTATGTGAAAATTTTAAAAGGAGTTTTTTAGGCTTCTTCTAGAGTACTTTGGTTTGTGCACTCTACAGCACAAGTATTGCGTTATCAAGTTTTTTAGAATTTAAATAGGGCTAAACCTAATCCAAGTCCTAGACAGAATGAATATAAACACAGTCATGCACTACCCGAGTAGCACCCGGAAGCTGACCCTAGACACGATCCTCGTACTGTTATTTAAAATTTGTAGAAAAAGTAGATGTTTCAAAAGTTTTAATTCAGACTTCGATTGTCTATAAAAGTTTGAGATTACAATGTTTCGATTGATAAGTTATCTTCAATCAAAACGTTGTCTCTCCATTACCCATCAGGCTTAACTATAAATACGGATTTAACTTTTTGAGGAAACGTTTAATAATATGAAGAACCTAGGAACATATTTGACCACAAATTGATGCATTCACAAGCTTTGATAAACGGCAACAGCTGTCAGAATTTGGAATACAAAAAATTTATAACAGAGTCGCGGTTCGGGTTCCCGACTACTGCACTTCGCTCTTCGCCTGTATCTATTCAATCGCCTTCCTTTGTACGTGCGTGACCTGTTCACAATCCGTCCAAAAAGTTTGAGAGTATTCGAGATTCCATTGTTTCGGCGGTCGCCGGTACATGGCGCTGTTAGTAGTTCTCGTTGTCGCCAACAGATTACGCTCCGACTTTACCTCGTGCTGAGCTGCTTTCCAGTGGTTTTAGGTTTGAAAGGGTTCACTGTGCAATGGAACGGTATTAGGGCCGTATTGGCAGCCGTTCCTACAATTGTAGGACGCCTTTATGACCTCCTTGATTTCCATAATATTATCTCTCCTTTAAAAAGGCTAGGATATTTCTATGTTTCTACAGTTCCGTGTCAGCGTCATCGCTGTCCTATTATGAGGTTATGTTTTCTTTTTAATTTGCAGGAAAATGCAGGCTAATAGAACAGATGATATAAATCAAAAGCATGAACAATTTGATGCAAATAGATATTTGTGACATAGCCTCAAAATAGAGCGCTGGTACGGAACAGTAGAAGACTATGAAAATCAAGGAGACCATAAAGGCATCCTACAATTGTAGGAATGACTGACGATACGGCCCTTAGTTCCGAGCACCACTGAGTAGCCCAACTGGGCCACCGGAAAGGGAAGGAAAGGCGATAGATCAACCGATAGATATCGAATTTTTCAATAGGCGCCGCGATCTCGTGAACGTGCTTCTTATGTTTTGTTCTATCTTGGATTTAGATATGGTTTATGACTGTCAGGTTTCCGGCATAATATTTTAGATCAATCATAATGAACCGTTATACAGTGCAACAGTAGTGTATATCTATTGATTGTCGGCGTATAGGTATAGCACAGCCGATATGGTGGGACTCTGTGGTGACTGGGGCATGGGGCAGCACCGACAAGAACAAAAACGCAACGCCTGTCACTCATTCTCCGACCCCGCCTACCCAACGGCGTCTCGCTAAAAGTTTCAGTGTCACCCAGTCTTCTGCTACTAAGGGTATTAGATATAGTTTCTTTCTCTTTCTGCTTTTGGTGTTGGTAGTTATTGTACATTAGTGTGGTTAAAATATGACAGGACAAGTCTGTATTTGAATGGAAATGGGGCAGATTGAGCCATGAAGGAAAAATCAATTACTTGTGAGTGTGACAGATCCTACTACAGATTTTCCAGCTGCTTACAGAGCTAGCTTGATTTTTTGATGTCAGGAAAATAGAATGGCGGATTCAGAACGTAAACATATGAAAGAAAATTTGTACCCGGGTCCGGCACCCGTGTTATATAAAATAATCGCTGTATGATAGCGATCTGTTTGCCATACTTGTCACGTGTACTCATTCTTAACATCATATATGTATGTATGGCGCAATGACCTGTAGCATAAAACTGACAGCTTAGGCCATACAAGCTATGAACAGCCTTCCTGAAGCAGATATTATATCGGAATCAGAACACTGCTCAAGTATCTTGACGTTTATTAAACACATACACCTACTACAAGTAAATATGAAGTGAATGATATCTAGTTCCAAAGTGACAACTATGGGGATCATATCCCTGTCATTTTGCAGTTATTTATTTTTTAAACTTACGTTTAGCGAAAAATTGTACGCCACTGATTTTCGCATAAATATATGTCATTTTCTCAACGCCATCGTATCAATTCTGCTTGGAAAGTGACTGTTGGAGCTTTTGGATATATTTGTTACGAAGTGCTAGATCAACTACTAATTTTACTTACTGAAAAAATAATTTTTATTTTGGAGAGGGTGCGTTTAAATGAAAAACCTCAAAATCCAATTTTTAAGCAGAAACAATCTGATAATGATTCTGATTTATTTTGCAAGAGCAAAGCAGCAGTGACGTACTATTTCTACGCTAAACTACAGCGATTTACCCTGCACTGTTTAGGTCCTTTAGAAAACAATTTTCGAAAGGTGTAAAAAGTTTGACTTATGGTAACGGGTCATTTTTGGGCCTGTGGTTATATGAACTTTTTTTAAGTGCTCAATCTGCCTTTAATTTTTTTGAAAACCTTCGTAGCACCCTCCATACACGGTGTCCCATTTTAATCTCCTACCTAAAGTGTTCATTCTAGAAAAACAGTTTGAAACAAAAGTTGTAGGGTTTCGAGGGGGCAAAATAATGGTGTCCTTGACAGTGACATTGACCACTGCATCCAGGGTTAGGTGAATATCTTTAAATGTAATGTCGGAATTAAAAAGAGGAGCAAGTTTTAGGTTCGAATATCACCTTATCCATAACCTTGGTCATTCCCTTCAAGGCCACTTCAATGTCAAATCAAGACATCGAAAATAATTTGCTCTTTCAAAAATGTTCATCAGAACAATTGTGAGGTTTGTAGGCATCACCCAAAGGTGTGCTTGACCATTGCCTTCAAATTCAAGTCAAAATTTTCAAAGGAAACCTCTAATTTTTATTTTCGAAATAAAAATGCAGGAAGTTTATGTTCGAATGTGACCTTGACCTCAAAGTTTTCCACTATTAAACTGAGAAGTTTTTATTGGAAAGATTGGCTTGACCTTGAAGGTTATGGTCAGGGTCATCCTTGAGTCATCCCCAAAAACCTCACAAATGTGGTGTCCAACGGTTTTGCTAGAACAGATTGTTTTCGATGTCTTGATTTGAACATTATATGGTATTGAAGGCAAAGATCAAGATCATGGGTAAGGTGAAGCTCGAACTTAACAGTTACTTCTCCTTTTAATTCCGATGCGAAAAAGGGTCGTTCCACTTGAAAATATTCAGTTGACCTTGAGATGTCCTTGAAGGTGGTAGTCCAAGTCATTATGCCTCCCCGAAACCCTCGCGCTCTATGACTTTCGTTTAATTTTTTTTTAGAATACGCAATTTTCGAAATATTCAGCTATGGAGATTAAAATGGTGTATAATACATATCATACCCTCTCCTAGTTTTAGGCATGGACTGGTTCGTTTGTAGTGAACTTATAGTATTTGATTATTTTTGACCACACCGTGTGTACATTTTCCATTCTGTGTATCTGCATCTATCACAGTATTTTTCAATTGTCTAATGCTGATCGGTCTACATTGTAAATAAATAATAAAATTATATCATCTATATCACATAAATGGGTGTTGGCATTAATGACTTTAAAAAAATGGATTCTTATTAAGCACGTCTTGGTAGTGGCGCCTGGTATTCTCCCATTATCTTACATATCTAAAAACTTAAACTTTTATTTCAAACCTTAATGTTTTGTCTTCATTATCGATTATTTTAGAGTAAGTAATAATTTATTCATACAAAAATTGACGTGTATCAAAATTAACATTGCATTAACAGCTTGCTGCAAGAAAGTTTGTTTTCTGTGATCTAGTGTTAAGGTAGAAATATATTGCTCACTATAACCTATTATCAATCAGGTATTCCAAAGTCCTCCTTAATAAGTCTAACAACCAGCCGAAGCTCTGCAGTACCTCAATTGACATCTACCAATTCGGGACCATCTTCAGCATCTAGCGTTTCTTGTAAGTATTAAAATTACTGATTTTGGAACATTGTTCGATGATTTTTCGGATTCATTTCAGCACTGACATCTTTTGGCTCCGAGCCAAAGTCACCATTAGCACCAGGAAGAGCAAAATGTAACACTATATTGCACTTGTTTGGAGAATGGTTATTCGAAGCCGCATTTATTGGATGTGATTTACCTCAAAGTGAGTCTTCCTTTAATTCGAATATCATATATTTTGTTTAGAATGTGTGTTTTCAATTATGTGGCCTATTCCAATAAATATTTTGACCACGCTGTTGCGACGTAAATTGAAAAAGCGCTAATACGTATTGCCATTGATTTACTTACTTTATTTGGAGATCTGCCAACGATATATTGTATTTCAGCGTCCAAAAAGGGATCTAAATGACACTAGCCATCTATGAGGCGGTAACAGAGAGCAAACATGAATTTAGAAATCTACTTTGAAAATTGTTTGGTTCTCCTCCCAACTAACAATTATCACTCCTATTAGAGTTGCAAGAACGATTATACAGTCTTGCTTACACAGCATTGTATGCTGTAAGAACATTGGCAAAACGCTCTTAGAACAGCTATACAAGCGGAATGGGCACACCTAATAGGACACTTCAGTCATTTAAGAGGTTGTATAAGGGCTGTAGGTAACAGTTATACAACAAAAGTGTAAACCTCTTGCAGCCGCTAGAGAACATTTGCGTCAGTGCAAGATTCAGTTTTTGTCAACTATACAACTATTCTGTTACGTGATTCTACTTTATTGCAACCAAACTATTTCTTATATATTGTATAGGCGAAGTGGAGAATATATAACTAACACATTGCAGTCATCTTGTTTACTTACATATCGGCCATTGTGAATTTCATACACAGGTATATGATAAACTTCTACACTGTGATATAGGTTTAATAATGATCAAAAGTATGTTTAGATTTTTAAGATGAAAAACTGAACTTATCTGCGTTAAATCTTCCACAAATCCTATATTTAGACACAATTACACTAATGTTTATCACTTTATATCTGTAATGTCGAACTGAAACATAGTTAATTAATTTTCAATAGAAGAATATATTTTTGCCCAATATGGCGGGTGGTTATGTATAATCATGGCATCGTCCATGTTGCCTTTGGTTTATTAGAATATTTTGGTGCTGTCTGCAAGTGTTATACAACAATTTGACAAATCTCTGAAATCAAATACGGATAGAGTCGAATGATTTACCCAGAATTTTTACCAGATCTATATCTCCTGTTTGAACAGTTGATAAAACCTTTTAAACCACTATGCACGTCATAAAATATTGGTTATGGCATTTTAACTAAAAAGATAACAGCAGAAATTTAGGTTTTGGTGAAGTTGTATACCAACATATTTAACAACAAATGTATGCCGAGAACAGCAATTTTGTAGTATAAAAGTTGTAATATTGTTGCAGATGTACAGCCTTTAACAGTTACTAAACGACAGTAGTATAAATGCTTCCGTTGGGAGAAATTTGTTGGCTAAAGTAGTAAATGTGCAGACAAAAACAACAAGGCTCAGGTTTGTTGTATAAACGTTACCATGGATGCCACAACACAACTATTTTGACTACCGCGCATATATGACGTATAAAATAGTTGTATAAACGTATATGCAACCGTTCAAAATTTGTCCTATAAGGTGTTGTATAACTATGCTATCTATAAGAATATTTTAAACACCTCATTTTAGAGCAAATATGCTGCAGAAAGCAAATTTGCATTCCACACAACATTAAGCCAGCATTTTGTTGTTCAGGCAACAACAATAGAGAGCTTTTACGGCTAAACAGTTCTTTTATCAAAAGCTTATAGCACTACTTTGCCAGTTGGGCTGCCATCTCATAGATGGCGCTAGGAACTTCAAACGCTTTATGGCGCCTTTATAATGCCTATTTTAACTGTGGTGTCATCAGAATACCTTAATCAGTGCCTGAAGATATCCAACTAAAACAGACATTAGAGGGGCAAAAAAAGGATTGAAGATTCAAACGGCATCTATGAACCAAACAACCAACTCTTCTCGAAATGGATAATTTAATTCATTTTTGTGTTCTGCTATTGTCTTACAGATGGTGCTAGTATCTCTCAAATCCCGTTTTCAATCGATGATATTATACAAATGATTTTTCTCGTGTGTATCAGTGGACCTTTTATTTTAGAGCAAACATCAGGTGAATCTAAGAGAGCAAACTCATTAGTTATGGAGAGCTACTCCCAACCAGGATCAATTACGGATACTAGTGAGCTACCTCCTGGATTAACGATAGACAAATATGAAAGTGGAAGAGCTGAAGCCCTAGGCACGCTGTGTAGAATCATGTGCGCCAAAAAAACTGGGGAAGAAATTTTACCAGTGTATTTAGCTAGGTTAGCAACTAATTATTTTTATTACGTAGATATTTCTCAAAAAAAATACGTTTATGTCTCATATTTATATATTTCTCGCATGTATGGCATGGTAACTTCAAAACATATGATACAAACATGGAAGATTAGTGGCAAATTTTTAGTTAAAAAATGACACTAAAACAACTGTGCCTTAATGACACTTATGTAGTTTTCACTACACTTATCTTTTTATTTCTGTTTATTATACGACATTTCGGTCACTGCGATGGCCTTTTACAAGTACAGTGACTATTGATGACATTATATTTTGTTTGTCTGTCTCCACTGCCATGACTGCAATTTTAAGATGGCATCACGTAAAACCAGTATAGGAATGAACAAAAGAAAAAATAAATAAACTGTCATCACCTGGAAGACCGATAAACAATTTTTTTTGTCATTGTACTTGAAAAAGGCCACCGCGGTGGCCGAAACCGGGTACAATAAAAGTAAATTAAAACATATAATTATTATGAGGTTTGATTCGACCTGAAAATGGAGTCCGATGAGCATTTGAACATTTTTGCCTTGTTTTAAAAGCCATAATTTATTATTCGTTATTGATTTTAGGTTTTACCTAGCTATAATTCAAGGACTTAAGGTACCTCCTACCAAAGAATGTGGAGAATGTATGGCTGCTATTTTAATAAACTCAGCGGACCTATTCCATCTGGACCTAGATGGTGTAAGAATACTCATACCTGCCTTTATGTCTGCATTAGAAGTTGTTTTGCCTGACAAGGATCTCAAATTGTGCGGGAATATCAACAAAGTAGAGTTAAGGAAATCGTGTATTCAGCTGTTGTTGTCGATGCTGGTGTTGCCTTTGCATTTTCAGAACGTCCCTATCAAGGAACTGATCAATTCAGGTATACTTAAGAAATATGTCGATGCGAGTTTCTATAGTCATGTTTACACTGGGTTAACCTGATTTTATGTTGTAATTTGTTTTTAGGATCTAATGAGAGGCCGGTAACCTTCCTTCAACTGAAACCGAAACTGATGAATTTACTAATGAATGCTTTACAAATTGAATCAGATCCACAAAATACTCACATGTTACTTGGTGGTTTATTCCTGTGTGTACAAGATTCGGCCATTTATGAACAAGTCGAGCAGGTAACACAACCTTCGACTGAAACTTCCTCTAACCTGTTAAGCTCTGGTAAGTTCAAATATATATGCATACATTTTGGTTTTTATTTCCCACATGTTATTTTCACCTAGATTTGAAAAATCACTTTACCTTTGGTTTTGACAAACATTATCTTATTGTAGCTATGAATTAAGAGGTGCATCTAAAAAATTCATGTTACATCAGTTGATGTGATGTTGTTGATTATAAGAAAATTCGGATACTGACATTTAAACTTCAATATTGACTCTCTTAGTTTTGAGCTAGCCTTTTGAAATTCACTTGTTATTACAGCAAGCATGTTGAATTTTGTAGTTTTTATTCCTTGACATTTGTATGTCGATGATTGCTGCAGGTTTCAGTAGTTACCATATGTACAGGGTGTTTCTCAAAGATACGGTAAAACTTCAGTGTGGATTGGAAAAATGGATCTTTGTGCTTTGAAGATATAAAAACAAAAAAAATCGCTTCACCGTTTGTTTTGGAAACACCCTGTATATTGTATTGCTTGTATGATCATATATGGCTTGTACCAGCTTCTGACACCGCCAGTATGGCGAGCATGGCTAGCAGTGAGCATTCCACACCACCCGAGCCGTATGGTTCTGCAGAATATGACCCGCTGTTGCTACCTTTAGGTATGTTCATCATTCACTACGACTTTTGCATATATTTTGCATTTTATATTTTATGTATCTAGCACAATTTGTATTTGAAATTTTCCGAGTATATTTTGAAATGGCTATCAATGCGGTTACGCAAAGCGCATGTTTGAAGCTCCATTTTACTGTCTGTCATTTGGACATTTTCAGGAATTTCTGAATGGACGCTTTTTGTCCGCTTCGTCAACCTAATATTATATTCCCGCGACTAAAAAATTATCAGATATGAAATGAGATACCGTAGCGTCATCTATGACAATTTGTCACAGTTCTCTTTCTCCCCTCTGCTCTATTAAGAAAAAAAAGTAAAAGTCAGCGTCTCGTATCTAAAAAATGTATATTGATAGGTGCTGCAAGGTACCTCGATCATTCCTCTGCATAGCGCAGCATATCCGGTGAATTATATTACTTGCAATACCTGAAAAGTTTCTAATAACAATATATTATACAGTATGATCTTACTTTTACAGATGGCATTGTAGCCAAATATAATACAGTTGGTTATAGCGTCATTTATTGGACACTAACCTTTTCAAAGTCGATTTCTAATTAGTCCGGAGCAGATGAGAAACATAGCTGTGACAAATTCTCATACGTCGACGCGGGAGTATATCATTAGATTGGAGAATCTATTATTAAGGATATAAACTAGATTATTATTGAATGCCATCTTTGCCTCTCTTTAGATAGACAATTCATATCTGTGTATTTGGATTTGGCAAGCATTTACAGGAAAATAAAATGTGTTACCATTTTTGAAATTTTTTATTACAAGAAAGTTTTGCTCTTTAGATTCGGCACATGCTCTATTCGTGAGATCTACCTATCTGGTATGTCACCGCTTAATTTCGTCGTGGAAGACCGATCTGAATATATCTTTGGCTGCGTTGGAGTTACTGTCAGGTTTAGCTCGAATTCATATAAAAGGATCAGGTAAACATAAAATCATATGAGCTTATTATAAATGACTATTAGTTTGATTCGTAGTTTCATGAATTTGTTATAAACAAAATACTTTCTGTTAGATGCAATGGAATGTCGGAGAGCGGTTAAATGGCTCTGTGACTACATAGTGTCCCAATGTTCGAGACCACCACCTGCACATTCGAAAGATTTACATTCCACTATCGTTGCTGCATTCCAGTGTTGCTCAGTTTGGTTGCTAGAACATCCATATTTGCTAAAGGACAAGGATTGCTTAACCACGGTAAGAAAGATATCGATTCACCACTATATGATTTATATTTACCAGAAATTATATAATACAAATAAAGTAAGAAGTTTTATGGATTCCTATTATAATAAAGTATATTAAAGTTATATAGGGAAAACCACATTCGTTATTCCACATCATGAATAATAAAAGGTAAAAGATAAACAAAATAAAGCAATACATTTTTAAAAACAAGCCTTTATTTAGCTATTCATAAAATAAACAAAAAATGTCGAAACACATTTTTTCCGATTGAAAATATTTAAACGACAATGAAACTCCTTCATCTCAAGTTTCCAAATAATAGCGAGTTATGTGTTGACAGCAGGATGAAAAAAGTGTCTAACACTGTTTTATTTGATAACTTGGGATAAAGAAGCTTCATTATTGCTTAAATATTTGCAAACGGAAGAATCATTCTTGAATGTTTAGTCTATCTACAGCTAAATAAAAACATATTTTAAAAATGATTTTTTTATTTTATTTATTGGAGAGTATGTTAATCAATGATGTTAATCAAAGTACTTGATTCTAATGATTTTTATAGTCAATATAATTATAGCCATATTGTATGTTATTTTCTGGCTAATGTATCGTGTCATGTTTCCAGGTACTAGAAGTAGCAGAACTCGGCATCTCCGGCGCGAAATCTGTAGGCAAACCCGGCGAACCGATCAAAATGAAAGAAGAAAAAGAACTTAAACCAGCATCAATGAGAGTAAGAGATGCTGCAGAACATCTTCTGAGCTGCGTGTTGGAGCAAGTCGGTTACTTTCCGAGCGAATGTGGACCGGAGTCCATCTCTTCTCTGCTGGATGAAGTGTCGCTGTTGAAACATTGCAACACTTGGCCAACAGATTGTAGTGATCAGTCTGTTGCAGTGGAGAGGTTCCGGTATTTTGTGACTGAGGGATCGGTGATGCTTGCGTTGTTGGAGGAGCCACTAGGCAACGATCAGGTAAGGCTAAAGGATTTCAAATTTATTTAGATTTTTTGCCTTGAAAAATTCAGTACGTTCCAAAAATTTTATGATCATTTTTTACTCCAAAAAGTATGAATGGTGTGTCAATTAAGTTGAGTGAATGAGTAATAGCTCTAAAACTAGCAGGACACTGTGTTGTTGATTTTGGAGATGGAGGACCTTTCTCTTAGTTGCAGTCCAAAGTTGAAATTGATCAGTTTAGTTCACGTCTTTTTTGGCTGGATCTTATTTGCTTTTTTCACTTTTTAATTAACCATAAGCCATTGACAGGAGGGGCGCACAAGTGTCACCTGCTGCACACTAAAAATGACGGCAGAACAACTGCAGTCGAGATAAAACGCATACTTCAGATGTCTCACAAATCTTTGAGCAATTTTTTTACACCGAAGTAGTCGCGCAGACTGAAGCCTAAATGTCAAAAGACCGCGGCTACTATGAGGATCCGAAAGAAACTTTGTTAATCCGACTTTCGAACTGTCTAAGGTTAGTAGAACTGGGAAAGCCTCCTTCTCTAGATTGTTCCACAATCTCGATATCCTAGGGACAAAGGAGTGGTCGTATCGGCCAGATCTGGATGTATGAAGTTCGAGTCGGTTAGGATGGAAGGCCGAAGTCAGGCGGGTCTGTCTGGCCGGCACATCGTGCGGCGGCATCTTGGAGGAGAGCTATGAGGAGCAACGGCCGTTGGTGTAGCGGTAAAAGAGTGCTAGATCGTCGTCGGCCCGCCCGTGCGAAAGGGTCCCAAAACTGTCTGTTAGAGAAGAGTCATCGATCAGTCGGACCTCCCTCCTCTAGACAGCAACGAGCATTAATAATGTAGTCGGGGCGGCAGCACCCCAAACGTGTAAGCAAAACTCGAGGCTAGGCCTTGTGTAGAGTGAGGAGGTCATGTGGAGAAAAGTACTTCTTAGCCTTGAACAAAAGCCTAGCTTTTTCCCAGCAGCTGCGGCTGTTGACGAGATGTTTCGTGCTATATCAAGTCCTCGCTGATCTCGACGATTTTGTCCTCATTTTAGGATCCTCAGCCCACGGTGACAGTACTTATAAGAGGTCCTTTCGGTCGTCATGCTTGGACCATGCAGTTACGTCATTTACCACGCCATCGTTCTGCAGCCAAACACCATGGACACAATGCTTGTCGACCTGTGGCGATGAGAGATAACCCCACTAGACCATCGGTGAAGCAGAAATATTTTCCTGATAGTGTAGACAGAGTTATGCAGTGTAAAGTGTAAGTTATTTATTTACCTAGTGTCATTCTTTTTGTCGATTATTATTCAATGAAATGCAAAGTATAGTGGGAAAGTTCACATTTCAAATTTGAATTACGCGGCAACCGTATACGTACGTTGGGAGAGGTCTTGATCGACGCGTTCGGCGTGCGGGTTAAATAGTCACAATGGAACATTGGACCGGAGCGCAACGTGCTTTTGCTATCGAGGCTTACTCTAACTCTAACCTATTGAAAAAGTGGATTACGAGGTTCCGTGAAACAGGCTCCACACTTAGTCAACCCATTCCTGGCCCCACACCCACTGTATCAATCGAAGAAAATGTGCGTCGAATAAGTGATTCGGTCATTGCAAATGCTCGGCGTTCTGTACGGAAGTATTCCCCTGCTTTGGGAATGCCTAGGTCAACACTGCATGGCATAATGAATCTTCTGCTGAACGGATGTTGATTTTTTTTCCTACGCAACGCAGACTCGAGAACGTTATTTTCACTTAGATGGTTATGTGAACAAGCAAAATTGCCGATATTGGCCACCAACGAACGCAATAGAGAAACATCAACAATAGCTACATAGTCCAAAGGCGTCTGTTTGATGCGCCATATCCTCTAGCGGTATAATTGGGCCTTATTTCCTTGAAGATGGAAACGGTCATGTATCGACAGTCAATTCCGAGCGATACAAGAACATGATTGACACTTTTTTGCTCCGATTCTAAGAAGAGAACGTCGATTTAACAGAAACACGGTTTCAACAGTAAGAATTCGTCGTTTGGATCACGTAATAAAAAAATTTTCAGGAATATTTCAGAGCCGAATATTTAGTTCAAAATCGGCTACGCTGTTCTATTTAGAAATACCTAAAAAAGTGTAATGACGTGACGTTAAGTTGTAGTTGCTGTGGACGGACTTATATTTCTCATGTTAGTAGCTTATAAAATGGTTTAAGAATGTTCGTCTTATACTTCCGCTTTAATTCTCCAGGGACCAATCCATTCCATCTTTAGAAACAGTATTATCAGATGATGAAGAAGTAAGAAATAGTATAGACACACTATCTCAGTTGATGGGAAGACAAGCTACAGTTGAGACGAACATTGCTCAGGCTCAGCAATCTTCTACTCAATCAGAATGTGTCCCGCCACCTGTATGTCACGAATTTCAAACCGCCAGGTTGTTTTTGTCGCATTTCGGTCTTTTGTCTTTGGAAGAATCTCAGGTAATGTTACCACAAATACTACACAAGTCCAGCATCGTTAAGCCTCGTATAGACCGAAAATCGAACGCCGAGCAAACGACTGCAAGCACATGCGGCGTTGGCGTTTGTTGTTGGAAGATATTGGAATGTGCTCGTCTACACCTAAATTTGGTTTCGAGTTGGACCGCATTGGTTTAAGTTCGGTGCTAATGTCGAGCGACGAGTCTCCTTTCACCGAATTCAGACAAACGACTAGAAGCGCAACAATCCTGTCGAGACCAAATCAAACCTCCCTTTGATATACCGATCAAGGAGCGAACACAATCGAATGCCAACGCCGACCTTGGAAACCATTGACTTATGTGGGCTTGCGCCGTACACACCGATTCGAACACCTCCTAATCTGTAACCACATGTGCCTTGGCTTGCGTTGGAATCTCGGTCTGTACGCGGCTTAAGAATGAAAATTGCAACAGTGTTGCCATATATTGATCTTCTTTCAGGAACTTTCTGAAAGTGGATCACATCTGGTATCAATAGACAGCAGTGCAACCGATTTCTGTAAAGACCTATCGCTATTGGACGATATGAGCCCCAGGACATGTGATACAGTACATATATTTTATGTACGTTCTCAACAAACCAACGCTCAGGACATTGTTGCTAATGCGTTACACGAAAATGTTATTTCTCCTTACTTTTGGGAGTTTATGCACAGCTTGGGGTGGCCTGTGGATGTTAGCAAACACCCAGGTAAGGAATATTAACAAAATGAACAATTTTAATTCCTTGTAATTAAATGGACTTTTGAGTTCTAAAGAATGTTGTTGTAAAGCTTCCGACGTTTCGGAAAAATTTACTTCCTTCTTCAGCGCTCCTTTGACTTTGAAACTGTGGTGTTCAAAAAATAATCCAACGTTATGTACATCTTAAATATCATTTAGACTGCAACTGATCAATATAACGCACGAAATACTATTACTAAGTACAGCTAATATGTACAACAATTTGGCGTTTAGTATCAGAGTTTGACTTTTATATATTTTAAAATTACTTGATGAAGGCAACTAGTTTTTTTTCAGCGGCAAAGTTTAGAAATCCGATCACCGCGTCTGTAAATTTGATTCGTTATGCCTTTTGGATAATAACGAAAAAGTTGCCATGCTTATTTGATTTTCTAGGTTGGACAGGGCATGTTTCCACGAGTTGGAGGATATCTGGCAATGTCGAGAAAAACTCAACGCCAAAACAGAAACGATATGATGGTTCTTCGCACGTTTTGTACTGGGCAGATGCTTGTTCTGAGATCGCTTTTATCGTTCCATCACAAATCAAACCGAGAGATCCTTCTGTTGAACATTCTAGTTTTAATACAAGTAGTTTGTCATGTAAGTGTAATAGTGGGCTTATGCAAAGTTATCTTAAACGTGACTTCGACCATGGTTCAACATATTCCAACAAAAGATAATCCATTTGAAAGCTTTCCACGCCACTTTATGCTTATGCAGTGTGTCCTCAAAGTTGGGATTTTCTTTTACGGAGTGTATTAATAAGCAAGTTTTCCTGGTAAGATAGATACCAAAGAATTCAGATAACAGAGACATTAAGTTCCGAAAAACTCTAAAGAGGCCATTGGGACATCACTACAGCAATAATAATGTAATTATCGATTTGATACTCCGCGAGTGTATTCGAGAATTTTATAATGGCGCTCTCGTACTCAATATTTCCGCCAGAGCTGCGTAGGTCTGTTTATATCGTGCAGAAGCCGTCTGGGTGGGCACAGCAGAGGACCTAGACAGCCCCAAATGTTGCAAATTTAGAAAGAAGTAAACAAACTAGTGTTTTTGAATCGAACAAATACAAGCAGTAATTACAAACAAAACATGTGACCGGGCACTACTTGAAATAATGTACCAAATAAATAGCCAATACTTTTGTCCAATTCGTTTTTGGCGTTTTCGGAGCTATTTCAAAGGTAGATGTCTGAAAAGGAAAGTCCCAACTTGCCCCGTATTCTATCTTTAGGTGTCATCATTGTCGCCTTACGGATTGTTGCCTCAGATTGTAGGATTTCCTTTTCCATCATTAAGAATACAAAATCTTTATACAGGGTGGGGCAAAAGTCGCGAAGGGATTTGAAAAATTAATAACTTTTTTAAATTTTAATTTTAATTTTTTTCCCTAACACAAAACTAAAATGCAATGTTTGGAGTTTGTTTACAATTTAAGTGTGAAAGATTACATCACGCAAATGACCGCCATTTTCAGCCTCGCAAAGTGCAGCTCTTGCAAGAGCATTTTCCATTACCCGAGTCAGAATATCTGGCCCCAAAGCACTTACTTCTGCTCGAATATTATCTTTTAGTTGCTGCAGGGTTGTGGGTTTATTAATATACACTTTTCCTTTCAGATATCCCCAAAGGAAATAATCAGGGGCTGTTAAGTCCGGCGAGCGGGCGGGCCAATTGAATCCTGAATTTCTCGAAATTAAACGTTCGCCAAAAATCTGCCTTAGAAGGTGCATAGTGGCTCGAGCAGTATGCGCAGTGGCTCCATCTTGTTGGAAAGTCATCGTTTGATTGTCAGCAAGAGCTGGTCTTAAGAAATTTTGAATCATATCACGATATCGGTCGCCATCTACAGATACAGCATTCCCATCGTGGTCTTCGAAGAAGAATGGTCCAATAATTCGTTGAGACGTAACTGCGCACCATACTGTACATTTAAGCGGATGTAATTGCCTTTGATGAACCACCCTTGGGTTCTCGGTACCCCATATTCTGCAGTTCTGCTTATTTACGAAGCCATTCAAATGAAAATGGGCTTCATCGCTCATGATCAGAGAATGAATAAATTCATTATCTTCTCGAGCCATTCTTTGCAAGCGAACTGCATAAGTTAGTCGTTCTTGAAAATCTGCTGGTTTTAGTTCTTGCACTAGCTGCACTTTATATGGAAACAGATGTAAATTTCCTCTTAATATTCTGCGTAAAGACCTTTGAGACATCTGCAGCTCAGCAGAACGTCTTCGGGTTGAGGTTTCCGGATTCTCCTGAACACTCTCCTGAACGCGTTGAATGTTCCCTTCATTTCTTGCGGAACGTGGCCTTCCGCTTCGTGGGAGATCCATAACTGTGTCTTGTTGCTGAAATCGTGCCACTAAGCGTCGAATCATTGATTCAGAGGGCGAATTCCGCAAATTGAAATGACGACGATATGCTCGTTGAGTTTGAATTATTGAATGGTGATATTCAAAATAAAATTCTATAAGTTTGGTTCGTTGATTGAGGTTGTAACGCTCCATAATTAATCTCCAGGATTTATTTTACACGGTCCTGAAAAAAAAAATGAAAACAAAATAAATTTAAAAAAGTTATTAATTTTTCAAATCCCTTCGTGACTTTTGCCCCACCCTGTATAAGGAAGGTTGAGAGGTGATCTTTCCTTGAAGTATTCATGGATAAGAGTTAAAACAAAAATTGAGTCCGATTTTACTATTCCTAAGCAAAACATTATTGCTTCTGTTTTAACCACTTCCAAGGCACGTTTAAAATAAGTTTGCATGAATCGACTGTACTAAATGCAAATTTGGAATATTTTGCTTTTTATACAGTCTCATTTTAACCTCCCGACATAATATTTAAAAAACTACACATCCTAAAAGAAGTTTCAATCAAAAGTTGTAAGATTGAGGGGCAAAATGATAGTAACCTTGACCATGACCTTCATCACGACCTCCAAGATCAAGCGAATATTTTCAAATGGAACCTTATCTTTACACCGCAGTTGGAAAGACGTTTGAATATGATCTTAACCATGACCTTCAAGGCATTTTAAAGCTCAAGTAAAGACATTGAAAGCAATTTGCTCTAGAAAAAATGTTCGATAGCACAGTAGCAAGGTTTGAGGGGGCCACCCAAAGGTGATCTTGATTATGGCTGGAAAGAGCAGGAAATGTTACGTCCAAAGGTCACCATGACCCGAAAGTGAAGGTCATGACAATCTTAAATGTTATTTGATTGCCAAAATTGCAGGACAAGAAATTTTGTATTTAAACTTGTGAAATTTTCACACGACCTTGAATTGATGGTCAATATTACATTTAGGTAACCTCCACAAAGCAAATTGTTTCCAATGTCTTTGACCTTGATGGTCATACTCAGACGTAAAATCTCATCGATTCCGGTGTAACAAATGGGCAGTTCTCCATTTGAAAATATCTGCTTGACCTTGAAGATCGCGGTCTAGGTCATGGTCACCACATCATTATGCCCCCTCGATGCTCTACAAGTTTTGTATGAAACTTTTTTCTAGGATGCGTAGTTTTAGAAATAGTTAGGTGGGGAGATTAAAATCTGACACCCTGTATAAGAAAGCTTTTATTCCGTAGCATGGAGTGAGAAGAGCTGGTCAGACGTAAAGGACAAAAGAACACTTAGTTTGGATTTGGATAGACAACCAGTTCCTCCCAAAAGAGCCACACATCGTTCAAATTTGCATCCGCATACAAACACGAAGATTATGGTTGTTTGGCTGGAAAGCTTTGAGGACCATCTTAATATGCCAATTGGTAAGTAACACCCGCTAATCAATTTTCTGTGATTTAAAGAGAGAGAGCTTAAGAAATCAGTGTGCGCGTCAATAGACCGGACGATTTTTGATAGATGAAGTAGACACATGCAGTTGCCATTCCTAGCAGTGCAAAAAGTCGCTTGGAGCATACGCTACTGAAACTGGGTTAGACATACTCGTTGGTTTTTAAAATAAAGTTACCATTTACGTACTTGGTATTTTCAAATGCCAAAGCTCTCGAGTATATCCTGAAAATGCTTTTGAACTGTTACATTTTTGACTAACAGGAGACCTGCTGAATTGTATGGACACAGGACTAGAAAAGGATGTTCCCAAAACAAGCGACGTCCTAGTCATTTACCTGCATTTGCTCTCGACTGGATTGTTCAGAATCCACTTTCAAGGCCCAACAGGTCGCGTGGGATTAGCCTCACCTCTAGTTGATGGAATGGTGGTTAGTCGGCGATCTTTGGGACCTCTGGTCAGGTATACCACCCTCAACATGGCTCGAAGAAGGAGACTCGATTCAGACAGGTACATTTCTAAGTAAATATTGTTAAGAGAGCATAATCCAAAAAAAATTATGTCTCCTTCATTCTGTAGGGATTAATACTGGATATAAATCATTCTTTTGTTTGATGCAGCTACCAGCCACCCCACTTGAGACGCAGATTGAAAATCCAGGAAATTGTCCAGAAATACAAGAGGGACATGAGCACACCAGAACTTTTAACTTATTTATTTAGTAGTACATAAGTAACAACAGAGATATTATAAAATGTTATTCTAATAAACTATTTACAATGAATTGTAAATCTTTCTCTTCCTCATTTGTTCCACCCATTCCTTAAGCTGTTCATGAGGTTCCTTAGGATAAGGCAAGTAGTAGTGTTTGGGGGGAGTGCCTTCCTCTAATCTCACAAAGTAGTGGACATATCTGTATTCTACTAAACCGGGTCTACGACGTGCGTGCCTCCTTAGGCCTTTGATCACTTGGCCTTTACCAGTAAAAGATTCAGCTGAAAAAGATATTTACTACACTACTCAAAAAAATGAAGGGAGCGAGAAAAAATCCAAATTTTGGGGTCATCTTTGACAGGCTGTATTTCGGTGAAAAATGATTATATTGAGACTTTAAACAAATCATTTTGAAGCTCTAAGATTCTAGTTTTAAGTTTTTTCAGCGGAAAAATTTTAGGAGCAACGATTCTCATGCAATTCTAATAGCGCAAGAAAAATGTTTTGCAAAATTTTCGACTTCTTAGTCCATGATCTTGAAATTTTTTTTCTCTTAGGTCATTATACAGATTGCATAGCTCGTCTTTTTTTTAACTTCAATATTCTTTTTTAAAATCTCGATACGATTATTTGGCACGGAGATATCCGATTTTGAGTGGAAAAGGATCCCTTTGCAGATTTAGTTGGAATGGGAGTTTTACTATTGTCAAGTGGGTTAAAGGAAACAGTTTGTTGGAATTAACTGGGCAAATTCATTTAGTACACCTAAACAGGTGTAATCAATTTGTTGGGTGGATTAAACAATACTGTATGATGGAATTAACTTTGCAAACTAAATATTGAAAAAATAAATTTTCTCTGCATCTCTCCTTAGGCCTTTGATCACTTGACTTTTACCAGTAAAAGATTCAACAGGAAAAGATATTTACTACACTACTCAAAAAAATTAGCAAGAAAAAATCCAAATTTTTCAGTCATCTTTGACAGGGTGTTATTTCGGCGAAAAATGGTCGTATCAAGACGTTAAAAAAATCAATTTGAAGCTCTAAGATTCTAGTTTTAGGTTTTTTAGCAGAATAATTTAGGAGCAACAGTTCTCATGCAATTCTAACAGATAGTGCAAGAATAATGTTTCGCAAAATTTGACTTTTTTAGTCCACAGGTTTGAACATTTTTTTTCTCTTAGGTCATCATATGGATTAAAATCTTGAATTGATCATCTGGCATGGAGATATCCAATTTTGACTGAAAAAAGATCCCCTTACAGATTTATTTAGATGGGGAGTAGGCAATGTGGTCAAGTGGGTTAAATGAAACAGTTTGTTGGAATTAACTGGGCAAATTCATTTAGTTCACCTAAACAGGTGTAATCAATTTGTTGGTTGGATTAAACGATACTGTATGATGGAATTAACTTTGCAAACTTAATATTGAAAAAATGCAGTTTCTCTGACTCTTTGATGCTCACCTCATTGCTGGTCTTGTGGAAGCTCAACCACACCCCTGGGTACTACTTTTTTGAAAATAGCAAAAAAGATTTAACATTCTGAAAGTTATAAGTTGCCTATTCTAACGATGTTAATCTATAAAAAATATTGTTGACTCACCAACCCACATGTTGCTTGGATATTCAACATTATGATCTTTCATAGCCAATTCTTTTGCTTCTTCTAACACCTCGCGAATATCTTTGGCCGCTTTTTTTGTAACAAACTTCAACTGCTTGATAGCTTCATCTACTGCCATCCCACGAATAAAACTAGCTAAATACCACATTTTCTTGGGGCTGTACTTGATGTTTGCCCTTTGGTGACAGACAAACTGCAAACAATAACTTTTTAGCAACAAAGGCACTGTGTACATAGTTTAAGCATGCACATCAAAATAATGCTGTTTATTTTGTAATCGTAGAAGTACCGATTCCATATTTAAAATTAAAATGAAACATGTCTGTCTACTTACACCTGGTCTTGGTTCCTCATCGGGACCTTGGGGTGGGTACACTTTTTCGTTATACCTCAGGAAACCCTGGGGAGCTTTGTACTGCTCATTTTTCCAGGCAAACTTTGCCGTGCTCGTATGTATTTTGTCTAACGGAACGATTAACGAAGGACTGTGCTGCTTCAGCACAGTTCCAGCAAGATTTCTTATTGTGCTCAAAGCCATTATCCTTCAAAAACTAACAAAGAAAGTTTCAAAAATCAGATCTCATTTTACATTTGTCAGGAAAAAGATTTGATTTGCACATTACCCACATAACCTCAAACAAATATATCACAAAACCACAAAACATAAAAATCAAATCCAAGCGAATAACCAAAATTTCTGTGTTATGTGCCGCGGTTATAATATGGTTCAAGATGACACACGGGTTGATGACGTCAGTTACACGAATCGCTTGAACGCGTTGGTTTTAACCGCGGTTTTGTTGCAAGTTGTTTATTTTAGAAAAGCGCGGATATAATCTCAGATTATTTTTATTATCACTTAATAATCGTCTACAACTGTATATGGAAAGTTTAAATAAGAAACCTTTCATAATATTCATGGGAGAAATGTTTTTTCAGATTTTTTTTTTTAATGATGGAATGCATGTCAAAGAAAACATTTATTAGTGGGTTTATATGGCCATATTTTAATATTCTTGTGGTATATGGTTACACAGGATACTTTGTTAAGCATAGGAACTACATTTAAAGTGTCCCCAACAACCGTAATGAGTATAACTAATAAGGTGCTCCACTTTATGGTAAACCTGAAGTCAGCCTGTATCAATTTTCTCAAAAATGAAGCTGAAGTACAACAACAATATCCAATACCCGGCAAAATTCTAACTTGTCACAGTTCAAATAATAACCAGAAATATAAAACTACTCTTGAGTTGGGTAAATACCACAATTTTGCGGTGATAACTATGACAAATAACAACTGATTCGTGACGTCACGGATCTTATAACCAAACTGATAACTACACTCGCTTGAACGGATCGGTAAATACCAATCCAAAATGGTAAATACCATTTTCATTTGGTTATCCGCTGGGATTTGATTAAAGTTGAAAATAACGTCAATCCAGTGTTGCCATGTAATAAATGAGCACAAAAAGCATAGAGTTGGACTGCGGTGTGCGGTCATTCAGAAAGCGGGGCATCGTTACAATAACTGCAATGTTCATGAGACGATTTGTTCATTGATTGGTCGCTTGGTCATGGTTCTGACCATTTTAGATTCCAGTAAATTGTTCAGAATAAGTTTATCTTTGCGACTAGATGAGGTTTTCAGTACCACCACGCTTAAAAATAGAAAATTAATGTGGAAATACCGGAAACGCTATTAAAAATAACCTTTTATGGTTGGTGACACTCGCTCACGACGATTTTATAATCAATTGGTTCTATCACTTATACAGACAAATGGTACTACAAAAGTTCAGTAGTGTTCTTCTATATAGGGATGGGCGGTTATTGATAAAAGAAAACCACTGTAGGTTAGCCGGTTATCCTATCAATAACTTTATCCGGCACCGGTTAACCGAACCAATTTGACCCGGATATACGGTTAACGGTAAAATAACCTTTATTTTTGTTCATAAACAGTTCAAAGTATCATTGGCCAATTTACATACTGGCTAGCCAAGCGCCTCTATAGCACATAGCAACTTATAGCTTCTTTGGTAAATCAATCCAAGTTATAAAATGATAAATGTAAATGTGGGAAACGTGAATAGCATATGTTACACGTCAAATTTGCTATAAACCGTGGCATAAAAATGGCTGTAACCACATAACATTTATTAGAGCCTAGAGCTATCCCAGAGCGGTTATGCCGGTTTGGCTATAGTTTCTTTTAATACCCGAATATGGGGTGGTACGTTGGAGAAGTGGTTAAGGACAACAAAAACAGCACAGAAGCAATATCCATTACGTCTTTATTCACTAAGACCTGCAGATAGGGAAAAAAAACTTCCTCCCGGTTATTGCATTTTTATCACCGATAACCGGTTGACCGGATATTGTGAAAAAACCGGTTAGTCAATTTAGAAAAACCGGTTATTGAATTAACAGGTAATTTTTGCCCATCCCTACTTCTGTAGTGTCATACCTGTCAAACTCAAAATCCAAACAAATAAATACAAACATTACCGGGCTCAACATACAATTTTTATTCTTTGAATAACTTTGCGAAAATGGTTTTTGACGAACCCAAAATCGTATCAGAAAAAGAGCAGGAACAATCGTATGCTGCATTTGTAAACATGGAAAATCTGCTTGATAAATTGAAGCTTCTAAAGTATGAACAGGAATTCCTGAAGGATTTTAAGATCAAACCAATACACAGGTAAAATATATGAAAATATCAGCATTGGATAACAGGCGATAATTTGCATATTTCAGATACTATTTTGTCGTAACAAAAAATCCTGGAGAGCAGTTTTACCTGTTTTCCATATTAGCAGCTTGGTTGATTAGGAAATGTGGGAAACACCTGGAGAACCCTCAAGAACTTGATGATCCAAATGACACTATATCCAAAATAGTAAATGAAGCAAGGGCAATTGTAGGTATTTGTCTTATATGTACTAACTGAAGAGAGAAAATGAATTAGCATTATCTCATGTAAATTTCCATTGCAGGGTATTGTTTTTGATTTTCCAGTCAGTAAATTAAAACAAGGGGTTGGTGAACAAGTTGTGTACATTCTAGATCAATTGGCTATTCATGCAGTTAAGAAAAACAATGTAATTTTAAACAGGTAATTACTGAACCCTTATCAATACAAATATCACGTTTAGGGGTAGAGATGCATGAAGTCCTACTTTTTCTGAGCTGAGTACAAAAGATTTGATACTGGGTACTGGGTTTTTGTTATTTGTGCTAAGTTATTTTAGCTAGTTATGAGTGATGCTAACATTTGATTATGTGTAAGCCTTTTTATATTCAAATTTGACTTGTTTTTCCAACAAGTAAATGCGATTTTTCTAAGCATGAAAGACTGTTGTACCAAGTACAAACCAACTGTTTGGTACATTCCAACTTAGCAGGACTGGAACTATTAAAGGAGCCAAAACTACCCAGTGAACATGATGACCCCAAAATGACATCATTATTCGGCCAATTTTGGTCAGAATCATCATTGACTAAAAAATGTCTTTATTCACGCTATTTTTATGACAAAACGTCTTTTAAATAGCTGCCATTTTGACGTCCGTTTTAGGATAGTCAATACTGAAAAATCTACATGTACCTACAAAGAAAATATATACTTTTAACGAATAGTGAAGTAAATTTGATATAAAAATACTAATAACTACTTTATTGTTGTTTGTAAATTCTTTGACCAAAAATATTTTGTCAATATAACTGTCTAGTAATAATGTTCCATGTTCAGATATTTCAAATTGCCATTTACATCATGTATCATTACTATAAATAATAAATTTATTAGAAACTTCTCTGTATACCAATAAACAAGTTTCACTAGAATATTTGTAATCATGCACGGTAAAAATTCAAATTTTGGAATGGTACATCATTCAGCTGATCATCAGCTAAGAAGCACGATTGTGCTTGGCGGTGAGCTCGACCGATGTCTAAGCTCCATATGTGTTCACCATTTGGCAATGACATCACGAAGGCTTCGTCGTCTTTAAGGTACATTGTGAACCATCGGAGGACTTGAACGTGTTTGTGATCAAACAGTGTTTTTTAGTTCTTTATTTAACCATTTCGATACACTTTATTCGAATATGAGTTTCCACGCTTTTCTACCATCTCTGAACTCACTGCTTGTGGGGCATCTTTGTCACATCCCCAATTTTCCAGGAGCATTTGGATACACCGCGCGATTATTTTTGCAAGCGACTGTACGTCATATCGACACGTCACATAGACGTTATATCCACGTCATATAGACGTCATATTGACAATGTATTTGGTCTTTTATACGACATACTCTGACGTCATACAATGACGTCGATTGACATTAGATCGTCAGCTCTACGTTATTTTTGTTGGTCGGGCTACGTCAGAGCTACTTTTCAGTGGTTTTTGGTTTGAGAGTGATGCGCTCCGGAACTACTCCAAAAACATAGCATGAGAATACAACGTGCTGTGGAACAGTATTGGTGCTGAATACTACTGAGTTACTCAGAATAACTCAACAGGGTCACTGGAAAGCAGCTCAGTAGGTCCCTAGAAATACCGATGTCACTATGTTCACTGGGTAGGCCCCAGAATAACTCACAGTAGAGTTGTTGCTCCAGTTGAGCCATGGTTTCACAGGCTGTGCTGCTAGTGTAGCACTCCATCTTGTTGAAACTGAATGTTTTGAATTTCAAGCAGCAAAAAGAGAGTTATCATGGCGCGATAGAGGTCGTTAAGTATCACTCGAAATATTCGGGTGCATCAATTTAAATTGAAATTCCAGAACAGACCACAGTATCATTTAATGAAATAATCCTCAAAAGCTGAATGCCAAGAATGCTGCTGTACTTCAATAATAAAGAAATAAATTGATAAAGTTGATTGTTTTTATATATTTTCTTTTTAAAAAGTACCTAATGAATCACCCCACCCGCTAGAATATGTTCCTTCATAAACTCACCAAATCTTTGTAGACCTAAGCCACCAGAAGAGAAAGAAGAAGAAACTGAAGTTCTGGAAGATGAATCAGAAATAAACCTAGACAGAGTAGAGGAAGAAATGTTAGCAGCCTATTCTGATGACTCGGATGAAGAAAACCTTTTTCATCTAGATGACCTCAAACCAGTCAGGAAAGAAATACATTCGTCAGAATTGAAACAAAACATCGATGAAGAAAGTTGGAAGCTGGAATTGGAAAGAGTACTACCTAGACTAAAGGTGACTATAAAAAATGACAATAGAGATTGGAGGTCTCACTTGGAGCAAATGAAGACTTACAAGAAAAGTATCGATGAGTCTTTGGGTACTACAAAAGCTCAGTTAGAAAAGTTGCATAAAGATATCAGCTCAACATTGGAGAAGGTCACCAATCGTGAGAAGTACTTCAATAGGTAAGGCAGAACCTTACAAGTATATTGATGCACCATTTATTTTTCTGTGACAAGGTTTTGGATTCAAGAACAATTCATATGAAAATCCTTGGGATATATAGAAGGGTCTGCCTTGATGCATGTGTTTTTCTTTCTGAATCCTTGTTTAGTGTGTATTAGTTTGCTTCAAGAAAATGTTTAATACATATTTTACTAACCTTAGGTTTTACTCAAATTTTTCTTATAGTTTGTGCTTGGATTACAAATCCCAAAATTATACTTTGTTTACATGGCTATATTTAAACATATATGAATATATGCTAATGTATGATAGTTGACTCTGATGTCCTATATCACTGAAAAAACTTGAGATGCACGAGAATTGTACAAATTTCCTTTATCCAGAGAGTTAGAAGATATATTGGGAGAGTATAGGAACCTCCAGGATCAGTTATCAAAATTGATAGACAATTATAAAAATATGAGTGGTGGCATAGCTGAGAGAAACAGGGAGCTACAGAAGCTCACTGATAAGCTGGAAAGCATCAAGCAGCAGATGGAGGAAAGGGGAAATTCAATGACAGACGGGAGTAAGTTTAGCATTTCAACTTTTCCAAGACTTGAGTTTCCAATATTCAGTAGCAAATATACGTCTATGAGTTTACCTGACATCCAACTTAGCAGTCTGGTAGAGAGTAGCGTGACATTTTATGCTAAAGTCTATAAATAAATAAAACCCTTTTATGCCTTCTAATTATTCCCAACGTCAGGCGAGCACTTCTAGTAGCAGTAGGAAATGAAAGGGCAGATGATCTCGCAACAAGAGAATCATCCACACCCTTTACAGGTGCAGAGCTTGCTTTGGGGGGAGCCAAAAAGCATAATCAGAAACCAAGTCAGAGAATGTGTAAGAAGGAGGGTTCAATGACATGATATAATTCCTTTTATTTCACTACTTTCTAACTTTTCCGATCGGCTTTTATCAAAACTGGCAGTAAATGTTGCATAGATATTCCATCATGATTATTTTGAGATTTCTGCTATTTTTTATTTTTAGCTCCTTTGGTCAACATCAAGAAGGCAGTTGCAAAAGTTAAGTCAGAAATAATGGCCATGGATGTCAGAATTGGTGTTTTAGAGTGCATCGTCTTGCAAAGCAAACTCAGAGAAGAAAAGCAAATAGAAAAAGAATATGGCCAAACCATTTCCGTGTTTTGAAGATTGTTTAAATTCTGTATGAATCAGTACAATATAATATATTCTAGTCAGCACATGAGGCACCTTATATTTATTTTTGTACACAATATTGTTTGTTATAATGTTATATGATGAATAAATTAAAAACTAAAGGATTTCTTTATATCTGCTATCGTCTCTTTTATGAACCAACGTGTACGTCATATACAAGTATGGAGTTAAAAAAACTCTCAAGTTTGAATAACCTTGAGGCCTGTCGTCAAAAGGAAGATATTATTTTTTCCGTAAACTATTTTGTTCTTAAATTTTCTTTCGCGTAACGGAGATAAAGGAAAACAAAGTCTACTTGATGGAAAATATTTATTCACATAGTTTTTATTCACTAAACTTATTATAAATGTATACATGAAAATAATAACATATCTTTGGTGTAATTGGCAATTTTTATTGCTTTAGATTATACAACTTTCAAGTACGAGATGTCTCAAATGAAATATGTTTTTATGCGTGTATGTAATGAATATTTTTGAATTATCATATGCTTGGCAAAAGGTACAGTCATTAAAAACCACCAATACAATTTACATTATTTATAGTTGAGCAGCATTGCCAGTTTTACGGCAGAATCGTTTGAAAGGAGAAAGAAATAAATAAATATGTTACATAACGTAAGATGTAGATGAGGAGCAGAGCCACGGCTTCATAAATTACTTCTGCAAATATCCTCAATGTGGAACTAGTAACCCAAACATCTTTAGAAAATTAGAGATTTTAGATATAAAAGACAAATAGACGTTTGAGAGAATATTTTGGAATATATGCATTGAAAATATCTGTAGTTATATAATATTTTTTGAAACTTAAGTTGCAGCTACAGGGGTGTTGAAAATATTTGTACATAGCTACCGAGGATCGATAAATGATTTCTAATCAAACCAGTAATCTACATATTTCGAAGTCATCAGTATTGAATATACAAAAATAAATCTAGACGAATATATCCTAATATTTAACTTAATATAATCGCCGCCACTTTTAAGATTCCTGATCAACCTATAAATGTTCCAGATTTTTCAAAATCATACTATACACAATGTGTTGTCCTTACAGACGGATATTTGAGCTTCCTGCATCATCCTCAGTCGGGGTCCCAATGGTATGCCCATTTTCTGAAGCCTTTCTTCATCCAAATAGGGCAGTTCAACCATTCCGATTCGTTCGCTTTCGAACACCGATGCGTATTTCTGCAATAAAAATAAGTACGTAGATAAGTTCATTACTACCCACGCATTCGTATGCATACATACAAATTGTGTTTTCTGGCTCATGCCTGTTAAGCAAGCATATCATATCATGCATCTTTAACACGCTAGGGAGCCTCCAACTTTGTTTTAGCGTCACCGTCACCCAATTTCTATGGTTTCAAACATTGGCGTAGCTAACAGTTCCGTCTGGGGGGTATAAAAAAAGTGCTGCAGATTGTAAACTGAAGAGCAAAAAAATATCTTCTGGTCCTCCTATCTGGAAGTTTTTGAGTGGCACACTACTAGTTTATTTTTGGAAGCACAACTTTAGTATATAAAAAACCTTTTGATAATTTTATAAATTGCCTTTGATTTTCTCTTGTCTTTACTGTGATGTCTTTTGTCGACGACCCTCTTTACTTCATCCCGCTTTTTTAACAAAAATCTAAAATCTTTCATGAAAAAGGATGAAACATTTGGACTGATTTACAGTTCGCTATTTGCCGCTAGCATATTTGACAAACAGGAAAACAGATGTTGGGCTGCGACTGGGGAATATGTTTTTTCTATTTTTTGATTGTTTAATAAAATTGACACGAGTTTATTGATTCCAAGTCACCCAGCTGACCAAAGTGTGTTATCCATCTCAGTCGTCAATAAACCTGACACAAAGGAAGACAGGAAGAATTCTCAGTTGTTGAACTGCTTTAGTTTCAAATCGAAAGTGTTTCCTGTCAGGGAATCTTTACGGTATTTCTTCTAATAAATATTAGATGTGTAAGTTTTTCAAAGATTTCGATAATCAACCCTTCTTTCCCAAAAGTTCCTCTATAATTGAGGTTCCGAAAAAGTCCCTCCACGATCCAAAAAATTAGGCAAATCGAAACTTATCCGGCCGATCGACAACACTGTGCGGTCAATGGCTGCTACAAAGTAAGATTATGCTTTTGCAGCTTTTGGTACCACTATTTGTGCGTAACAAGGTGATGCGTGCGCCACCTCTGGTGCAAGAGAACAAATAACACTTGACGGTAAGCGGACTCCTCCAATTCAACTTTATCGACGGACATAGTAGACATAGATGGCACCATCCGCCGCATAGTTTTCACTTGCACTATATTTCATATATAACCACACTGCAGGAGTGAAATTAAAGAAAAAATAATAATAAAATTGACCGTTGCGAGATTAATTTAGCGCTGTAGGTTTTAAAATTTTAATTTCAATCAAGATGTTATGTAAACTATTATTTTAGAATTCAGAATTTACTATCAATACCCAAAACAAAAATTCACTCTCCAATAAACAATTTTTTAAACCATCAGCTATGGGCCTGGGGGTTACTAACCCTCTCTACCCCCCCTTGGCTACGTGCATAATTTGGAATGAAATTACGGCTCGTTTCCATTATTTGTATTAAAAATAGGAGTGTGCGAATGGGGGCGTTTTACGTGTTTATTCCGAAATAGAACATTTTGTACCAAAAATAATTTTATAAGTACTTTCACTGTTTGTTGAGTTTTAACGTAACTTAGTAAGTTCAACAAGTTCTATCCTTAGATTGGCGTCTGATGACTTTCGAGCGAGAAACTAGGATACACTGAGTCAACCATGAAGATTGGATGTAAACAATGTATTTTAATGCAATTTTATTAATTTAATCCTTATCTAATTTTATCTATTCTCATGCATATGAATTTGAAAAATGTTTGCTCCCCTATAATAAGTGGGAAATGAAATATTGTTTGTTTTTATCTATAGGAAATGTTGAATCTTCATTGCTTGGATGTTATACTGCACGGTCTGCTATACCTTTTGCTCCTGGGCTTTTCAATCTTAAATCGCCGATACCTGCTTCCCCTCTCCCGAGACAGAAATTTTCCTGAACAGTCGTAGAAAATTGCGATAATGAAATGTATCCCAACAACAAAGAGTTTTATACATTCTTGCTACACTACCCGTGAATGCACAAAAATATACATGTCGATCTTGAAGAAGTAATAAATCGTTTCACAAGAAACATAAGATGACCTAACAAGGAAATGTTTCTAAATTAGATTTGTCATTTTAAACGCACTGAGGCCTGACTCGACCTGGATCCCCTGACTCCCCCTCGCGTTTGAAATGAAATTATGAATGATTTCCATTATCAGCACTAGAGACCTCCACTATATCTTTCAACCCTCTACGAAACCTGCCTACCTCGTATCCCAGTTTCCTCAGGAACAACCTTAACAGTGGCGGCTCATCTCCAAAAAACTTCGTCAGCTTCTTGACCCTAGCCGGGTTAGCAAGTGTGGGCAGCTCCTTCGAACTAACAGCCCTCGACGCTGATTGCGATCTCACGTTCAACATGTTCGTCTGGGTCCTGAGGGCTGCGATTTCGCCTCTGATGTTCTCCATTTCCTGGATCATAAGATGCTGGGTGCGCATCTCGCTGGAGAGGTGGGCCACTGATCGAGCCAAGGTCACCACGTGGGATTCTAGGCGCTGGAAACGCTTGTTGATGCCTCGCATGTCTCGGACCTGGAAATTGTAACTTTGAAGTTTCTCAATGCAAACGCAATATCGTAGAATTGCCCATTCCAGGCCATGATCGAGCATTTCTGGAATCGTCAACTAAATTTTACCATGTGGTTAAATCGTTAACGATTTGGTCATTCACGATTGGGTGTCCATAAAACAAAAAATTCGCATAGTACTCGAGAACCTTTTTGTCGCAAAATCTTTTGATTTCATTTAGTAACGGATTATTAGACCTCGAAATTTGACGCCTGAAGTACCAGTGGTACTGTGAAGTTTTGCAGTTCCGTCATACGAACACTTTCCTAATAGTCTAAAGGCGGGTTTACACGCTACGTCTTATTGTACGTTTGTTCGGGCAAACACAACATACGTTTTGTCCAGTGTATACACACTACGTGTTTTCCCTTCCGCTTTCTACTACAGTTCCAATCTAGACTCTTTAGTTGTGTGGAGTTTGTTTAGTGATTTTTTCTGAGAGACATTTTTTTTATTATGGAGGAAACACGGATACTTTCTTTAGTTGTTTCAACTATAAGGATACCACGACTTAGAGGAAAAGGGGTGAAGAGGGAAAAGACAAGATGTCAAGGGAGTGGCTTCCGCTGTCGCTAAGCACTATTTGGAATATAAAAAGTGGGACTTTTGGTGACTCGTTGAGAGGGTGCAAGGATTTCTTTTTATTTTTTTCAATAATAAACCCACAAACCTTAGACTCACTCAACCTAGAAGATAGAAGTCAGGGTAGTGTCAGAACATCCAGGAGCCTATTATTTTGGCGAACATTGAAACATTGTTTGAGAAATGTCAATCGCTGTCAAAATTTGGTAGGATTTTCCAGGGAAGAGAATCGCGCTGACCCTCTCTCAGTGATTCTACTCTCTCATTTTCAAGAATAGGAATCCATGTCGATAGAGAAACGATATAATTAAGTAAACGAACGATGTAAGTCGCAATTACCGAAAAGAGGATATCGCTTACGAATCCAGTTACCAAACGTGATTGGGTTGAGAACGCCTACCTTTTTCCTTTCATCTGTCCTCCTTTTATCCCTAATCGGCCTACTGCTCACAGAACTAGAAGGCAGCGACGACATACTCCCGTACCTCCTCTTGTTGAATCTGGGATCAGACGGTTGGTACCTCCCTGGATGTTTCTTCACACCAAGCAACTTCAGTACTTCTGAGTACATCGATTCAAGGCCTTCAAGTTGTTTTCTGATCGTTCTGGCATCGGTTGTGCTGATGTCGCCATCTGAATCGCTTTGGCCATCTAGCATGGATTCTAGATCCATCGAACGGGTTGTGGTGGATGTGAGGTCAGTCGTGTCTAGTCCAAAGACTGGAAAAATTTAAAACACTCATTAGATTCCTGATCTACATAAACGATTTGCCCAGAAGACATATTTTGTTCAACTTTTGATACTTTTCCCTCAATATGTAGTATGTCTTTAGGTTCAAGCCTTCTCAATGCAAAATTTCCATTTTATCTTCTCGTACGATCGAAACAAAGTTGGGGCAGTGCGGTTGGTTAATTTGGGATGCTGATTTCGAAACCGAACATCAAAAAATGTAAAAGTTTAGTAAAGCTATACTAGGAGTCGAAAAATGGGACTCTTTTGGAGACATTGAATTCATGATTCATGGATGCGTTTCACTAAATAAATGAATTTCAGTCTAGATTACAGATACGCAACGATTCTTAAAAATTTTCCTCAATCGACTGATTTTATGAATACTTGAGAAAAAATCAGGGAAACTGTAACATCTCGCATGCTAACCCTTGTTTTAGATATGACGTCATCACAGATATAAATGTATATAATGCATATATTATTGATGGCATTATTTTTGCGGATATATGGTACTTACTTTGTTTTTCTCGTAATAAAGCGTGTGGATCTAGTTTCTTTTGCATTCGATGCTTCTGGTTTGATGTACCATTCCATCTTGAACTGCCTATGACATCTCTCGAGTAACTTTTTGACTTGAAGCCATCGTAATCAGGCTTACTTCCATAAGGCAGGCTGGCAAACAGTATAAAATTCGATTATTTAACCAACAAAACAGTTAAAAAATTAGCAATCAGTACAGAATGACTATACGTATCATTCACCATAATTTAAAGTTGGTAATTGACTTTGTAAAAATGGTGGACGAGCACGTCTATGAACAATTTGATGTATTTTTAAAAAAGGTTAAACGGCCAGGAACAAAACATGGAAAATGGGTCCCAGTCGATTTGTCTACAAATTCAGTACATTTCTTGTATTCTCGAACAAAAGTTTTCATGGGACTCAAGCAATCATATTTATTTATTTATTTATTTATTTATTTACTCATGTTCGGGAAGCAACAGAATGTGAATTCCGAAGACAGCACCCGCTGCTTACTATAGTGATAAAATAAAAAGTTACATTGATTACAAAATCCAAAAGATATGAAAATCTGTAACACAAGCCTACTATATGAGAATAAACAATACTATGATATAGCAACTACTATAAAACGATATAAATTTATTTTTTTTTTTTTAAAAATTAGCATGTATCAGTTACACTATTCCATGAATCGCACTAGTCACCAAAAAACACAAACACAGAGCCTGTTACTAGACAGCTTTGATAACAAAATATATAAAATACTGTATAAAAGTACATAAAAGTATTAATGGTTGACAACAGTATCACAGCAAACAAACAATTAGATAGTATGATAGTATCCTATGTAAGCTGCCTCCTTACCGTTGCTTTAAACTTGTTAAAATTAACCACAAAAATGTCCAAATTTATAGAGGTATCGTTAAATACCCTCTGGGCCCTAATTACAGGTGAGTTGACTCCTAAATTCGTTCTACAGACGGGAATTCTGAAAAACTTACCATATGATTAGTTTCTGAGAAATATGTGGTCTTATTTACAAAAAAGGTGAATGTGCCGATTTGTGATCCTCTGGAAAAAACTTGGAGAATCAGTATACTGAAAGAAATATTTCGTTAAAACGCTTTGTAGGAAGATGTTGGGAGGTGTCATGTTGATCGTTACGATGATCCTTACAAGGTAAATCTGATGTTCGAACCGTAGGCATATATGGTTTTTTGAGATGCTCTCAATAATGACACTGAAGTTAGGTTGTCCTTCGAAAAAGTTGACTTAAGCGGTTCTATATGTAGGAAGCAGAGCAGAACAAGAAAACTCAAATTAATAGACAATAAAATACAATACCCTGAAGAGTTCACATTAGTGCACATTTTCCTTCCCTTTCACCTTTAAGATCAACATAACCTCAATTTGACCTTGTAAAGGAAACAACCATGACTTTTCTGTGCCCTTGAAAAACTACTTATCCCATTGAGTTTTCTGAATTTTCGAGCAACTTGTGTCAGACCTATTCCAGCGTAAATATAAAAATCAACTTGCCCTGCAACTCACCATGTATGGATCATAGTCACGATCAGCATGGTATGTCTTAAAACCTTCCTACAAGGTATTTTAACGAAATATTATTTTCAGTACACTTTCTTATTCTCCTAGTTTTTGACCCGAGAAGTATAATCGGCACATTCAACATTTTTGCAAATAAAGCAAACTATCCGTCTACTTTTCTCAGAAACTAACCATCTTCCAAATATTTTGTGCCTGGTACCTTCTAAGATAGTGTAAAGTGTGAACTTACCTGCTGTGCTTATATCTGTTTGAATTTCTTGGCGTCATAGTGGGTGACGATTGGTCACCTGGCGACAAAGGAGGTAATGGTGGTGTCATCGACGATATACTTTCGCTCATCGTTGAATTTGCTATCCGATTGCTGCTGTCTTGTAGCGATAATTCGTGCAGTTTCGGCTCTAGAATATGCCGGAGCTCATTCTCAACTATGTCTACCCATTCTGAATCATGGCCTGGAAACACAGATATTGTTATGTTGAAACTCTGGACGATATTAGGGGATCGCGCGTCCGTCTTATTATGCACGGCATCCTGGACTGTTTAAAATGTACGTTTCTAGCAGCATCTGTTGAACGGTCAATCAAGGTTATAAAAATATCAACGTGATTTTGCAGTAATTGTAAATTTTGGTGGAAGCGCGGACAATTGGTTATGTATTTTAAAATATGGTGAAAGTGTAAGCTATTTTATGCAGTGAAAACCCAGGATTTCATTTGCTTAAAAAATGGCGATCAAGCACTTATTCAAGAAGGTGAAAGTGACAGTTGATAGCCAAAGGACATAACGTTATTTTTTAGTAATACAGCAAGATATCTACACTTGTCAAAAAATCGCGGGACAATGAAGAATCCAGGACTCATTGATTTTTTACCAAAATGAGACCACATATGTTTCAGTTACTTTTTAATGGAGTTTCGGCTACCACATGGTGGGATTTTTCAAAGTAAAAATTACAATGGGAATATATTTTATGTTAATTTGTCTTCCAGTTTATTTGTTTCTTTCTTTGTTTTGCTCCGAAAACAACCTGAACGAACATTAATAAGGAATCAACCATGGCCCCCCTTGTAGAAGCGTTCTCACACTTTTATTGTCAATATACTTAATCGTGCTAGTTACTGTAAGTAGGAGACTTCACCGTGAGGTTTGGTAATTTTCAGGGACATTAATGATCCTAAACAGTTTGCTCATGCAGGTGACGTCAGATTGTAATAAGAACTGTTCACAACATGGCTCACATGAAAAAGAAAGGTTATAGATCTAAAGAGCAATTTTAAAGGACTAAGCTTGCGCGATAGCGGATACTATATTCAACAAAAATGACTTCTGACTAGTATGATATTTTTTACCTCCATTGTGTTCATCTCGGTATTTTCTGCCAGTACTGGCCTGGCAGGAGTCATAATCGCCATTGAGATCAATCCCAGTAGGCCGTCTTCCACTACTGTAAGCAGCACTACCTCTACCAGAGTCCACGTTCGATGAGGATTGCCCACCAGCCTTGTCATAATCTGAGTTATTGGCCGATGAACTAGGATTTGCCTTTTTCTGTGTTTTTGCGTCTTCTTCTATTTTTGCTGTTCTTTGGCCTACATTATAGACACCTTCTGACTTTCCTGTGGATACATGATATCTCAGAATTTGAAACCAATAGCTTATCCCTTTTTTTAAAAGTTTCTTGTTATACAGGGTGCGGCAGAGAGGATGGACGGTTTTAAAAAAATCATAGTTAATTTTTACTCGAAAACAAATTTATTGATGAAATGAGGTTCACAGGAAAATAGCATTTGAGACAGTCAAGTGTGGAAAATCACATCAGGCATGTGGTGGCCGAAATCGTTGATGCAGTAATGGAGGCGTTCTTGGAAGTTCGCGTAGACTCTCTCCAACATCGCTCTCTCAACTTGGGCGACTTCCACGCGAATTTCGCCCTTCAATTCGTCCAGAGTTCGGGGCTTGTTTGCGTATACTCTAGCCTTGAGGTGTCCCCATAAGAAAAAATCGCATATGGATAAATCTGGGGACCGAGGAGGCCAATGAATATCGCCAAACCTGGAAATAAGGCGACCAAGGAAGAGAGGGCGAATAACGTCCATGGATGCTCGGGCTGTGTGGGCCGTCGCCCTATCCTGCTGGACCCACACACGTCGGATTGGAATACGTCGCTGTCGTAATTCAGGGAGAAAGAAGTTGGTGATCATGTCGACGTAGCGCTCTGAGTTCACGGTAACATCACGACCATTACCGTTTTCGAAGAAGTAAGGGCCAATGATGCTAGTTTGTGATACAGCGCACCAAACCGTTACTTTTGGGCTGTGCCGCGGTCTTTCGTGTAACTGTTGCGGATTTTCATTAGCCCAATAACGACAATTCTGCTGGTTAACCATGCTGTTTAGGTGAAAGTGCGAAGTTCATTCGTTGTGCATAATCTCCGGGCTGTAACTGTGGAGCGGAGATCCAGATGCAAAATTCGCCTTACCGAACGATCACTAAGGCGAAGTGCAGCAGCATGTTTCCGGGCAGATCGAGTCGGACTGCGAAGAAAGACCTGTCGAACGCGTTCAACATTTTCAGGAGTTCGAACTGTTCGCGGCGCTCCGCTTGGTCTTCTTTGATCAGTTTTACCACGCCTGCGAAGTGATTCAACCCAACGAAGGATGGTGTTTCGAGAGGGAACAGCTCTATTCCAATGAATGTTGAAGTGGCGACGATACACACGCTGTACGACGATGACTGACTCATTATTTCGGACGAAACAATCATAGGCGAAAACGCGGTGCTCCACCGTCCAAGACTCCATAACGACAACTGATAAAATAATGCTAGGATCTCACGAGTCAAACGGCACCCTCCCCACCTCTCTCGTAGACGGAGGCGGGGAGTACTACCCATCTCAAAAACGTCCGTCCTCTCTGCCGCACCCTGTAGTTTCGGAGTTTGATAACAAGGTACCCCAAGCTGATGGAAGTTCTCATAATACAATAAATAAAAGAAAAAATATATTTCTGAAAACAAGCTTTTATTGGGATGTTATAGAATGAACCAAAAATTCAAAGATATTTTTGTCCGACTGCTGTTAAAACTAACATGCTTTTATTTGTAAACTTGGGATGGAAGGAGCTTCATTAGCGTTGAAATATTTACAATTGGAAATAAATAATAACAATAAATAAAAGAAAAAATATATTTCTGAAAACAAGCTTTTATTGGGATGTTATAGAATGAACCAAAAATTCAAAGATATTTTTGTCCGACTGCTGTTAAAACTAACATGTTTTTATTTGTAAACTTGGGATGGAAGGAGCTTCATTATCGTTGAAATATTTACAATTGGAAAAAAATATCTTTAAATTTTTAATCCGTTCTATCAACATCTAAATAAATGCTTGCTCTTAAAAATAGTTCTTTATTTTACTTCTTAGAATTTACGATATCAAATAACCAGTTTAATAATTTCTATATAAATTTCATATATGGTATTTTATTAATAGGACTCCATGGAAATTCTCTCTGTATTTGTATTATAAAATTTCGATAGATGTAAATTTATGATATTTAGAATTTACAATTACTTTCATTTGGTCCCATAGTACAGGGGAAACCATGGATATTATGAATCGCCATTTAGTTGCTGTCGCCATATTGGATTTAAAATATCGTCGCTCTGCTTATTATGTTCACCTCATCAAGCCCTTTCATTCAATACCCACTGCATACGGGTTGTTATGGAAATGATAACTCGCCATTTTGTACCATCGACCATACTAGATTCAAAATGGAAGCATCCATTTCATTTTGTATTGACACGCAAATCGAACGTGTGTACAAAATTTCAGCTCAATTGGTTAAGGTCAAGTGACTCAAAATTCAGTTCCAAGATTTGCCCCAGACATACATCGTACATACATCCTAACATTCGAACATACTAACAACCAGGTCAATCTGGATACAAACTTGTAAAAAGCCCATTATTTTCCAAGCGTCTGGGTATTTTGAAACATTTTCGAATAAGCTATTCACTTTTACATAAAAAAATAGTTTTAAGAAGTTTCATTTTGTATTATCACCCGAACCAAACGTGTGTTCGTAATTTCAGCTCAATTGATTAAGGTTAACGGATTCAAAATTCGTCCTACTAACAAACGGTTAAACAAAAGCTTGTAATAAAAATGTCAGTGATCCGGAGATTTTGAAGAATGATCCTACTAAATCATAAGAAAACATGGTACAAAAAGAAGCGTTATTGCAGGCCTACCTGTTTCTCCTTCAAACCTTTTCCTGGGTGATCCCAGTAAAGCATCTTGACTGTGTTTGTCTTCAGTGTTATCTCTTTTGTGTTCGCTGCTTTCGTTTTGTAAATTATTTTCCTTCTGCTTGACACCACTGTCTTTGTGTTCCTCAGCCTGCGGTCTTTTCAGGAAACCCCCATCGTCACTATCTTTTTCTGTATCTCTGGAAATAAATAAGAAGTGTTCCTGAAGATGTTTATACTGTAAGTAGTCTCTACGGAATCATTTTCGCAAATAACAGCAGTGACTGCTATCATATTGGGAAACATAGATAAGTTCATACGCTGTTTATGCATTTAACAGAGATTATTGTAATTGTTTAACAACAATTATTGGTTTCTTGGAATAGCATCACACAACTTCGAATACTCAATTACTTTTATTGAATAGATGTATTTACATTTTCGCAAATACAGGGTTTCGTAAAAAATGCAGGTATCGAAAAATTAACTCGCTTTACGATTGCATTGCTTTTCGCTAGCGACAGTCACCGATTCCAAAATTGGTGTCAATTCTAACAACTTATTTTACTTCCTACGCCCACTGGTGGGAAAGTAGTGTAATTGCAAAAAAATCCGAAATTGAAATATTAATGTTTTTTGTGTGTTATATGATGACATGTACATCACGAAAAACGACACTTACTTCTGTTGGTCTGTCCTCTAATCTTATAGCCGCCTAAAATTTGAGAAGTACCGCTCGGATTTCAATCATTTTCACACAAGGTTACTACTATGGCAAGGATGAAAAGGATTTGTAGTTTTTGAAAATCGGTCCAGTGGCGACGGAGCTAGGGCAAAAATTCGTTTTTTGACATTTCAGAGGCTCCTGATCATTATATATATATATACAGGGTGTCCGCAAAGTTGGGGTTTTCCTTTACACGACGTGTATATCTTGAAAACATAAGCAATTTTTCTTAGTACCATATACTCCAATGTCTTAAGGGAACCGAGATAAAGGGCTCTGCAACATCAAAAATATCTGAATACCGTCCTGTAGCCGCGACATCACCGACTGGTACAAAGTCACTGGCTCAACTCCACGACATAACTGGGTCGGGGTCAGTGTGTCAGGTCAGTATGCAACCTTCTACCGACGGTTACGGTCACGCGTGTAGAGGTAATCGCGTAGACGAGAATCTCTCAACAAGCACTAGAGACGTGGCTAGAGAAGTGCAAGTATCAAAAACAAAAGTGTGGCAAACGCTGCGTTTCACGTCCAACGTGTACAAGCCCTTCAACCTGACCATTTTTCAGCAAGAGTACGGTTTTGTGAGTGGTTGTTGCATCAACATGACAATAATCCGGACTTTTTGAAGTGCATATTGGTGACAGACGAATATACGTTCACGCGTAATGGGGTTAATAACTTTCGCAACACTCATGTTTGGTCAGTAGAAAATCCGCACGCTGTCCGTCGGGCACATTTTCAACAAACATTTTCGGTGAATGTTTGGGCTGGCATGGTGAACGGTATGCTCATTGGACCATTTATTCTCTCAAATCGATTGGACGGGATGCAATTCCTAGATTTTTTACGCAACATTTTGCCTTCCTTGTTAGAAGATGTACCATTAAGTGTAAGACAATCATTGTGGTTTCTGCGTCTGCTCGGTAGCGCATCAGCTGATTTCATTTTCTGTTGGAGCGGTATGATTTCGGGCAGAGACGTAGTTAGCCCTTCTCGTCAACTGGAGAGTGAGTACTTTTTCCTTTTTTTTTACTTGGTCGCCCTCGTTTCACTACACATTACCTTTGTTATTTCAAGGGTAGTTGTTTCTGAAAACGAAAACCCCAACTTTGCGGACACCCTGTTTTTTTATCAACGAAGTCTTCTCTTGATATTTTTTGAACACATCAAGCTAACAAGCTAAACGGGGTGATGAAATGAATGCTTAAATACTATATTTGAGCACAAAGGCGGTAGTTAAAAGCTTCAAATTAGCGCCTAGCCTCCACCTTGGAATATTTCGGAACAGATACTTTTTTTACTTTCATAATGCTGAGATGACAGCTGCCAAAGTTGAGAAATTATCAACAATATAGTCCGAAGATGTAAAAAAACATGGAATACTGAATTTACAATATGTTTAACTTTGACTGTCCGCCAGTCTGCAAGTTTGTAAGATAAAATACAGTTGTTATCTAGGATTGTAGCGTGGTCTATTCCATCTGGAAAAATGTTCCCAGATGACATCAGTTGCCGAGACATTGAAATTTACAACCAACACGTTCACAAAATAAATGAGGAGATTTATGAAAATCAGTGAATGAAGCGTGTCCTAATTTTATAATTGTCACTATTAATAGAATGGTAAAAAGAGTTTTCTGGCAGATTATTTCGCAATTTTGATGCTTCTGAAACAAAGGTGGAATCGAATAGGCTATTTCTCGATTATGTACACAGTAAATCAAAAACGTATCTAGAAAAAATGGATTTGGTGACATTTCAGTTCACATGGTACGAAACAAGCTAATTAATCTATCAATCTTTTTTAAGATACCCTGTATTCTAAACTGATTATTCAGTCGTTGTGGTTGCTTGCATATTCTAATGTTTTAATTAAAGTCAATGTTGCATCAAATGCAACGATTCATCCTGTTGTATGATCATATCTATTCTTGATTTTCTGAACAGTGTGGAGAGTATAAAACGGTAGCTCCTCAACAAATACATTTGATTACACTGAGTAGAGCTGTGACTGTATACATTTCGATATTTGTGCGAGTTTTAAAGATTGGAGGAAAATGCATGTTTTCGTTAATTTGTTGTTTATCCTGGCCACTGTCTATTTCTGTGCTGCCCAGAATCAAATCATCCCCAATGATCCTGAAGTGAACAGTGAGTAGAAGCATCAACTTTCATTCGACTTTTTGCTTTCAAGCCGAAATTAGTATACACGTATATCAAATTGCTTTGAAAAAGCCACAGTACGTCCTATAGGACGTCAAACTATAGTTTGAGATCTGATATACCACAACGTTTTGTGATACCTTATTGGATGGAAATTCGGCAGACTATACCCACAATTTTGGGCATTGTGTCAAGGTGACAAATAATGACGAGGATCACAAATTCTTATAAAATCGCCAAGTAGAAATCCTGACTTCCGCTTGTGGTGACTATAGCTTGTGTTGTTGGATACAATTTTGTGCTTTTGCTCTGTAACCATTCATCACAATATGAAGGGAAGGTGAATATTGGCCTTCTTTCGCACATCATATTCGTGAAAATTGAATGCTTCGAGTCAGATCATTTCATTAAATTTATTTATTCAAGTACTTCTATTTACATCCAAATAAATTGTGAGCACCTAACGAACCTTTCCAAATTAATGGACCATCTGAACGGGCAATATTTGTAGCCCGGTCGTATATCTCGGATACATCAGCGATGTCGCGACTATATATTGGCTATATATATACAAGTTGTCGACTTAGCACCAGCTGTTATACACTCTAGCTATGTTCGAGTTCTAAAAGTTGTATGTATAATTCAAATTTTCATCCATTCACATACGATGCACATTCAGATGTCTGTTAGAATTGATATTAAAGATTATATAAATCAGAAAACTTTTTTACCAGCTGATCCAAAGTACCATTGCTTCACAAAATTCTTACCTGAGATTGGAGGCTTGGCTAAAGGGCAGACACTGAGGATGAAAGACGAATGCAAGCAGGTCACTTGTATGGCTAACAAAGACATTGAAATTCTTGGGTGAGTTGAGAAAAAACAAAAGGTCAACAATTTGCTTTCAAGGAGACAAAGTTTTGGAAAATCAATAAACAAAACATCATGCACAATTTCTGCGATTTATTATTATGTATGCATATTTAGGCAACATAAAAGTTTACAAAATGAGGCTCATTTTAGCATCTTTTTCTTTTTTTCTTCCGGAATTTTACTAAAGCTACGTGGTATTTTTAAGTTCCTGATATTGCCACTGTGTCTGAGATATTTTTGATGTATGCAGGTGATATTGAATAAAACAAAGTAGTATTAGATATACTACGTGACATATAAATCCGAACACCCAGTTTAAATGGTTTTATTTTAATAAAATTTTGTATAAGTACTTAATGAAGCATAATAAGTAAATGATAAAAATTTCAAAATGATTGCACTGCTTTAAAGCCCTTTGACCTTTAATAATGTGTGGATGCACCCTGATGTGCTACGCATTCTCCAACGCGCCTAGGCATGCTTCTGATCAGGTGGTCAATGTCCTACTGTGGTATCTCATTCCAGGCAACCACCAACTCCTCTCGAAGTGCTTCTAGAGTCTGAGGAGGACGTTGCAAATTGAGCAATCTCTTACCCATCATATCCCACACGTGCTCAATTGGGGATAAGTCGAGAGATCTTGGTGGCCATGGTAACAATGTGACATCATTATGTTGAAAGAAGTCTATTGTGACTCTTGCAACATGTGGTCGGGCATTATTTTGTTGGAAAGTTGGATCTGCCAGGGTGTCAAGATAGGGTAAAAGATGGGGTTCTAGAACTTCGTGGATATAACGCTGCGCGTTCATGTTACCTCTGATGAAGATTAAAGGTGACCTGGAACCATAAGCTATAGCACCCCAAACCATAACTCCAACAGTGTGATGAACATGTCTTTCAACAAAAAACTGTGGATTCCTCCTTTCACCACGTCGCCTTCTAACCCTGACACGACCATCTTGCATGCCTAAACAAAATCGAGACTCGTCACTAAAGACAATACTGTTCCATTCCTGATCCCAGAGTGACCGTTGTCTGCACCACTCAAGGCGATTACGTCGGTGTTCTCGAGTTAAAGGGAGGACCCAGTGTGGCCGGTATGAAAACAAGCCAAAACTTCTCATTCGTCGGTAAACACTTCGCATGCCAATAGGTCTTCCGTGTTCTGCAAACTATTCATTTGCAATGGACCTGGTAGTGGAGAAACGGTCCCTCAAGGCCAATAATTTAGGCGGCGATCTTCACGGTCTGTTGTTCTACGGCGGCGTCCAGTGTCCCTTGCTCTTTGCGTACGGCCTTCTCGAAGCCATGCCTGACAACACCTTACCACAGTGTCTACACTTCTTTGCACTCTAACTGCAATGGCCCGAAAAGAAAGTCCAGCTTCCCGAAGTCCCACTATACGGCCCCTATCAAACTCACTAAGTTGACGAAATCGTACAGGTCTCCGTACTCTAGGCATCGTAACCGATCGTAAAGGATGTCAAGAACCAAAATCCGCCAACGTTGATTCTTTACTGCGGCTGAAATATTCATTTTTAGAGCGTTAGTGAATTAAAAAAAAGCAGTATAAAAACCGGAATGTCCAACTGATAAGGCTGAAAATTTTTTCACTTGTTATTTACAGTAAGATAAATACATTCACCAACTTTTATTAAAATAAAACCATTTAAACTGGGTGTTCGGATTTATATGTCACTTAGTATAGTGCAAATTCCGCCATTACTGATTTTGAGTAAACGGGACAGATGGCCTAAGAAAGCGCAATCTAAAGAGAAGTTTCCGATTACCTTTTTTGGCGCCCTTCTAGAAATGTTTCTTAAAAGAATTAACTGAACGAAATTATATTCCTCGTTTTTCTGTTTTGTTTAGAAATATTATTTAAACGTTGTAATTTTTAGTTGTGGATTAGTCGGAGTACCACAAGGCTGTGAAGCAGCTCTTGGTGATTTGAGCAAATCACATCCCGATTGTTGCTATACGATTAAATGTGAATAAACTCTAACCTATACAACATGTTGTAAATAAACTTAACTTTACCATTATTACTGTTATTACTTCTCCCAAAACTTTTCATCGATTAGATTCTATTTGGTTCATGTTCAAACTCTACGGCCATATATGATATAATTGAAAAAAAGCAAAAGTCAATCAAAGTAATTTTTGCATATACGAGATAGTCAAGATGTTTGATATAGATTTTTAACAGACCACTAGATCAATTCCAAAAACCCGAAAAGCTTCTCCGTACCTGGAATAGTACTAACCTTGTCTTAAAATCCACTAAAACCCAAGCGGTAGGTATTTTCCAACTTGAAGGGGACAAGGATTATCGGACAGACAGAAAGACCGACAAAGATGAATGTAATGAATTTTCGTTATCGACATATCATGTAGCATGTACTAAACCGTGTATACACTTCCTTAGTATTTCAAATAACTAACTTAATTTGTTTAATTGAACATAACTTAAACAACTAATCAACAATCTATTGTAATATGATATCTATTCATATGTAATTTGTAAAAGATTATGGAGAGTATAAAACATGTTAAGTATTCGATAGACCATCACTCTGAATTCAGTATATGCATAGTTTTAACTGCATGGAAAGTGACATTTGTTGACGTACCAAAGATTGATAGAAAAATGGGTATTTCTGCTAGCCTGTTATTTATTTTGACGACAATCTATGTATGTGCTGCCCAGATTATGATCATTCATAATGATCCTGTTGTGAGCAGCGAGTATTTTCTATTTTAAGTAAGTTCCATATTGTCACAAGGTCCTTAGTTTAACCAGAAATATGAAAATCTGTGAAAAACAAAGTTTGATCTTCCTTAAACAGTCCAATGTTCAAAAACTATATGATACAAAAAATACAACGTCAGGAAGTGATCCGCTTCTGAGAATAAAGTACGCCAACAGACAAACAGATCGACGGAAATGAGTAACATGGATTTTTGTGGTATAGTCATCATAAAACAGCAAAACATGTGTTATTTAAGATTTGAGAGTATCTGTGATCATAAGACTCTCGCTTATGAGAAAGCAATTATACTCGTAATAGTAGGGGAGCTCAAGAAGCGAAATGGGAAGTTACTCGAGGGTCATAGGAACCTGATGGGTTTTGATGATCAGATTGCAGACAGAAAAAAAAAGGTGATACAACTTGATGGTACTGGGAGTGTCTACAGGTTGTAAAAATGTAAAAATATGTCCATAGAAATACTAGACCACGTCAGATATTGATATTGTAAATGTCTCTGATATTCATAGCACGATAATCTGCCGGTTTGTACCAGGACGCCAGTTGTATCTCGGCGACCTCTAAACCTAGTCATATGGTTAAAAAAATTATAACGGGGCTGACCAAGAGAAATTGTTGCAAATTATCCTTAGCAACCTAAAATTACCGCAAGAGTGCGTAACTCTAACTTCTTAATTAGAAATGCTGTTTTTTCGAAAACATTCATGATTAACATAAATATTTAAAATAGATTCGTTCAATAGTATTCGTGTTCTGCATACTTTTTTGTCGACATCATTTTTCCGTAAGTCGGTTGTTTTAAGGCGGAGACAGGGTACAAGGTCATTTCAGAAGCGGTGGTGTAACTTCTCATTGGCACTATCGAGTTTCGTGGTCTTGGTCCATCTAAAACGGCTTCTGACGGATGTTTACTCTTGTTAGTTTAGGTCGTTTTTTACCCTTTAGGCTGGCGCTTAATGACAAAACCGTAGTTAATCTGGACTTTTTCGAAAGCCTTTATTATTATTTTCCGTTATTCACAAAAAATCCTACAAACTGGTGAAAACCACCTGACGTTATCTTGACTCTTATAAAGTTACGACTAAAAATTAGAATTTATTAAGAGGTACATATCCGCGTAGTGGGAAATACAGGGAAATACAGGATCTATTGCAGCTGCTCACACTAAACTTCACTGACTAACCTTTCATATTTCGACTTGTTCAAATCCGTCGATTATTGTTGCCTTATTCTTGAATTTCTGTCACCAAATTAAAATAAAATTGTCTGCCCTGGAGAACGTCACGGTGATCTTTTATTTTGTTTGTGAGTTGTGAGTCCATATTCCCTCATGTCACATTCAAATCGTCATATTATTAAAAAACATGCTTCTCAGCATGTAATTCAGTTACCTTATCTCAGTATGATGTATTTCTAAGGATAGATTTAATTTTTTTACTATTCTGACAGGCTGCCCCAGACGTACCTCTCCGTATAGATATATGGTTTATTTGCATGAGACTTAATATAATAGAGTGTTGGGATATAGTCAGGTAGAAAATATGTATAAAACAGCCCTAGGTAACACTGATGACACACACATTCAACAAATTAAAAGCTGAAATCCATATACTCTGACACAAAGTAGAAAGGGTTTTTTATAAAGTATATAAAAAGTATAAAGCTTTTTTCCTTAATCTGGTTATTAAAAACCCTACTGATGATATCTGTTGGAAGTTTGTTGTATATCTAAATCATTATGCTTTGGACCTTTTGATACAAGAGATAACATGTGGTCAGGCACGACCAAATTAACCTCGTCAGATCTTGTATGCTGATGCACAAGCGTCCCAAAATACATACGACAATAATTTGATTTGATATGCTTTATCGATCGAAAATGTAAAGGGTTTACCATTAAGGACTTGACAACTTTTTGAATGAAACGCAAAACATTTGAGATATCTCGAAAATTTTATTATTGGACTGAAGTATACTCAAAATATTTATGTAAGGAATTCGACCTTGTTCATAATGTCCACCACGGGCACGTTCGCAGCGATCGCTTCGTTGAACCCAATTTTCAATGACTCAGCCACACATTTCAACAGAAGCGGCCGCTATCTCTCGTTCAGTATTGGCTCTGAGCTGTTCTAATGACGCCGGCTTGTTGGCATAGACCAATGATTTAATGTAGTCCCACAAAAAAGGTATAGAGGTGTTAAATCACACGATCTAGGCGGTCATTCGACAGGACCATATTTAACCTGCTGTGTGGCTTGTGGCACCGTCTTATCGAAACCACATATCATTAATGTCTAGCGGTCTAGCCCATCCAATTGAGCAAAAAAATGACGTTGCAACATGTCTCTGTAGCGTCCTCCGTTTACTGTATGTAACGTGACGGTCATTTTAATCAACGAAAAAAAAACGGCCTAATGACACCACCGGCATGAAAACCACACCATACAGTTATTTTTTGTGGATGAAGTGGTGTTTCTTGAGCAACAAGGTTCTCACCTGACCAATAACGCATATTCTGTTTGTTGACGAAGCCAAAAATGCGCCTCATCACTGAAGATGATTTTGCGATGAAATTGATCATTTTCTTGCAACATTTCTACAGCCCAATTTGAGAACGTGTTGTCGAGTTAACTTTATCTTATAAGGGTCCAAGCCAAGATCTCTTCGCAAAATTAGGCATAGTGTGGTCTGAGCGATGTCCAATTCTTGAGAACGCCATGGAACCGACGTGTCCGGTTCGTTTGCGACGGAAGCTTGAACGGCAGCAATATTCTCGGCACTTCGACCAACCCGTTGTCTCACTGCCACGGGAATATCCGGCAGCGAATATGTAGACTAGACTATGAATCGTTGGCCACTGGGACGAGAATTACGACCAAAAATTGGCGCTAACTCTCTTAAAGTTGCAGTAGTGAATTTTAATTATTTGTAAGCGTTGTTCGTTCGTGTACTACACCATGATGAAAATGTTTTCTTCACTGAATGTTTTGACACTGACAGTTCGGTAATTGATTTTAAAAGATGCGTTCACAGTGAAAGTTCAAAGTTGTCAAGTCCCTATTGGAAAACTCGATATAAAGAAAATAGGAACATAATTTCTGCTTCCTTGGATAGCAATCGGCAAGAGAGAAGTCTTTTCTTGGAATACATGGTTCGTTAGGACCTTATTTATGCAATAGCTAAGAATCGAGTCAATTTGAGCAAAATAGGTTTGAAGAACATATTTATCGAAGATCGTTCTTAATCGCCAAATCGTTAAACGGTGAAAGGTTAACTTAGAACATGATCTATATGGTTAGACTATGCTAGGTACTCATCCCCAAATATTCCGCTGAGTTACTCTGTGGCAAGGTACATCTTATCTCACTTTTCACCCATAGACTGTAGACTAGTTTGAAAATTCTATATACCATTACCTCAGTTTTGTAGAGTTCAGTACGAGTCCATTATTTTTACAATATTTTAAAAACTCTAGGGTGTCCAAGATAAGGGTTCTATGCGTGGGATACCTGGGAGATACAGCTATGTCAACCTGCTGCGCTTGAGTTAAGCCCAACATCCCCTATTGGGTTCCCCTACTATAATTCTAAGAAGTGATAATTCTACTTATATGTTGTCGAATGCTTATCAGGGATATTAGAAAAAAGCTTGTAAAATAAGTATGTGAAGATCAAGGTTTGTATGATAAAAAATTAAAAAGTCTAATTCATAACATCGCGTCAATATACTGATAACGAGTTGCTAGTCCGAACTGCTATTATAGATAATTTGAACAAGAAACATTTCTGTTACCAGCTGATACAAAGTATCACTATTTCACAAAATTCAATGGAATTGGGGGTCTGACTAATGGTCAAAGCAAGAAGTTATTACAAGGTATTTTAGAAAAGAGTTAGGATTTCCAAAATGTTTTAAAAGAATACGAAAGAATGCCTTCAGTAATGCCTGTTTCATTTTTAACAAGCTTTTATTACATTCACCTGTATGTAACAGACGTCTGATTAACTTGAAAATCGGCACAGAGGTCAAGTGCCGATGACAGTACAATAATCTTGGATTATTTGGAAAAAATGGATTTGAACATTTTTAAAATAATTGGAAAGTTCGGAAATTTGGGAAATAATTTGAAGATTTGGCAATTTTTAAACAAAATTAGAAATTTTGAAAACATGCTGGAAATTTTGAATTTGAATATATATATATATATATATATATATATATATTATGAATAAAAAATATAGCAAAGCTCGTGGGGCGAAATTAACTGTATTTTCATAATAACATTGAATATCAAGAACCCCACTATTTTTTACTGAGATTAATTTTTTTGGTAATATCTTAATTTTTATATTGATCTCTTTCCGTATTAATAGGTCACACTTAATTTTTGGATTTTCTATTGCAGGAACTCTCCTATTTTTGAAAATCATGTTCGAGTTTTTTGTTCGGTTTGCTATTAAAGCTTGTTTTAGAGGTTCTTTTTTGAACTGTAACTTATTTGGACATTAAGTTATCCAGATTTTCTCCATTTCGTTGCACGAACTGATGAAATCTGTTGTCATCGCATTTTGCATAACGTTGACGCATAGAAGGTTCGATTTTGCTATTGTCTGGACTCTGATATTGCTATAGGAAACACGCAGGAAGTATATGGGGCTTAAATCTGGTGGTCGCGGTCCCCATGCAATATCACTAAGGCGAATAATCAATCCTTTGAAAATGAAGCTTCAAAATATTGTAACTCGTGAAAAATATGGGCTCGTGGACACTTTTGCTTCTATATTGAGATATACAACATCCTAAATTAAAAAAAAAGCCGAAAGACTTTCACCATGAGGTTTCTGTGGGGTCTTTTCAGGAGATAAGAATACCAACACCCACAGTTTTTGATTAAAGTATATTTACTATATAAATACTGAAACATATTTGACTTCATACGGATCAAAAACTGCGGGTTCTATTAGTTTCTATGAGTCTCGATGGATAAAACTAGGGTGATCTAGATATTAATCCTTCCAGATTATTTCTTAAGTTTGACATTCGGTTGGTTTTCGTAGCCACAGATTCTGGGAAGTTGAGTTCATTTCACCCTCTCAGATAATTTTCTACCCCTCGCTTTTATATTGAGATATACAACATCCTAAATTAAAGAAAATATTGCCTTTCACCATGAGGTTTCTGCGGGGTCTTTTCAGGAGATACGAATAATAACACCAACAGTTTTTGATTGAAGTATATTTACTATATAAATACTGGAACATAATCGACTTCATACGGTTCAAAATCTTTGGGCTCTATTATGTTTTATGAGTCTCGATGGATAAAACTAGAGTGATCTAGATATTTATCCTTCCAGTTTATTTGTCAAGTTTGACATTCGGTTGGTTTTCATTGCCATAGATTCTGGGAAACTGAGCGCTATTCGCACCTTCAGATAATTTTCTACCCCTCGCTTTTCAAAAAGTTTTGAGGGTTGATATACTCTAGAAAATGTGCCTCTTGCCTAAGATCCCCTGAGAAAAATTCCTGTGGACCTGTTGGTGAATTTCAGCTATATGCAAACACCTACACTTTCAGATGACAATGTTTCCACAAAAAAACATTTGACGTGGATTTATTCAACTGAAACTGTATTTTTAGTTCTAATAGCTAATATAATGGTTCTAATTTTCAGCTGTGGGGCAATAGGACTACCACGAGGCTGTGAAGCATCAGTTGGAGATTTAAGCAAACCTCATCCTGATTGTTGTTATATTGTGAAATGTTGATAACCTGGTTTACCCCTACAGCTTATGAAAATAAACTCTACCAAACAATTCATACTTTCCTGGTTTATGACTCAAGTAATATTCTTAGTCAGGTTTCAAGACTATAATGTGCAACCTTGTTTTTTATGCTATGTTTGTGAAGCAAAGTTTTAGATCAGCATCAACATGCGTGCGAACCAATTCGTCGTTGCCCAACAAAGTGATTTAAGCTTTTATCAAATTCCTTTTGGTTTCATCATCTATAGCCACCATGTAATAAAATCAGCCTAATAATTATACAATGTCCAAGAAAACGCATTTTTCAACCATGTTATTTAGGATCTTATATCACCACAGATGAGATTCGTAAAAATTTTCAAAGAAACTTTTCGCATTATTCGCATGTTCTAAAGTATGTTTTTCAAAACAGGATTTTGTAAATGTTAACCTACTTGCTGCTATCCATAATATTCCCGTGAGATCCTCTTCTAGCCAGCACAGGTATTTGAGGTTGAGGTCGGTTAGGCGCATTCTCTGGAGCACCTTCATGATCAAAGGCTAGCTGAGGTTGCGAGGCAGCTCGACGAGCCTCAAAACTTCTCTGTCTGAGACTATCTCTCTCCAGCTGCTGAGCGCTTCGTCGTTCTGGAGAAGTCTGAAATAAGTGTTTTCATGAAGTATCAACTGACGACATGGGCGTACATTAGGTAGGAGGATAATGGGTGAACCCGTTTCTTAAGGAACGAGTGGCGCTCGTGTTTTTTTTTGTTTTCAAAACATTCGCGAAAATCACCGTGCTAGATCTGATTGGTAGCGATGTGCTGCCGCCCCCCTGAGATGCTCAGGCAGATAAAGAGAAACGTACAAATAATCCGACTGCAGTAACTGAAAATGAAGAATTATTTGTGCTATCAAGACAAATCTAAGCACACAAACACGGGGTTACGCGAGTTGGTCTCCATTTGTCCTCTTCCATTGTGTTCAGATTGTGTCATTTTAGTAGTAGTAGTCTGTTAACAATAATGTTAGGTTTATTTTCTCCGATACCTGTAGTTATGTGAGCTTATTTCGCACCCCTGCTACAAAAGTCACACAACTCGAGAAATCATGTTTTTGGCAAAGTGCAGAAAACTGTTTTATACACTCTAAATATTTTTTTTCAAATATATTTATTCGGATAAATAACACAAGTTCTAGAAAGACTTAAACTACATCATATCCTCCATTCTAGGCTCGTATGCTTTAAACAAAAGATATTTTTGAGTTGTGTCACTTTTCTGTTTAATTTGAACAACAATCCTAAAATTATTTCCTAAAACGACAGTTTAGTTGAGCACCAAAAGATTTGCGATACTTTTGTTGTTCAGTCTAATGGTGAACAATAGACAAGAAATTTGAGTTGCTTGAGAATGTATCGCCAACATTATACTCTAAAATTGGATTTAAACATTGGTAAAGTAATCCTATTTTTTGAGGGAAAGTATGAAAATAAGGATACGTAGTAAATGCATTACAAAAGAATCATAATAAATGAGGCTGAGATGCTCTCAGGTATATCAATATAACTTTCGGACTTTACAAGTAACTTCGTCACGTCTAATTTTAAATAAAAGAAGAGAAGTTGTTATACTGTTTGCTTAAAAATAAATCGCCATTATTGTGCTGTGAATGTTTTCATATGCAAAATTTATCAAAGATACCAGTTTTTTTGAGGAAAAGTATAAAAATGAGGAGAAGTAATAACACAGCATATAAAAAATCAGGCTTGCAGTTAATTTAAAATAATTTTCAGTGTTCATCCGTAACTTGTAATTTCTTTGTAAGATTTGAACTGAACTAAATAGTAAGTATGTTTTCATGTCATATTTTTTTTAAGTGTACCCTTATAAGCTAGTTCTTGTAGGTATTATTTTTCATACCTCTCAATGGGAACTTATTCCAATAAGCTTGAACTAAGCTAACAAAGTCTGCATCGTGCTCTTGAGACCTAGTGTTTTTTACATTATTCATGTCGAATTTTCTGAATTCGAAATGTCCATAGGTAGTTTTATAGAAACTGAATCCGCGTTTACTTTGCATACTTTAAGTATTTTGATGTCATTCGAATTAACTTTCCCTTTTTCAGTATCTGTCGTAAGGTTTTTTCGCCACTGCTCTTGTAACACTTTAAAAACCGTAAAAATTTTTAAAGGTAAGCTGGTGTACTCTGTAAGTTGGACCACTTTTTTTTAGTGCTTCATACTCGTCGGCCCAGATTTAAGATATTTCATAATCTGCTTTTCATTGATGCTATGTACTTCCTTGTCCAGAATTTCTTAACAATTTAGCTATTTTAGGAGGGCAGATACCAGAATTTTGTTTTCCTTTTTGCCTTTTGTAACTCCTGTCTGCTCTTCGTTCATTAAGATAATACTCTTCGTTGAGCTTTTGTCACTAGCGGTATGCGTTTTGATGAAATCTGAATCTACATCTGAATCATCCACGTCGCTCTCATCACTAGACGTAATAATTTTTTAATTCCCTCTTAAATGCACAAACAACTGTAGGAGGATCTATATTACAAAACATTGTGTAAAAATTGCTACATCTAGGCTGAGGGCTATTGCTTCTGGTTTTTTCGAAAATATTCTCTGAAGCAAGATTTTCTTGGGATACGGCCTCCATGGTGGGGTTTTCTTGACATAAGCACAATTCTGCATATTTAAGCTGTTAATTGGTAGTGCTACAGTTTTTACTATCTAAAATTGAATCGTATCCTCTATAATGGCTAAGATTGTCAGAACCAGTTGGGATGTTCTCTGTTAGGGATGTTTTGGCTTCGATGATCGAATGTAAAAGCAACTCAGAATCAATCAATTTCAGTTATTGATACATTTCACTGTTTCTGGCGGATATTAACTGGTCATCTAAAAAAACTGAATTGTTAGGAAATTGTGGACAAGCTTGTGCTTCATCGTAAAAAACTAAAAACGTCAGTAAAAAAGTAATTCAAACATTATGGGATTTCATTTGGTCAAACAATCATGTACCCCAACCACAGGAGAATCTCAAGATTAAAAGGTATCGTGAGAAAGATTAATAATGTCATACCCTGAAACGAATTGCACCATCTGGGGGCTTAGGCCATCCCTTAATATATTGATAGTAGTGGAAACTTGACGGACCTACATAGAAATTATGAAGAAAAGGTGGGAACAATCAACTTCAATATGCCAATTGCTGCCTTTGTGAGTTATGCTCGATTTCCTCATTCAATAAGTCTGAATCATTCACCGGTACGTGTTTAATGTAAGGATAAGAAGCTGCACATTTTCTCTTATAGGAATGTCAAGCTACTGTTCAAATATTAAAAATTTTCAATAAGTTTGTGTAGTTAATCCATTAATCAGTATATCGTCGTAAGTTGTTACAACAAAAGTGACATAAATCAAAACGCATTACAACAAAAGTGACCTAATTCAAATTAAAATGTGAACATTGTATAATTTTTAGCAACTAACGTGTCGCATTTTTAAATAAAACAAATTTTACCGTAGATTTATTCCACTAATCTGACTTAATTCGAAATATTATAAGGATTATAATCACCGTTTTTTATCAAAAGCGATACAATTCAAAGTAAGACAGTTTAAGTGCGTCATTGTATAACCTTTTCTGTAACTAAGGACAGGGTACAACTGAAAATATTTCTGTTTAGTGGAAGATACTAATACACGCTGAATCTAACAAAAGTGCCGCATATGCCATCTGGCGGCCAATCCGCAACGTTAATTTATTACGCTTTTTGTGGAAGGTAAACCATAATTACCGCATGTAATTGCTAGTATTAACTGAAAATCCACACTTTTTGAGTTGTGTCATTTTTGTAGCGAGGGTGCGATTTGATGGATGACGAAGTGAAATACTCCCAAAATTCTTCCGAGACATTCAGTTTTATTGAATGTGTACTCTTTTGTGCGTGCCTATATCTAAATTCTATTGTTTCTTCTTTTTTGGAATTGTTTAATAAGTATACATTGCGCATTGAGAAACATTAAAGAAAGTTTAACTTTCTTTAACCTGTGCACATATCACAATACCAGATTTTCACTGATATTGACGGAAGTCTTCCTTGGGCGGGGGGGGGGGGGACTATGTTCAAAATTAGCATATCAAATTGTCCGGATATATAATTACCAAAAAAACACAGTCACATTTAATGAACCTGAATCATCTGTTGGTCATCACTCCGCGACACCTGAATAAAACCAGTACACTTTTACATTATTCACGATATGAGACAAAGTAATTAGCGGCATACAAACAAGTGACCAACTAGGCTATTTTGCCGTTAACACGCGAAACCCATTACTATTATATAAGCTGAGCTTTAATACTTAAACGTCTTTTTCTCCGAATTGATTGAGCGTTGCGTGTTACCATTCCAACGGATGAATACCCTAGAGGAGCACAATTGGACAGCTCAAAATGAACTCCCAACCTCGTGCCCTTTCGTTGTTAGTCACAATAGTGGTGGTATAGCCACAAAGTAATTGTAGGTGGCTGTGGTGGTGGCCGCTGCAGTGCGTCACTAGGATAGCTCCAATATACGAGGTTTCGAGCTCGTCTCCCCGCGCGACAGTAGCGAAACACAACCAGCTAATATAAATTTTAGCCTTATTTAGATATTTTCGAATTTTCTCATCAAGATTAAAGCATAACACTTACCTGCAAGTTAGGTTGCGCAGGTAAACCAGTAATCTGCTGCCCAGCCTGAGCAAATCTTCCAGCTGCTCTCTGGACGTTCCCCACATAGTTCGTCTGGTAGTACAACTCCTCTTGACGCGCTGTTCCAATCATCTGAGACCGGACCTGCGCCATTTTCTGAGCGTACTGTTGCTGTTGACTTAACTGATGTTGATACTGTTGCATTTGGACGGTGTGTTGCACCAGCATCTGTTGCTGGATAAACTGCTGCTGACTTGTCTGTTGTTTGTACTGTTGTTGCTGGGATAGGCTAGGCTGCTTGGTGTAGGCTGCAATAAACATGAAGGATCCATGTTTAGTTACATACATGTTAAAATAACTTTTCACAAACACTGTATCGTACAATGTAATTTTAATGGCATGGCAGCGTGCTTTTACTGCCGACGCCTACTGGCGAGGAAGTATTGTAATCAAGAAAAATTTCGAATATGAGATAATTTTTTTGGTGATATATGACATGTCCATTACGAAAGACCATGTCACTCATTTCCGTCGGTTTGTTGGTCTGACTGCTAATCGCTGACCCGTCTATAACCTGGTATATACCAGTCGGATTTTGATGAAATTATCAAAAAAAGTTACAACTGCAGCAAGGTCGAAAACGCCAAGCGATCCAGTGGCGGCGAAGAAAAAGGCCAACAACGAAAAAAATAAAAATCGCTCAAACTCAATATACTTAATTTTTGTATGTTTACATGGTGATAAAAAGAATAATAACATTGTTAAGTGTTTCCCATGGACATCATCATGTGAAGCCTCAACTGTGCTTTAACAATGTCATTTGGATTACACAGCGTTGTTCCTGTCACATGACACATGACACTTTTTCATGGAATCTGTGATATCATCCTTTGTATTCTAATCTTTAACATAGTTTATCTTATCGAAAAAAGTCTTCAACTTGTAAGTTATTCACTAGGTGTTGATACCCTCAAATGGTAATATAGTCTATAATAGTACAGAAGAAATTGAAAGTTTGAAATGAACAAAAAAAACTTACTGGCCTGATTTTCTCTCTGGATTGCAAGGTTTTTGCAGTTGCACTAGCAGGAGAGCCCGCGTTAGTCAGAGAAAGGTAAAGCAGTAAGCGACATATCTTTTTCATTAATGAAACAAATTTTGATAATGACAAAGAATATTACGAAACGTAATATTTCATACTTTGATCTGGCAATGGAGCCTTCTTACTATCCACCTCCTCGATGATATTGCCTTGTGATTTTCTGATATCTTCTGAAACATTGTTCAATCCTGAATCCTCATTTTTCTCATCCAGATTGTCTTTACTGCTCTTAAACCTGTTGGAGATGATGTCCTTGATAGTGTGGTAAGTCTTCGTTACGCTTTTCATATTTTTCTGATCTTTTGGGGTTGCATCTTTGTTCTCCATTTGGATGGCCACCGTCTGTGAGTTATTCTGTAAAAATCAAAGGATTTATCAGATTCTTGAATCTCAGGCGACGAAGATCGCATGCTAACAATTTTCTCGTTCCAAGACAGTTGATGCAATCGTGTACGACTTCATGTTTAAACATCCAAATAGTTCAGAGAAATTGTTCCAAATGCAATGAGATATTTAGAAAAATATTGCGATACGACAAAAGATCTCAAACTTGGCTCTAAAAAATTGGGTGTTTTTTCGCTTTATGAACTAAAAGTGGCAAGTTGACAGTTCGACACGAAACTCGTTCTTTAGATATGCGGAATAACAATCAAACTCCATTATCCGATTTCTTCGGAAGGAAATACAAAAGATAATAATAATAATAATATATATAATGCCCAACAGATACTTCCATTTAAAGGACAATATAATTGAATACAATTTGACGTTATAGTATTTTTAACTACAATCATAGCTCGCCCAGTTTCTGAAAAAAAAAATGAAAGAAAAAATGAATAGCTACACCTACTCACCTACATGTCTTAGATGCTATAAATTGAGTAAAGTAGTCGCTGAATACAACTAATATATCTTTGACTTTATCATGATGAATGTCACAATTATCAGCCATGGTGTTAAAGCTGGAGCACATAAAGTACACGGGTGACTTAATCATAACATTAGAATTTGGTGTTTTTAAGTAAAAGGCGAGAAATCTTCGGGAAATGCGGGACGGTACTTGAAAATCAATTTTAGCTAATAAAGCTGAAGAATCAATATCACTGTGTACGAGTATGTAAAGGAATTTCAAACTATTACAAACTCTTCTCAGCTCAAGGGGATGCATTTCAAATCTGAGCAACATTGGGGAGTCCCACGATTCGGATAAACACCATCTAATTTGAAGGTCAAGTATTTAAGAAATCTGCTCTGTAAACTTTCAATTTCATTAGTATCGATTATGGATGATATACACTAGATGCATATTCCAGCTCAGAACGCACCAAGGTGCAGTATAAAGCGTTCAGTGCCGTTTCACTACCAAACGATTTACAGTTTCTTATAAAAATAAAACGAGACTTTTTATAGCGGATGATACTATTGTACTAATATGACCTGTAAATTCTATTTTAACATCAAACAACACACCTAGATCTCTTACTTCTGAACAACGCATCAAACTGACACCTTCCAGTGTGTAATCAAAAACTATTGGATTCGATTTCCTGGTAAAAGAACAGGTTTTGCATTTGTCAACATTCAAAAATAATTTATTAGTTGAACACCATTAAAATATATGATTCAGGTCAGCTTGCAAGATTAGACAGTCATCAATGCTGTTAATCTGAGCATATATTTTTAAATCATCGGCAAACAACAGAGAAGGACAGGTTAAGCAGTTAGGGAGGTCATTGATAAAATAAAGAAAGAGAAGAGAGCCTCAATTTGATCCCTACGGTATACCGGATGAGGCCGAGAAAGGTGAAGATTTGAAACCATTGTAAGAAACGTACTGATTTCTATCATGCAAGTAAGAAGAAATGAAATCTAATAAATGATTGCTAAAACCAAAATGCTGAAGTTTACCTATGATTCTTTGGTGACTAATCTTATCGAAGGCCTTTCAGGAATCCATATAGACTACATCCATCTGACCCCTATTATCTAAGACCTTTGCAATTTCCTGGGTGATTTCAGCTAAGTTAGAAATAGTAGAGCCTTTGCGCATAAATCTATGTTGCGCCTCAGATATCAGATGCCAGGTCAAAAGATAGATGTAGTTGTATACAGATATCTCAAATGCCTTACGAAATTATCCAATATAGATATAGCTCGGTTATTTTCGATTTTATTAAGGTCCCCAGCTTTAAAAATAGGGCACACTTTAGGCAGTTTCCATTTTGTAGGAAAAGTTGCTGTACTGAGGAAATCATTAAACATTTTCTTTAAAGGCGTGACAAATATGAGCGCCACATCACTACAACGTTCGGTACCATATCTTCTCCTGCTGTTAACTCGTTTGGTAATTTACACAGTGCCTAAAATATCCTCATCTGTGAAGTTACCCAGACGAACACAGTCATGCTGAGTATTAACAAGGGGATGTTGGTATAAATCATTATCTATAACATAAATAAACACTTTGGAAATACTCTATGAATGAACTAATAGTCCGATTAGGATCATCTGAGACTTCATTAGCAAAAATGATTCGGATTTGTAACCAAATCATTTTCAACTTTTTGCAGATATAGATTGTAACAGTCTTTTATCTGTTGTTTCCTGACTTTTGGAACGTTTATATTGTTGATGCGGTCTACGTTTCAGTTTTAAATTTCGAATAATAACCGAGCTATACCAACCTGGATAACGATGCTTATGCTTAATATATTTCGGAACGTACAGGTCAAAAACTAAGTATAATTGTTCATAGAACAAGTCACACATGCAATTGCCATCCTCCACGTTAGCCAAAAAAAGACCAATCAATGTAAGTCAAGGCATTGTAAAGGCCAATGATATCAGCTTTCCTCGAGTTGTACGTTGGAGTCGCTACATTCGTGTCAAAATTTAGAGTGCCATTGAATTTAGTTTCAAAAACTACAAATCCACAAAGATACATGAGTTTGACATTGTTTCCAATGCATGAGCCAAAAAGAGAGAATAAACTGTATTGTCGTTGAATAGTGGATGTAAACAATCGATTTCAGTGTTGGAAATGCAATTTTGCCTATGAAGGACTGTTCTTGATTAGGGTTTTCTTTCATCAGGTCTGTTCAATCCACAGTGGTGAAACCCATTGTACAGACCACACAAGAGTATCAAAATACGACAACACACAGTGCCATCTATTACCAGAATCGATTACTGCGAGGGTGTATAGCAGTTATCGGTTAGAACTGTAAATATATCAATTCACGTTTGATAGTCCAGTCACCAGTGTGACGGCTAGAGGCTGCCGACTCTGGCATGCTGATGAGTTGTTAAAAAGCACAAAATGATTGCTTGGTTCGCTGTCTATGATCGGATGGTTATTGCCACAGCCCTATAGCGGCACATGCCACTTTTGTAAGCTGATATAGATAGTATCGCTTCATCTTTAATCAACCCTATGCTATTTCGGCAGCTTCTGAAAATCAGATCGAGGAAGGTGTTTTATTAACATTTTCACTGACGGATCTACAAAAATGAAGTATACTCTAGGAGCCTCTCTATGAACTGCAAGTAGTCTATGGACAAACATGCCAGCGCAATGTGAGCCGAATTAGCTAGAATGACTTTAGCCGCAAAGGAAACTAACTTCAGAGATGTCACACACAAAAATATTAGGATCAGCATGGACAGCAGACAAACAATACTGACTTTCAAGCGTTGTAAGCTTAGAACGAGAACAAGACTAGACAGCCACTGAGCTCTTGTGAGTGACACCGCCAGTAATAATATAATTCTTGCTTGGGTAGAGGGTCATCACAGCTCAAGGGTAGTATTATAGCCAACAGACTTGCAAAAGTGCTGCAGAATCCAGCAGTCTGGGTTCAGTGCCCCTTGTGTATTCTACCCACCAGAGCCATGACAACTATGCTAAAAGAGCGTACCCCACAAAATCTACAATAACATGTGGGATGATACATCAGTCTGCTCATACCCTATGAAATTCTTCATATACCCTAGAGAGGTAGTAGCACAAAACTATCTGTCTATCCCCAGGCAACAACTTCGACACGCAACTGGCATGACAACTGGACACTGCCACCAAGGGAAGCTTCTCTATAATATATATAATAGTCTGGCGTAGCTGACGATCCGGACTTGAATGGCCCCTGGGGAAACGTACAAGGCTTAGATGCTGTGATTTTGGTTGATTGCCTTTCCTCTTGGAATATGTGCTTTGGTTACCACCCTATTTGAGGTACGTGCTTTAAATGCCACGCTATTTGGAACGCCAGCTTTAAATCCAACAAGGAAAGCAAAGCTGGCGCCAGCAAGAAACCCCTAGAGTCTAGAAATGGAGACCAACCATACATCTGGCGTAATGCATTAGCCATTCTTTAACTAGTCTTCTGTTACTACCCACCGTCGCAACAGCTCCTTTATGTGGTGCTAAATTCCATGAGGAATAATTTCCTTTGGTCATGTGAGCTTGTCAGATCTTGCTCCTTTCCTCAAAATGAATTTAAAGATACTCACCGTGTAATCCTCATTACTGATTGGTCTTGGAGCAGGCTTATTGGGATCAACGGCATTTCCATGCCAGGCTCCAGCTCTCGGAACAGCTCCCGTGGAAGGCTCATTTTGGGTTACGTAGTAGTCTTGGAGGTGATAAGTTGAAGCTGCTCGATATGCCGAAGCTCCGTTTGCTTCAGATTGTTGCTGGACCGTCTGGATTAGTCCAGAGTGCGTCTGGAATGAAAGTTATGAATCCGAGAAAATACGAAGAAAATATGTATGTATGTATATATATATAACAATTTGGGAGCTCTACAGCCCAGAAATGTAATCGTTTGGTGCGTTTGGTTATGAACGCAGAACAATACTTCGAACCTTGTTGTTCTCATCCTTGTGTAAGTTTTTTAATAACTATAGAAAAAGAAAGACTATATAATGTAATGAAACTAACGCCAACTACAGAGAATACCGACTGCTACAACCAATATAAAAATAAATTTATAGAGCTTGTAAGGCAAACCAAACGAAAACATTACCTAAGTAAATTGAATAATAACTTAAATGATCCTAAGCGGCTTTGGACAACTATTGATGAGATTACTGGGAAAACAAAAGTTAAAGAGTGTGTCACTGAGTTAAATACAACATCGGGAACAGTATTAAAAAATACTCAACAGATATGCGATGAATTTGTACAATTCTATACTGACATAGGCGAAAATTTAGCAAGTAATATACAAGCAAATGTACAAAATACTCAGCCTCCAAAAAGAACTTTGAACTCATTTATTTTGGATAAAGTCGAGCAATGTGAAGTATGTCCTTAAAAAATCGGAAAAGTCCTGGGTTCGATGGTATTAAAAGCGAGCATTTGAAAATTATAGCCGAGGACATAACAGAACCACTCACTTACCTAATCAACAAATGCTTTGAATCTGGCATATATCCCTCAATTTTAAAAAAAGGTAATATAATACCGATACATAAATCAGGAACAAAAACAGATGTTAACAACTATAGACCAATATCAATAATATCCAGTGTAGCAAAGGTTTTTGAAAAAGTTTTATCTACTAGAATGATTCGATACCTCACAAAATTCAAAATTTTAAGTAAAAATCAATATGGATTTACAGAAGGGAAGGCTACATCGGACGCAATAACTAAAATTGTAAATCAAATACATCAAAATATTGATAACAGAATCCCTTCAATCTGCATTTTTGTTGATTTAAAGAAAGCTTTCGACACAGTTAATCACAAATTATTATTAGAAGCATTGGAGAGAATTGGTTTCAGAGGAAACGCGTACTCACTGATCGAAAGTTATTTGTCAAATCGCCCACAATCTGTGCAGATATCAGGATCATTTAGTAAAGAAATGTATATTAAGTGTGGTGTCCCACAAGGAACTGTCTTAGGTCCGCTGTTATTCAATATATATTTAAATGATATTTTCCAAATTAATTGTGTTGGCAAAATAACTAGTTTTGCAGATGATACTGCAATATTATATGAAGGCACTGACTGGTCTGATCTGAAAAATGTAATTGAAAATGATTTTATCAAAATTATTCGGTGGTTTAACAGTAGAAAATTAAGCATTAACTACTCTAAAACACATTTTTTACCATTTGGATCTTATGCTAGACATCTGCCAAATTACACAAATTTCTCTTTCAATATTAATGATCAAAAAATGCAAATTAATAGAGTGCCCAACATAAAATACCTTGGAGTGGTCTTGGATCCTCACTTACGATGGGACATCCACGTCAATTATATTTTAAAGAAAGTTAGATTTGTATCCTACAAAATTAAATACCTTGGGAATATATTGACAGAAAAATATCTTCGAACATTATACCATGCACTGATTGAGCCTCATCTCACATATGGTATATTAGCATGGGGAGCTGCATGTTCCTCACATATCTATAATTTAGATGTTTTTCAAAAAAGTATTCTAAAAATGATATTTAAAAAACCGAAACTTTATCCCACTGAAAAATTATACGCAGATGTTCGAATGTATGATATAAGACAGCTTTATTTCTTACACAGTATCACTCACTACCATAAATTTGTAAACACCGACCAAAAAATTAAACATAATCATTATACCAGGTACAAAATTCGTGGCACAGTAGTTCCTCAACCACATAAATCTATAATGCAGCGATCATATCTCTATTTAGCGCCTAAATTTTATGAAATTATACCTAAAGACTTCAAAGATTTACGTTTCGGAAATTGTTTCAAAAGAAATTTAAAAAAGTGGCTACATTCTATATCTAGGACTGAAATTCATAAACTCATAAATACGAACATCAACTAAATACATAATCTACTGTAGCTAATTTTTGTCCTTTTTTGTCATCTGCATTCTACAGTTTCAACTTAAATTTATTGGTCCATGTACAGGCGATGCCTTCTATTGGGCCTGTTTTGATTTTATATTTATTTGCTCATATTGTTTGTTATCTTTGTACATTGAGCGAATAAATATTATTATTATTATATAGTCTGATTCAGGAAACAATGGCAGCTCAAAGTACATGGAATAATAATATACGAAGCTCTTATCAACACTGAATGCTCCATAACCGAGAATAGGGTGTGCCGCTGATGAGAGTGAATAAGTACAAACCTATGGAGAGTTTGGATTACTCTTCCAATACAAACAACTTCATCGTGATATATTATATTGGAAGCGAGTTAAACTTTTCATACAGATTTCATCTGAAATATCTAAACCAATGTTGCTCCAGAACGTATAGTCTGACAAGACTGTCAAGGTAATTCATGCAGAAGTAAATATATTATTAAAAATTTTTCCAATTTCTACGGCACTGACGTTGTCCTGAATTACGGAAATTTTTGTATGCATCGGCCAGACTGTTACCGCTACATATACAAAATTTTTTTTTTTTGACCGCAAGATATCCGTCGTAATTGACGGGTTGTTCTCTTCATCCCACAACGTCAACGCAGGTGTTCCCCAGGGATCGGTCTCGTCTCCGACCTCCTCCACAGCTTTACAGATGACAGCACTCTGCATGCAGGGACTCAGACAAGTCGACCTATGCCGGTGAAAGAAAGACTAGCGGCGACTTTTTTCTAACGAGAGACCTGTAGGTTATCACAGTTTGGGGACGCAACAATATTGTACAGTTTAATGCTTCCAAAACACAATACTATAGCTTGACATACAAAAAGCGTCATATGGCTCATCCGGTTTCGATGGATGGACGAGTTCTGCCAACGAGCCGTTCACTTCGGCTGATCGGGTCCAGATCACCGAGGACTTGATCTGGCACGAACATATTCCGTCAATAGCGGCAGCTGCTCACTCTATACAATGCCCAGATAAGACTTAGCCTCGAGTATTGTTCACACGTTTGGGGTGCTGCCGCTCCGACTACATTACCTATGCTCGATGCTGTCCAGAGGAGGACTGATCGATGACTCTTCTCTAACAGACAGTCTCGGGGCCCTTTCGCATCGGCAGGCCATCGGCGATCTAGCGCTCCTCTACCGCTACACCAACGGGCCTTGCCCCTCAGAACTCTCCTCCATAATGCCGCCGCACGAAGTGCCTTTCAAACAGACCCGCTTGACTTCGGCCTCCCCTCCTAACAGTGTTGGACTTCGTACATCCAGAACTGGCCGATACGACCGCTCATTTGTCCCGAGGTTGTCGTGATTGTGGAACAATCTACAAGAGGAAGCTTTTCCCAGATGTATTAACCAAAAATCGGATCAACAAAATTTCTTTGGGATCCTTATAGCAGCCGCGGTATTCTGGCATTTCGGCAGCTTCGGTATAAAAAAAAAATAAAAGAGAGAGGTGCTGATTCCGTTCAGCGAGTTCCCTTCACATTATCCATAGAAGGTCGACGCTCCCCTGAAATGAGTTTCTCTGGTTGTTAGGATAGCCAAACAGTCACAAAGTAGGTGCTTAATTACCTTATCTTGCTGTTGACATTATCTAATTTAGACGTATTTTGCTTGTCGTTGTTTGGGTTCTACAGGCAACTGTACCAGAACTGCTCTGTTTCTACTAGTAGTCAATAATACAGCAGTTCTGACATCACAGGAACAAGGATTCTCTGGCGAATAGGGAGCCAGACGCAGTATCTTACACGTTTTCGAGGCCTTTTGCGGGCTTCTTATTTTAGCATCGTTATTATGACATTACAGATTTATACTTTGCGAAAATGTTCTCTTTCATTACCAGTCTAACAATTTAGCATGTCCGCTTTATCACACCCACGCTTCGACACTAGTGATATGTATTTTAAGATCTTTGAAATCCCACAAATTAGAGAAACTGCTCTAGAACCGCTTAGCTTCGTTAAGACCAAGAGGTCATTTGAATTCCCGAAGAAGGCAGCCCACAGGCAAGAAGACTTTGCTCCTTGTCACTATGTTGCTTTTTAGTTTTATTCTGAGCTCTTTATGGCTTCACATCACCTTGCAATATGGGTATAATCCTCAATCAACTCATCCTCTAGCTATCTTTCTTTTCACCACATGAAGCACAGAGAGGCTCTGAACTCAAACATATGGTTTTAGTTGGTATTGTTGTCAGTCGATCAGCTGCGATATCACGTTTCTCGCGAGTTTGCAACGTATGGATCAGTAGTCGCTGCCTACTTATACAGATCCTGCACTTTTTGCCTGTAATACTTTACCAACTGTCGAATAACACTTAAATCCCCCAGTAAACACAATAGTGGTTTCAAAGCAATAAAGAAGAACAGGTTGTGGGATCTAATTTCAAGAAATAGGTACGCGTATAGTTTACCTTCGTAAAACATGTAATTTGAGATGGTACTACATCATTTCTTTCTTGTTGTGAAGCAAATCGCAGCAACGTCATTATTTGCAAATTGCATATGTAAGGCTGTGTAACTCTAGGTAGTGGTTGTTATTTATGTATGAATCCGCAAGATGGTATAAGATACATACTACTTATCTAGTCAATTTATTTATTAGCAATTGTCTTGGCCTCCATCATCCTTATGGAAGCGATGTCCAATTTTGTCAACACTAGACGGCACGTGCGTAGTAAGTTGGAAGTCAGACTCACAAGAGATGGGAAAAAGACACATTTTTGTAATGTCTATTAACGTCAACAGCTGATCAGCAATTGGCATCTTTGTCGGTATATAACCTTTAGACATGACAACATAATTAACAACTCCGAATTCTAGCTATCTAGGTTACCACCTTCCATCACTCAGTCTGTAAAGTTCCATGCCTATTATAATGCACACCAAAGCTGTGGCACTATATTTACTAAAGCACATGTAGCTAAATGCTTTGTGTGACTTTTATATGCCCAAAGAAAAATGTTATTTCTTTCTTGAATCGAGCATTATACGTACAGGCGCATCTCTTACATACAAATTACATACAAGGCTGTGTTTCTGTTCAGTTCTCAAGGTCGTATACCTGGCTCAGGATGAACAGATTGAATTCGTAATTTATAGGTGCATTTACCTTTTAGTTAGCATCTAGTATGTATTCTTGTATACATTTTATAGGCAAGAATTCGTAATATATTTATAATAATTATATATATATACCAAGGTCACCGGATTTAACGGCTCCTGGCTTTTTATGGGGATTTTCGAAAAATAGGGTTTACCCCAACAAACCAAATACTGTAGAGCAGCTGAAGAACTTTTCACGACGCGAATCTGGAGAAAATTGCGGGTCGGTGGACGAATTTTAGAGAAAACGCATAAACAATATTTACAGGTCAACAAAAAAATAAGTGGTGTGTGCTGAGGGGCCACACTATAGTTTTTCATATAGTTTTCCCTTTGAACACAAATCTTTGGTCAACATTGGGAGGAAAAGGACACATGTGAAAGTAACTTACGGATCGGAACTAAAACTTTTGGTGTTTTGGAGCATTACTCAGAAACCTCTGAAGAGATGCACATCCACCAAAAATGCCAAAAAGAGTGATCTTAATGCCTGAATTACTTGGTTGTTTGTCCACCGGCTCCCAATTTTGACTTCAGATTCGTGTTCAGAGTATTTTGTGGGCCTATGCATTTATTAAGTTTCTTTGCCTTATTGAATTTATCCCTGTTTCAGCAATAATTACAGGATTCACTTCGCAACACAGATACTCTGTTGTATGCGAGCTTACTCAATATTGGCTATTGTGATATCCTTTTTAAAGAAAAGGATATATGCTTATGTAGTGGCTTGTCACCTTTTGACGAAAAACACTGTGAAGATTCTGCTTGACTTCTAACAGCCACTTCGAACTTCTAACGAACCTTTCACCCTGTGTTTTGTAGTCTAAGTCAGCGTCAAACCTTGTCACGTATGAAATGTAAATTGTTTCTTCCAAGCTTTATTTTTTCCAATAGAGTTTTACTAGAAACTTGTAGTTGTCTTCATCCGTGAACACCAGGCTCCCTTCCCTGCCAAGAGGTAGAAGGAGCCAGTCTCCAAATTCTCATAGTGATTTTATTGATAGTCCTTTCATCAAATTCGCATTTTAGTATTATTTCTTAAAGGCGTTTGCAGATAATTGTGGTGTAGGTCTACTTCAAGATATGGTATTTCTTATATAATTTGCAAAGAGCGGTACAAGCCTAGTGAAGGTAGATGTCTACACCGGTAAGTATTATCATTGTGTTGATACAACGCTGTTACTTTGGTAAGCATTGGTAGTAAAAGAGTCAAAAGTATCCAGTAAAACCAAGCAATTTTGCGAAAAATAATGCAATGTAAACATACAGGCTTAGCTCCTTCTAATCTATTCGAATTTGCTGATTGGGTTGGGCAGGCAAAACGTTAGAATTGCAATTTTTGAACATCTGCTAGTCAAAACAATATGGAGGTGTGTTATAATCACTTTATTTACACCTAACTAGTGACTATTTCTTAACACAACCCAAGTGAATTGTTTCTGAAAGCAAACTCCTCGGCCCTACCCAACTCATCTACATAATGCCGTCGTATAAAGAATTAAGAAACGGAGGAGTTTCCCATAAACAGAATTGAATCCTCAATTTATTCAATTTGGCTGTCACTGTAAATTATGAATCCACTGCGGTTCACAGAAATTAATTGTTCTGAAATTGCCACCAAGTGAAACGATCGCCTGAGGTTAGTTCAACATGAGTAGTATACATAAAGGTGTTTTGACTGTATGATATATCGATGTTACACAATAATGAATACAGTTATAAATTATTAGAACGAAAATGAATTTTGTTCAGTTTTTATCTCTTTAAAATCCATTTTGTTTTTGCTCATGGATTCATTCATTTTTAAACATTAGTGTAGATTACACCTATGCATAAAAATATGCCGATCTATTAGAAAGTTGTAAGGTAGTGTCGTTTTTTTGTTGCCTAGCTATGATTCTCCTTATTTCGATTTTGCGCAGTAGCGAGACGATCCTCCGATATCTGTTATTGAAATAAGAAAGCTTCGTTAGTTCCGAGGGTTTATTTCGTAAGGTTGTTTTTTCCTTATTCAGTCATTAATTTTCAGATAATGATTGTAGAAGGAAGATAAACCAAAATATGTGTGTAAAAATAAAAAAAAATTAAAAAAAAATTTTTACCTTGTTTTATAAAGTATCCTCCCGACAAGTATTTCAGTGCGGACCTGTATTTGATCGTGAGGTCCCCTGTGAGGTGATAAGTCACCTGATTCACGAGCCCGTTGTACTACATTAACAAAGGCACGAGTGGTTGGTTGCACTCGATTGGGAAACCGATCCGCATAAACATGTGCCATTTTTTATTTCGTTTGAGCCACGCAACAGACACTATTTACACGCGACTGACACTGACTGTAGGTATAACTGAACTAAATAAAATAATAAATTGTACAAACGTCGTTCCAAATTCTTTCGCTTTTTTGTTTCCGATGCGATGAACCGGTAAGGCGGATTATATCCGTTGTTGCCAAACACGAGCACATGATATTGAGACAGGGCGGTACTCAAACTTCCAAAGGGCTATAACTTTGTTACTTTAATTTTACCAGAAAAATGGTAAAGGAAAAAAACATTTCTTTTGATCAGATCTACTCACTGTTAAAATAAATGACTCAACTTCGAAGTATAATAGAAATATGAGTTTCAGAATACAGGTAAAAATAAATGCAAGAAGTAGGTCGTATTCTAAACAAATTTGATTCTCCTGATTATTGTTATATATGCAAAATAGGTAAGTAGCCTTTTATTATAGTTCTACTGATTCTGTGGTCACTTGTCTTGGGGCTCTATGATTCTAAGCCTACTTGTTTCTAGTCCGGTTTGGACAAAAATATTACCGAAACTTTTCTATGAAAAATTGTAACAAGCATTGAAATTTTGGGGTGATCTTCACGACAAAATAAAAAAAAATTCAACTTGTCATGACTGTCGAAATACCACGGATCACTTTAGTAGTCATAAAAACTGTTTTCTCGTCGACATTCATTATTTGCCATCACTGTCAAAAATAACGCAACAAAACAGGCTCAACGAAACATTATTTTTGTATCACTAACGGCTCTCTATCATCTACTTGTAAATGGCTATGCTTACACAAAGAGTTTTTAGTGCTCAGCAGTAGCCGGTACACTATATCATATCGAAATATTACCATTTTAAGATTGTAAAGTATATACGAGGGATGTCTTTTAAGTTTTGCATATAGAAACATAGTTGGCCGCGCGGATTGAACGTCAGTACTGAATCTTAACCTCACTCTGTAGTAAACTTAAATTCAAAGTTTCACAACAATACATGCAGTGTTCTCACTACAGTGAATTTTTAAGTGTCACCAATTCATTAGAAAAATGGAACTCAACCGAGAACATTTTCGCGCCATAATTTACAACTTTCAGAGACAATTATCGCAACAAGAATGCCTTGCTGAGTTACTGTCTGTTTTCGGCAACGAAGCGCTACATCAGACGACGATTTCCCATTGGGATGGAGAATTCAAACGTGGACGGGTGAGTCTTAGCGACGATCCCAGGGTGGGTGCACCAAAAACGGCAGTCACCCAGGAGAATGTCGATGCTGTGCGCAAACTCATCATTGAAGATTGACATGTGACATATCGTGAGATTGAGGCGTCCTTGAAGATCTCAGAGACCTTAATTTAAAAAAAATTACATGAAGAATTAGGAGCAAGAAAATTAGTTTCTCGTTGGATACCCCACCTGTTGACTGAAGAGCAGAAAACAGCCAGGGTTAATTGGTATAGGAAAACGCTTGACCGTCTCAATTCCGGAAACTCAAAAAATGTGTACAGCATTGTTAGTGGTGATGAATCGTGGATTTACTGTTATGATCCAGAAAATGAACGACAGTCGGCTGTTTGGGTGTTCCAAGGTGAAGAAAAGCCAACAAAATTCATCCGTTCTCGAACTGTTTCGAAAAAGATGGTCGCGACATTTGTGTCAAAAGTGGGTCATATTGCAACAATTCCTCTTAATGAGCATAGAACTGTTACTGCCGAGTGGAATACCACCATTTGTTTACCAAAAGTCATCAGCGAGCTTCGAAAAATCAACCCCGAAATAAGAATCATCCTCCACCAAGACAATGCAAGCTCGCACACAGCTCAAAAAACAAGGCAGCATTTAACGGAAGAAAACGTGGAATTATTGGACCATCCTCCATATAGTCCCGATCTAAGTCCTAACGATTTCTTCACTTTCCCGAAAACTAGAAATAGACTGCGTGGTCAAAGGTTCCACTCACCAGAAGAAGCAGTTGACGCATTCAAAAATGCCGTTTTGGATCTGCCAGCAAACGAGTCTGATAAGTGCTTCGAAAATTGGTTCGAGCGCATGCAGATGTATATTAATCTTCGTGGAGAATACTTCGAAAAACAATAAAGTCATTTAAAACTACCTATCATGTTGTTTTATTTCCATATGCAAAACTTAAAAGACATCCCTCGTATGCAGCCGCTGGCATGACACGAGGCAACACCAACTGCTGCTAAGCACTAGAACTACTTTCATCGTTGTACTGGGGGAATTTACATTCGGCTTTCTCCGACGAAGTGGCGGTCGTTTTTGACACTGACAGGACGGTTTCATAGCTGATTATCATCTAAGCTGTGCTTATGTCGTGGCCAAATTTTTTTATCGACTTAAAGCGCGGCTAATACATGAAATGGTCCAGCTTATTCTTGGTTTCACAGAAGCAGCCGCCTAGGTAGAAGCTTAAAAGCCAGGGCACTGTAAGTTTGTTTATCCGGTTTTTGTACTGTCCAAGGTTAGTATGACTGGGAAAATCCTTACGTAGATTGTTCCACAATCAGCCAGTTCTGGATGTACGAATTTCGACACGGTTAGGATGGGAGGATTCCGAGACTGTCCGTTAGACAAGAGTCATCGATCAGTCGGACAGCTTTCCACTGAGCAGCATCGTTGGGGCGGCAGCAACCCCAAACATGTGAGCAATACTCGAGACAGGATCTAGACAAGGTGTGGATGTTAGATAGATTACATTACATACATTTTTAGTCACTGATCTCGACAATATTATAATGAGATTCTACTTGCACTTTTTTATACAGATTGTTTTAAGCTGCACTTCCTTTGGGGGCAATTCAACATCAAATCCATGAGCAATGATACCCGAAAGTACGAAATTCTCCATGTAAATCAGACGTATTTCCAACAAAAACTTCCGCCATTCTGTGTCCGCTACTTTTTCTACAAAATTTGATATCTGATTTGTGATTACATAAATTAAAAACTCAAAAATATAATATTTTGCTTAATTAGATTAATATGACGAAACTGGCGTTTTGATGCCACCATTTGATTTATAGACAATCTGACAGATTCGCAATCAGCGACCTCGAAAACTCTATTGCACCAAGTTTTGTTTTTCAGGCTATTTCCACCACTGTGAAGTGTCTGCAACTTGAAGATGAGGCTTGCCTGGTATCAAACCTTTTGGGCGATATTCCACTGACGTATTGATTCGAGAAGCTTGAAATGCGTATATTAGAAAGAGATAGAAGGAACACGTTCATAAACGTATTGCAGTCTTCTCTCATGTACACATTACGACGTCAGTGACTTTTGGGTTTCTCTATATGCATGAGAAGTAAAAACAGACGATTGCAGTATTTTTATATGGACGTCGTTGTTTTCCCGAATACCAGTAATAATGGTCTAATAAAGTAGTTGAAAAAGTGCTCCAACACACGGCTTTGTATCTACATCATTCTACGGCGATGAACACGGAAAAAAACTGTATCATCTTCCGCAATTTCAAATACCGGATAGATTTTTCCTAACAACCACTTCAGCTATCATTACCAGACTCCGCAGATCGGAAAATGATCGTCAGATTGGAGTTTTTTCATGGTGTATATATATAACCATCTCCGACTTCCGTTCTCAATCAATTAAAGGAGCGTTGCCTCTGCGCGTTCAATCACAAGTTACGTGGCCTGTTAGACAATGCGCGTAGACCGAAACGTTAATTTTACCGCAACTAAAGGCATATTCACATTGTAGTAAGATGCTATACAGAAACAACTGATTAGCTTTTAGGGTCCTATGCCAGAAATTTCACGATTTAGCTTAGTATCAAACAATGGTATCAGCACAAGTTGCCAGATTAATGTTTTTCCTAACCCCAAATATCCTGCTCGTACACTATGATGACTGCACCCTCAGGCGTCAAGTTTTGTGGTCGTTTTTTTCTCATTTCGCCAGTTTTCCTGGTATATGTTTATTTGGACAAGTTTTGAGTAAAATTTGTTCAGGGTTGGTGCAAATAGTATATACATGATTTCGAACGCCATCTAAAGAAAGCGACTTAAAATAGCTGCATTGAAAATGCATAGTGGTGTCACTCTTTGAAATGTCACGATAAATATTTTTAATTGCAAAGTGTGAGAGGTTTCAAAAAGTCGAGGACAACGGTTGTTTCCGAAAACAGAAATGGGAATGTTTTGTACCTATCGAGATGTGATCTAGAGTTCAAGCTGTCTAGTACGAGGTCTGTGAATTAAGTGATGAGTCTGGTTTTTAAAATATTTTTTTAGTCAAATACGAGGATGTACCCAAAAATAACCGGAATAGAATTGTAGTGGGCGGAGCTTGTATAGTACACATGTCTGCCCCTAGAAGCGGACAGCGCAACTCATTACCAGTTCAGTGCCACCTGAGTTGTCCATCTTGTTTGTTTCGTTCCTCTGTTGCCAGGTCGAACGCTACGTTGGCAGTCTCATCACTTAATTTATAGACTTTGTATCTGTGACAGGGGTGAAGCAGTATCGAGCAAGACTTGTGGAAGAAATTAAAAGTATGTAGTCTTCTTTTGTGTTTGGACCCATTGGGTACAAATGGAGAGAAATTATAGTTTCACAGTACTGAAATATATTTTTTGATTGCGCATTGCTGTGTCTATGGGATTGCTAGCGGCCAGTGACCAAATTACCAGCATAAGAGACTGAAGGGGCCTGAAAAGAGGTCGCCACGAGCGATACTGGAAGAGAGAGTTGGCTGTAGACATTTCACATAACATGATTAAGTGATAACACTAAAAAATTGAAAGTGTAAGCATATGTAACATGTAATGATTGGAGTTGTATATAGTTCAATAGCAGCGAATTAAATTTTTGTAGATAACTAGAATATATTACGTGTTATCTGTTATATGAGTAACGTCTTTTTGAATTTTAAGATCTTTTGCTGCTTTTCATATTCTCACAATCGGCCTCAGAAATATCATCTCGCTAATGCGTTATCATAGAATAACGAAATGCATAACGAAGCACCAAAATACGAGCGCTAAGAACAATCTATTACCTATTAGGTTTGCTATAAGTATAACTGTGGATTTGTGCTTTGAATAAAAATATTCAAAAGCTCCGAGTTACGATCTTGAAAATTGTTTTCATCTATCGAGCGGCTTTAAAATCGCTTAAAAGTGGAACAGTAAGGGTAAAAGCACATACAATTTTCAAACTCCATTACACTTCTTAATTCACTTTGTGTCACGAGAAGTAAGCTTCTCTGTTCAAAGCAGATCCATTATTCAAATCATGGAAAAGTTCCAAAGTATGCAAAATGCACTTAAAGTAATGTTGTTTCTATAGAGCGTCGTTGCTATCATCAGTCGAGCCAAATTCATCCCAGTTGGAAAGTTGCCAAAAATAAGACTAGAGCCCTACGTTAGTGGTTCGTTGACACTCCCATACTTTTCTGGTAATTGAAATAACAATATCGAATCAATAATTGGAAAATGAAAAATAAACCATATATATATATATATATATATATATATATATATATATATATATTTGTAAATGTGTTAGTTCCAATCTTCGACCCCTATCCAGGTAAAGCTTAAAATAATGATGTTTCACAGGAAGTCTCGTTTTCAAAACGACATCACTCGAGAACAAAAATATTGTCTCCAAAACTCCAAGAGGGTTTTCGGAACTTACAACTTACAAATATGCAAATAAAGGTGACCTTCTTAAACGTCTAAGATGAAGATATTCATCGTATTTAGTATCCAACTCGGCATATGTTGGCAAATAATAATAGGATGTTTTTAATACAATTAATGTTATTCTTGCAGCTAAAAATGTTGGAGAATTGTTGATGAATAATAAACACGTATATCATTAGAAGAGGCAAAGTAGCGTTTCTTTCCATATACTTCGAGAGACCACAAAATAAACATTTATGTATATCTCCCTACGGAAACGAAATGTCCACTAAAGCTTTAGGGGCCTGAAAGTTTGAAAAATGAGTCGGCATATTACTCAGCCTCCTTGTCTCTAGATAAAAATTCACCAATTGTGTTCGGCCCTTAAAGTCAATTACCAACACATCTTGAAAACTAAATCCGCATGGTGGCAGCACCAGTACCAAATGCTCTGTTAAATCGAACGCCTTACTCACTGTTTTCCGAACACGCCTATCCATCATGGTGCCACAACGCAACGTTGCCAGAACGACCTACGGTGGTGCTGGCGAGAATATTCAGTCAGTCAGTGTAACATTTTTCTATTGTCACCTCCAGATAGAACTGAATAATCCGATAACGTTTGACATGCGCAGCTAGGTCGAAAATTCTACCTGACTAAGGTCGAAAGTAACAACAAGGACATTCATCATTATCATCAAGGCCATAAGCAAATATGAGATTTTCATTGTTGTGGATGGTCAGAGATGTCATAAGGGCTGAGCCCTTTGAATCCGCTAAGCATTTCTGAGAATTAAAATTCGTACCCAATAGTTCTTTTCAACATCTGCCAGATGTCAGCCCTGTAACTTTACCGGACATTGTCCAGCAAGTATGAGTAGTAACGCTCATTTACGAACACTACGTCAGGATCAGTTTGAAAGTTACGAAGGATCGTAATCCACTGCTGTAATGACTTAATATCGTTAGTTAGGATGATAATTATGCAGTTCCATTCTTCACAGAAGAGCCTCATACCCTTAGCTATGACTCCTTGTTACACAGTCTCCTTGCTCCTTGCTCTATAACGGTTACCTCGTTCTCAGATAACAATTCATCGATTGTGTTTCGCTCTCAAGCTTTATCGGAAATTCTCTAGCAAGTATGAGCAGTAAAGCTCATCTTCAAACACTATATTGGTCAGGATCAGTTCGAGAAATTACTTAGGATCCTCAGCTACTGATGTCACGGCAAAATATCGTTAGTTAATGCGATGAATACCAAGTTCCAATACTGCCAGAGGTACTTCATGACCTTAGTCACTGCTCCGCCTATTACCCAGCCTCCTTGTCCTATGCTCAGTTGCGGTTCTCTCGTTCCTAGATAATTCAACAACTGAGTTTCGCCCTTAAAACTTTACTGGAAATTATTTAGCAAGCAGACACAAGGATGAGCAGTAGATCTCATCTCCAAACATACACTGGACAGTAACAGTTCGAGAAGTTACTAGGGATCTCCCGCTACTAATGTAATCTTTAGCGACAGTAATAAATGTCAGGATCCATTCTGGCCAGAGCAGCTTCATGACCTTAGCTACGACTCCACTTGATATGCAGCCCCATTGACCTCTTAAATTTCAAATCACCAATTGTATTTTGACCTTAAACTTTACTGTATCAACAACTGTAACATCACGAACTTACGGTAGCACCTGCGGGCGATTCCAAGGCGAACTCAACCATGCTTTCGTTGTTCTTTTTATCACCGTCGCCGCGTTTCGCGCATTATTTTACGCGGACACCGTATCGCTTGAAGCCGACAATAACACTGAAGAAGAATGTGAAGAAGAAGAGTGGAGTGAAGAGGTAGAAGGACGCGCCTTCCGGTACCACCGAGTCGCGCCGAGCCGTGCGAGTATGTTTTCGGAGGTGCGACATGACGGTGTTTGTTCTTGTTTATACAGAACCAGTGTTAAGACCGAATGCATAGTTGTTGTTTAATGGCTCCTCGTTGTAACGATGCTGATGGGGTTACGTGGCGATTCACGGAATCTCCCTTCGAGTATACTGTTATTTACTGTGTTTAAAATTGTTGTTGATTGTAAGGGGACAACTTCACGTGCCTCTACCTCGTTGTTTATAGCAAATTTGTTTGATGGTTTGAGTTCAATATGTACAAGAGAGAAGTGTGTATAGACACATATGTTAGAAAGAGATAGAAACCGGCTGAATAGCCTAGCAACGTTGACCCGGCAATCTACCGCATCGCCAATATGTTACACCAGTTCCTTGAATTAACATGCACGTTCAAAATTTGCGTTAGTTTACTGTCTACACGCAAATAATGGTTTTGCTTCAAGCGTACACATTTCTTAATTGTGAATTTGTGACGAATCTGTTTAGGATCGATTCCGGCTCGGTCCTAACGGCGCTCCATTTTAGGTCGAAATGAAAGATCGCCACAAATTCTGGCACATTGCATCATCAGTTTGTTTGGCAATACCGCATCTAGTATATTCCAAGGCAAGGTTTCCACCTCTATGATAATAGAAAACCGATTTTGGTCAGTACCTATCTACTGCTCACTAGGGAATGTCCTGCTTCGAAATGGTTTTTACCTGGGTACCAGCAGTGATAATTTCTTACATTTGTCATGTAAAAATAACTCAGGATTTTATCACCATCGGTAGAAATCAAATATAATTATAAAATAAATTAAAACACTAAGTCGCATAAAAATTGACATCAATAGCTCTAATCTAAATGACAACAAAA